GATGGGATTTGACAGTGAATTAATGGTGTTGTGTGTGTGTGTGTGTGTGTGTGTGTGTGTGTGTGTGTGTGTGTGTGTGTGGTTGTTGTGCCCTATGGTAGTTTGTCTTGGGCGGACTCCCTGATGCAAATGACTCAGCTTTCACATCAACCAGACCTTTTCGCCAAGGACATGCAAGGCCGAACAGAGCCTGTATGAACCATCTCCTCAATATAAAAGTAGCCAGCCATACACCTGGCTTTTACGTGTGGCCACAGAGATAGTATCTCCATGATGGGGAACGGATTAACAGATTTACATGACCGAGTAGTCGATCGTGAAGCGGCCCGACAGATTCTCCCAAGCTCCTTGCCAATGTGGTCGGAAAAAGGATCATCATGCCATGGAACTCTACCAAATCTGATCGACACTCTCAACGAGGCACTCGAGATGTTTCGCCCCTTGAATCGCCAAAGCCTGCGCCGAAGGGACAACGAGTCTCGGATGGTCTTTGCCTCTGTCCCGGTCTTGCATCATCCTACAGTTAGCCGTGAAAAAGCGGTCATCAACCAAAGAGTGTTTTAGGAACTGTCTGTCTAGTTTCGAGCAAGGACTTGAGCTCTTTCTTGCTTTTTGCATCCGGACCTGATTTCATCCCGGCCAACGTAATCGCTCATAAAGCTTCCCTTGGCCTCGAAGAGCAATCTGTAGCCAGGGTCTTGGTAGGGAGCACCCTTTTCTTCTCGTGGCTTTTGGTCGCATGAGGTCGCTGAGCTAGGTGAGCGAGACTCACCATCAGATCGCTCCCGGCCAAGTGAGGGGTTCGATTTCTGCCTTGCCAATAGCTGGTTTGTTTTATCAATTCCGCCAAAGTTCCCTCGTGGCCAATCGTATGTCAGCGTCCAATTCGTGACAGGATCAGTATCCTGAACAGAGGGTCGACGACAAAGGGGTTCGGCCTCAGAGGATTCGACACTACATGAGTAGGAGGAGGAGACCGGTGCGCTTGCTGCGTCGGGTGAGTACTTCTTCTCAGAACAACCTTGGCGACTTACAGAAAGACCTTTCAGGTGGCGCAGTTGCAGGCAGTAAAAGATGCTGGCTTGTCTCTCGCTGAGTCTCAACAGAGCGGCCCAAACGGCTACTTCTTCGTCGAATAGAAGTTTTCTTTTATCCCCTCTGGATGCCCTGAGGGCGTTTGCCTTTTTTTTGTCGTCTGTGCATAAACAATGGAAGCGGGGAGATGGTCCTGAGATGGCAGCCGCAGGACTGCCCCTCGGGGTCTTGCGTACGGTTGCCCTGTCTCCTCGTGCCATTGTCGGTTCGAGATGAGGACAATGGACAGCAGCCAAATGGACACCCTAGCAGGTCGGAGCTTGTAGGAGAAATGTTGATCAGATTTAAAACTCGTAACATGATACCGCATGGAGTGCGATCCTTCTATGTTGGGAATTGGTTTGCTAGGGTTGGATCTTGGCCCCAAGGGATAAAACATTACGTGAGCATATTTTGTCTCTGGCCTTGTGCCCGACGACCTGTCTGGAGTGGCCCTTCTCGCCTCAAAAGTGGCTTGGGTAGTGGCCATCATATTCTCAATCAACCAGGCATGGTGTAATTAAGAACCCGTTCCCCTGCTGTTGGACCATTATGTTGTCTGGTCGAAAGTCACCGTGAGACAGACAAAACGGTCACGTGTGCAGGCATTGCCTGAGCACCATAGGAGAAAAAGCCCGCCCCAGCCAGATGGCATTCTCATTGCGTATACCTCCGCACTCTGTAGTAGGGGTCAATCGGGATAATCTTCCATCTTTTGAACACCCACTTGTGCACGGCCGCGACACCGACTCCAACAGCATCTTAGCAAAAATGATCCAGGCAAGGGGAATCGAAACATGAGCTATAAACCTTCCGAAGACGTGAGATACCCCATGCGGGAAGTTTAGGGACCGCACGGTCCGTACCGAGGCGTTAGCAAAACTACTCGTACTCCTACAAGCTGTAGGAACCTCTACGAACTCAGGGGGGTTGCTCACGCTACTCAGGAGACACCTCAAGTATCGTCTAGCCGGGTTTGGGTTCGCACAGCCACGGCTCAGAATAGTGTAGTCATAGATGCCCAGGTCAAATAACGGGATGCTCGGGTCTAGAAAATGGAAATGGACTTTGAAGAGGGTCAAGATTCGCCGTGGGGTAAAGTGCCCTGTGCCACAGTCCACCTCTGCGAAAGACCCAAGACGCTGAAACCACCTTGTGACATCTTCGACCCTTCGCGGACCAGATATTCAACACTTTCGGGCACCATTGCTTTGCATTGGCACTGCTGGATCGCGCGTTCCTCTCCATCTTGATGGTTTCCTCCATTTCGTATCCTCAAATCGGTGTCGTCGGCAACCTCCATCAGACAGTCAGTATCGACGTATGGGATCATAGTGATTGAGTCCTGCCACATATCGTTTCGACCCTAGAGAGATGCCAGAGCGACGGCTAAGTGGCTGCGATAGGTGCTAAACGCCTTTCCTCGAAGCTTCGCAACGAGAATGTGGAGAGGTACTTCCACATCTTCTCGTGACTGGGCAAAGGGTCCTTCCTAGCCTCCAGATCGCCTTGAGCGCAATGCTTGCATCCTGAAGTTTCTGCAGGGAGTATCTGGGACGCCGTGCTGTCCGTTGTATCCAACGGGGGTTCCAGGCGGTGCACGAGATCGGCCTGCTCGGTATTTTCCCAGTTGTCATTTTGAGACTTGGGTTCGATCCCGGAAGGATAGCAGACCTCCCAGAACGTCTCGTCTCTGCCCAACATTGGCCTCAGACCCAGTTCGATAACTCTGAGTGAATGGTACCAAAAGTCGATGTATTTTTCCGGGTTGATGTAGACCGGGTGTCCATGCCTCCTTAGTGTGTCTCTCCATGCAGCAAGGACGTGTTCTCGAGCACTCATGAACCTGTCATGAAACCCCTTCTGGACCAGATCGAAAGGATTCGCGTTCAAGGCCATGCGGGCGCCACCGAACCTGTCAGGGTCACCGAAGATGCCGTAGAAACGCCGACCCGTCTGGTACTCATACTCGGAACACCAAAACTTGAAGCGGTCGCGCCGCAATTCCGCCGCTGCCGGCCCGTGCATGTCGTCTAGCAAATAGTCCAGCCATACGTGTAGAGCATCCTCGTCAGCCTGGATGTAATCATCGTTCACGTCGAGCCCCTCCAATATCTCCAGGCCAAATTACTTCTTTCGAGTCACGAGATCGACCAGATCATTCTTGAAGTAATCAAAGCTGCTGGCCACGGGTGCATTCAGAGGCAGCTTGAAAACAATGGCATCGGCATTTCGGACGCGTGCCAAGGGCGTCAGTATAGTTTGCAAGTCAGAAAAGCCCTTGTAGTCATCGGGATATGATCCCAGAACCGAAATCCCATCGTGACTATAGGGGATAGTTCTGTTCCAGGACCCTTCCGTGTGCCATCTTGTTGTCTTACCCTGTCGAACCTGAACCGTGATTGGTGGCACTCGAGTCGATGATCGTGTAACTGGATTGATGATATCATCCTCGGTTCTTGGGATTGTCTCTGGGTTGGCCCAACGCGGGAGCAACGCCGTCACAAGTGCGGTGGACTGCAACAAGCCCCGCACGACTTGTCCCGGGTCGTCTGTGCTCGGCGGGTCGATGAGGATGCGAATACCCTTGAACTGGTCGATGGGCATCGCATCAAGAATGCTGTGGTCCACGTGCGATGATGCGGCGTCGAGAATACAGTGATTGCCCCAAGCCGAGTTGTCAGGATTGATGATCTTGACTTGGGTAGAGGAGGAAGGATCGATGTGAAAGCCAAGGACAAAGTCCTTTTTGAGAAGAAAGGGGCTGAATTCCTTGTGAAATTGTTTATTGGCGTAGAGAAGTCCGAGTGCGCGAATATTCACACATTGACGATAGACCAGGAGTCGAAGCTCCAGTGGAAGCGATTCCATGGCGGTGCGGCTTCAGGGAAGAAAAGAATCTGATGAGCTCTCACCATCGTGTTAATTACTGGTGTAGATTCCTCTCTAAAAGTCAGAAAGTGTTCGCCAAGGTGAATCCCCTGATCGCGGTCGAGTCTAGTGACCCAATACTCGGCAGAGGCACATCTACCCGTGGCTAGCAGCGGCTTAGTTGGTGAAATCACGTTTGCCAAGGTTGTACCGAGAATTGCATGTCTCTGGACAAAGACTCGTTCTCCAAAGAATGACATAATGTTTTGATTTTACTTAGTCGGTCTTAATGCCCAATACGCCTTATCTCCACGCATTTTGATATCTCGCATGGCTTACTTATTTCTCCAGGCAGAATACAACACGTACACAAAGCTCAAGTACTTCAAATGGATCGAAATGAGCCTTCATTGAACCACCGGACTTCACTGCCTTATATCCGCCCACATCTATCGAGCTCCCAGACGCCGCCAAATACAAACAGTCAGGATGAAGTTGAAAGGCTTCGAGCGCAACTGGCCTCGGTCATACAGGAGCTGGATGAGACAAACGCAAGAGCACGCCTTGTTACGCAAGAACTTAACGAGATGAAGGCAAGGGCACGCCTTGGGGACTACGCAGGAGGATTATTCAACTTCCTTAAACAAAACTCCCCGGAGGACGCCCGGTTGAAAGGCCATGCCAACACCATTGCCGAAAAGATAGAGGCCGCTGATGCTACCGGTAATCCTTCCGATGACCCATAGTATAAGTCATTTGAGAGGGCAGTTGCCGCCGCCAATAAGATCGATTCCCGCATCGATCTCCCAACAGCAAGGCTGGCTATTCAGGAGTACGCTGCTCGCAACAATATGTTTCATTCAAAGAGTATGGCGCTTAAATTTTTCGCGGAGGACTGGACGGGGTTGGCACAACAGACTACTTTCGATATTGCCAACCTATCGACAATCCTCAATGGATCAGCCGCAGATGAAAAAATGTGGATCAAGATCATCGAATTCTACCGCGACCAGCACATTGTTCATGACAAGGACGCCCACCGGTGGCAAGCGAAGTCTGCGGCCAAACCAGAAACGCTGGACTCTGCACCACAAACTGTTAGCACGACAAGAGATATTCGGCACCTGCCTCTGGAGACAAAGCGGTACTCGTTCATGATGGGCGACTTCCGGACCGAGAAGAGCAGTCCGCGCCGAAATGGAACTCGGTCCGATTCACCTGACTCTGGACAGCTGAAACGGAAGCGCGAGCTCCTCGATGAAGGACCAGAGACAATGCACAAGCGACAAGAGGTGGTAGACTCTCGACCAGAGGACGCCGACCACAATGATCACAGTGCAGCCAATGCAGCCTTCAGGAGTTACCAGGAGCTGTCTTTGCTCAGTCCTCGGAAAGCTAAAAACGCGGCTGACAAGTTTGCGAGGGACATAGGCGCAGGCCTGAGGTCATATGAATCAAACCTGAACAAGGACGCGGGCCGCAACAGGCGAAAGGAGAAGGTGGCTGAGAGAAAAAGCATAGGGTAAGGCCACGTCGTTGGGGCCGAGATGACTGTCAGCAGTCTTCTCATCCAAAGTGCACATTTGTGGCTCATAGTTGCCAAAGGAAATCTCCAACCACAGGGTAAGACGACTCGAGCAGTTGCCATAATTCCTGGAAGAGCGCCGGTCAGAAATGCCTCCTTCCTACCAGTCATGGAATCTTTTCAATCGAGCCTTTCCCCCTGATATCGAGGCACGGATGTGCAATTCTGGATCGTGGCAGGCAAGAAAGGAGATAAAGATGACGAATGCGAATAACTTCGCTCATTATGAGACCATTCCTCGTTGACATGCTCGAAAGACCAATGTCCGAGTCATTGCCCGCCTCCCTCATCCGGTTGAGCTGTATCAAGCGCATCCTGTTTCAATTGTTCTTCCCGTTGCTTAGCCTCATCGTATTGATCCCATGGCACTCGCCCCTCAGGCCCGACGCCGACGACATCCTTACAAGCCTTGAAGCACCCGTCCGCCTATATCGGTGCCTGTTTGCCACGTAACAGACATAGGATATGCAGAGAGTGAGTGAGACAGTGAGAGAATTACATAAGTCGGAACAAGGCAAGAGAGTCGAGAGTCAAGATAATTAACAGTATCATCTGCACTAAAAATCGAGAGAGAGGAAGAGGGAGAGAGAGACCAGACTGAGTGAGTATGCCATCATGTTCATTTTGCACCGTCGCCAGTAGTCGATTCCCAAGCCTATGCTACTCAGGCCAAGCTCTACTTATTTCCGGTTTGGCCTGGAGGACTTTAAAAATGATACGCTTACGCGAGAATCGATTACTGGTAACGCTGCCATTTTGAATCTTATGGATGATTTCTTACAGCTCTGCCGTCTGCCGTGTGGTAGGGGAGTGGATGAAAGGAAGGGCAATGAAACACTCACCATCTTGTGTGCGTGGCTGCATGATCTGATCTGGTCTGGGTTCCTCCGTCTGATCTGTCTCAAGTCGGTTGGAGGATACTCATACGAACACATGCATCGACGGACAGATGGACGCATTCACACTGTTTCAGACCGGTCTTGTCTGCCCCAATGACTCTACTGCATCCCGAAGTTTGAGTCGTGGACCATCAATTGCAGAGAGAACTGGAGGTCACTTCGAAAACTAGATAAAAAGTTGCTAGTGTTGGACATACATACAGTAGCAAGAAGCAAACGAACAAACTCGGCCAACTCTAGTGTTCGTGGTAGCGAAGGGAACACCTAGATGACTTGACGTAACTTGACTTTCCTCGAGTCGACTCACTTCAAGCCAGCATGGTCATATATTGACAACTTTAGTAGGGGTATAGAGTCTCGAGTGAAGGGAGTGACAATGGGTAGCTGTTGTGCGGCCCCGTGAGGAGACGGTTTCGGTGCCCTGCGACCTGAGGGCTTTGGTCCAGAGGTATATAAAGGCCAAGACGAGGTTCAAGGGTCGTGCACACAAGCGTCAAGAGTGTCGTACACGTGGGAAGCTTGTACATGAAAGGCCTTGTCCTGATTGGTCGATCTTGTCGCCTTCTGTCTCCACTGATATCGGCTCACTTCCGAATACGGATTCTATCCGAGAACCGACGAGCAAAAAGGTTTATGTACGAGCAGGATCTCTTGACGAAACTCTCTTAAGCGACGCGACTGCTCGGTACGAGGTCTCGGCAACTAATTACAAACAGGGAGTAGCCGTGCTCCTTGGATGGATGTGGCATCTCGTCCCCGATTCGACGTCTGACGAACCTGATTCGGTTCATTGGTTGCCCATTCTTGTGACAATGTCGGCAAACTCTTTTCGGAAATGGATAACCGATGCATTGGCGCCCGGAAATACCGCCCGCACCGGCTGGACTATATTGGAAATGCTCTTTTTCCCAACCTTGCTTCATCCCAAGTGGAAACTTGTGGGACGTGCGAAACAGCACAACAGCGCAACTGCTCCATTCAACGTCGGGGCCCCGCTGGGCTAAATGGCCTTGTTCACTGTTAGCCATGTCTGTTGCCCCCACGAGGAGCCGTTGTGGCGCAGTTGGCCCGAGTCTGACCTCGGCTTCAGGGCCGTGAGGAAAGAGTACGCACTGGCACACACATATAATGCGAAAATCGCAGCCTCTTTTTGTTGTCTGCGCTCTTGCAGTTTCTGTTATTCCCCCCGGAGCACACAAAGGTGGCCAGTTTGACGACCCTCTTTTCGCTACGTTTCGTTTTCAAGCCCTTTAGCGCTGTCGCCACCTCATAGTATTGACCAAGTCGACAACAAGGAAGGCCTCTTGTCGCTACATCGCCCAACATGGAGACGTGGAGTTGGTACAATATGTACCTGGTGTGGTTGGCCGGGTTTGGCATCTTTGCGAGTGCATACAACATGGGTATATATGACCTCGATGTGCTTGCCGCAACCTCATCGCATATGCTCCCACGCTAACAAAACGTCGTCTAGCTATCATATCGAGCACATTGGGACAGCCAACGTTCTACGAGTACCTGGACCTGACCATGGGCACGTCCCACACCACGTCCGTGACCTCGACCGCCAACGCTCTGTACTTTCTCGGCTCGTTCGTCAGCTGCTGCATCATCACGGCCATTGGAGACAGGATAGGGCGGAAGAAGACAATGTGGATATCTCTGTTCTTTATCATCATCGGCAGCGCCTTGCAGACCGGGACCCGCAACGTGGCCATGTACCAGGTCTCTCGCGTCATCACCGGCATGGGTACCGGATCGCTCTTCTCCACCGTCCCGGTGTACCAGTCAGAGATATCCCCGCCGCACTTCCGCGGATTTCTCGTCGGCCAAGCGGGCGTGTTCTCCGCCGGGGGCTACTCGTTGGCGTCGTGGGTCGGATACGGGTGCTTCTTCGCCAGCGACAAAGGCACCTTTGGCTTTCGATTCCCCATATCCGTTGGCTGCATGTTGGCTGTGGTGATGCTGGGGTTGTCGTTCATCATCCCCGAGTCCCCTCGTTGGTGTAAGCAAGAGGCTCTGGTCTTGTCGTTTCGTGTCTTCTTTCTTTGGTCGACAGCCTAACACGCACTTTCTCTCCCACTAGTGATCGAGCACGGCTACGAGGATGAAGGGATCCGTCTCCTGTCACGACTGCACCCAGACCGCGACGCGGCAAGCAGCGACCACTTTGCGCGACTGGAAGCCGTCGAGATCAAGAAACAGTACGAACTCGACGAGGCGATCCGGCGAAAGGAAGGGAAATTCGGCATCGTCACGCGAAAGTCGAACCTCAAACGCCTGTTCTTCTCGTCCTTCATCCTCTGGAGTTCGCAGGCCATGGGCATCCTGGTCATCAACAACTACAGCGTCCAGCTGTACAACGCGCTCGGATACACCGGGAGCCGCGCACTGCTGTTGGGCGCCGGATGGATTTCGGTCACGATCCCCTTCAACGCCGTCGCGCCGTTCTTGATCGATCGTCTGGGTCGGAAGATCATGTTCCGTGAGTGAACCCCCTCTCTTGGCCCCCGGCGCCCCGCTCGGAGGAGGACGAGGAAGATATCGAAAAATGGCTGACCATAAGGCACATTGAAGTGATCGGATCGTTTCTGCTCTGCGTCTGCGTCGCCGGGGAAGGGGCTTTGTTGAAGAAGTTCACCGACACGGGCAACGATTCATATGCCCGAGGAGCCATTTTCTTCCTCTACTTCTTCGCTTTTGTAAGACATGCTACCTCTTGAACTTCTTCTGGCTCTTCCTGACTGCTTGACTGATCGATTGACTGACTCACCTACAACCGCAGAGCTACGGCACATTCATCGATGCCTCGTCCTGGGTCTACGCTGCCGAGATCTGGCCTAACCACAACCGCGGCACGGGCAACGGCATCGCCTTCGCTGCGTGCTACGCGTCCACCATCTGCTGGACGCAGTCGGCGCCGATCGGCTTCGAGAACATTGGCTGGAAATTCTACATGGTCTTTGTGGCCAACTCGATTCTGTGCTTCGTCGTCGTCCTCTTGTTTTATCCCGAGGTAGGTTTATTGTTGAAGTGGCGCCTTGCCCCGTTGCTGTCCTTGATTTCTCTCTCTCTCTCTCTCTCTCTTTCCGTGTGTGTGTTTGTGTGTATATGTGTGTAGCTGTGTCCAAACCCCCCAGCTAACAAGTATATCTTCACACCTAGACGCGCAACCTCCCGCTCGAAGAGATCCCGAAACTGTTCGGCGACGAGATCGCGTATGAGGACATCAATCTCGCCGAGACCACGGGTGACAAGGTCCTAGCACCGGAGGTGCTCACAGAGCAGCCAAAGTCGCTTGATGCGTGACGCGGGGAATGATACGGAGGTGGCTCCAACTCCCAGATGAGGCCAGTGTAACGGTGTTCTTTCTTTTTTTTTCTTCTCTCTTCTCAATATGCATCGGGCGGCCGGAGATCTAGTATGTCTAACGGTCCGGCGCTGATGGGGTGGGGGTCGTCGAGAGAGATTAGACTGAGCTCTTGGTGAAAGTCATGGGTGCAGACCAAGCATTACCGTGTCGGGGGGTTGCTCCTACGTCTCGCTTCTAACCGAACATTCTTACACAGCACCACGATGGAATGGGGTATTTCACACAAGGCTGTGTCACAGACAAGGCTCAGTGCGCAAGGGGATACGAACAACCTTGCATCAGCATGACATGATAGTAACGTGGGGGAGAGAAGCAGCAGAGTTTTGCTTCAAGTACAGTGAGGTGTTTGTTGTTAGAAAAAGAAAAGAAAGGATTGAGCAGCACTGTTAATGCATGTGCACACTCGAGGCTCAAAAAATAAAACACCCGGCGTCATCAGAAGACTCCTCTACCTCCCCCTCCCCATATCCGCCATCGGTTTGGAAAACCCTCCTACGAAGCCCCGTCAAATTCGCCGTCATCCAACCCTGCACGTTTTATGCATTCCTTGATCCATGCGCGGCACCTCTTAACAGCCTGTAATCGAAGGCAGTCCTTGAGCTCCGTTCGTAGTTCTTCCCAATCCAAGGATGTCATTTGAGGGTCGTCAACGGGGACAAGGTCGGCGAGTCGAAATTGAGGAGATTCGTTTGCCGGAGGGAGTATAGACATGCGACCCCCTCTTCGCCTTGGTCGTCCGGTTCTCGGATTGCGAGTCCAAGCCTCAAGATATACTTCTGAGATTTGTCCTACCCACTGGTATCCTTTGAACTCCACCGGGCCGTATTCCCCCTGAAGCGAGAAGTCTCCTTCCTCGATCTGATCAGGTGAATCCCGAGCTATATTGAGTTCGTCGCAAGTATCCAAGTCGAAAGGGAGTGGGCATCGGTATGCTGGACTTTCCGTGATTTTGATGAGAACGACCATAGAACATGTCGGGTGACCGGTGAGCCACAGCCGCATGTCTTCCTGAAGATCTTCGTAGGTTTCAGAGAAACCAACCTCAAGAGCCCATTGAAGTTCACGTTTAGGACTGTCATTCTTCCGCAGAGAGATGCCCATATCCGGGATTTTAGATGAACCTAAATGTTCTGCCTTAAACACATCTTCCTCCACGCTTGTATGAATCTTGACCCTTTTGCGGAGTTGTTGAGGAAGGACTCGATTAAAGAGGATAATGAAATGGTCATGAAGAAAAGCGATAATGCTTTCGTGGAGCCAGGATTGCATAGCGTATATTTTGAGAGTTGATGTGTGGGAGTTGAATGAAAATCGAGGCCAACTATGAACAGCGGTCAGTAAATGATTCTCGAAAGGAACAAGGGACGCTAGAAGGGAGAGAATGATATGAAATATTTGAACGTACACTTGACGCCTTTCGTCGTCAAGGTTGTACTCGTGGCATAGAACCAACCACTCGATCTCAGATATCTTGCAGACAAAGACCTTCTCGAGATCGTACTCTGTGGCTGTCGATTTCGAGTTGTAGAATTGCTGTAGAAATGCACGGGCTTGTTCGATTCCGGTTGGAGACTGTCGTCTGGCTGCTGCGCTCTGCCTGCGTCGGGAAGTGGGAGGAGGATCTGAGAGTTGTTAGCGGCTGGAATGGAAGAGCGTGAAGGTATTCTGACCATGGCGCTGATATTTGGGCGAGCCCGAACCACCGACACTGCCTTCTGAATCCATGTTTGAGGCAGTGAATGGAGCTGGAAGATATGGTGGTGAATCAAAGTCTCGCCTTCCGACGAGAGGACAGGCCGGAGAGGGCTGCGGTAATGTCTTGCTTTCCGACAAGACACAAGAAACAAAGAAACAAGTCTCAGCCTCGGACGCGGGAGAGACGAAAGATCACAGAGGGAGTCTCAGAGATGTTATGAACACGGTAAGACAGGAGTAGAGGAGAGGGGACAAAGGGACAAAGAGACAAAGAATGCCCTCCAGCTACTTATAGCTCTTGAATTCGAACAACGAACTCGAAGGGTCCGAGCGCGTGGTGGAATGTAACGTTCCCGGTGACATTCATCACTGGGGTCTCAGCCTCAGTATTCCCGTCGCGAACCAGTGCTAAGTTCGGAGCAAACGGGTTCTCTGGGCATCCTGCTGGTTCATCAAAAAGGGTGAATGGTCGTTCAACATATGTGCGCATCATACTCGAACACCAAATTTGTACCGCGCCAACTTCGGCTCATTATTGTCTTGGCATCCGCGCCGCTTCCGTCTCATGAACCCTGTGTCAGAGGTCATTAGAAATGGAAAGACCTATCGGCATAGTGTACCGGAGAGCATGATGTCGGGTCAGACTGCAGTTGATGGGTTGAGAGGGGTGAAAGTCGCACGTCACTCGCTGTGCACAATGCACTTTCCCGCCCTGAGATCGTTGTAGTTCGTCTTTGGCAGCGGATGTTCGTCAGGTAACTAAGGAAAGAACATATCAGCGACCGAGAACCGGGGCCCAGCTCCCCTATCGATACTCTGCATTGAGCTTGGGATCCATATTTCCAGAGGCGCCAGGACTACAGTCATCAGTCATACCTATACGAGATACCGAGTACATGTAGTCAAGTGTGAGCGGCAGAGAGACGCTAGCCATATATAGACTAGTGTTCATTCCTCGATATTCAACAGAGAATGCGATAGGATAAGATACACCACGTGACATTTTGGGCCACTTCCCTCCCTGAAAAACAATTGTCAAGCCAATAGAATAACCGTATGACTGCAGTCCTGGACAATCACCGTCCATGTCTATTTCCCACAGAGATGAGAGAGTCTTCGTCGATGGACGGCACCTTGTCCCTTTTTCTCTCTCTTTTGGATACTCTGTAGGTTAGTGCCCGCCCGTTGAGTTTCACAACTGCCAAAGAACAACGTGTAAATGACATAGCCAAATGTCAACATTAAGCGCTAGTGATGAGCTAAGTACTTCGGCTACCTTGGGCTGTCAGTGTTGCAGACTAGCAGACCATCGCGTGATCGGGACCGACATTAGGCCAATGGGATACAAGCAGACGTCGAGACGGGAGAGTGGACTCGGCGGTAAGTGAGTGGGGGCCCCCTCGATCATTTGGTCAAAGCCAAATCATCACCAACAGCTCAGCTCAGCAGCTTGTTTAAGGCCAAGTCTGCGGCTGATCCCAGCGATGATTGAGCTGGTCTCCTCATAAACCTGGGCGTCCCTGATTTCCTCATCATTGATTTCTTCGTACTCATCCTCGTCCTTATCCTCATCCTCATACTTGATCTCCTCGTACTCAGTTTCTGCGTCCTCAAATTTGATCTCCTCATACTCGGGTTCCTCATCCTCTATTTTGCTCTTCTTATCCTCGATGCTACTTTTTTCAGCTGCCCGACCCCTCTTTAGTTCGAGATATTCATGAAACCACATTTCATCGTCGTCAAGTACGGCGTCGTTGGGATTATTAGGATCTCGTCGCCTAAGGCCGAGAATGGGAGATCCGACCGGTTCTGGAGATGCGACCTGCACTGCTGTCCCCTCGGCGCGCTCCCCGCAACCTTCCGGATCACAATAATACTGCAGTGTCGCGTTTTGGTCGATGCGCAGGTACAATAATTTGGAGGAATCAGATCGTAAGAATGCTCGAAAATGCTCGAAAACTGTGTACGCGAAACGTGCGTAGAGGAAGTGGGTATGGAAGCCCAGGTCACGCATTCGAGGTAATTCCACTCCGTGGTGAAGGCGAGTAAGCTCAGAATCAGGATCGGCGTTCATGCAGTAGCCCACCCAGCGGCTTTTCATGGGCACAACGGTGAACATCTTCGCATCAAGCGCGGCCCGCAAGTCCCCACCCAACCGCACACTATTGTCTGGATCTTGCATCTTGTCTCGAATCTTTGTGGCAGAATACGTCCACATGTACTTGCTGAACCACCTCCTCTCGGCCATTGGAATCAGATGTGTATCTTCCATGTCGTCCTCGCATTGAGTGGCACGGCAAAGGCTGTCATCATCTTGTGCTGATGATTGATTGGAAGCCACAGTTTCATTCCACCAGTGGGGGGGACCCTTGGTTGGAAAGGCCCACTCGCTAAACGTTGGGATAACAGCGTAGTTCGAACCTATTCTGTTTAAACATGAAACAACTGATCCGGACGTCACACTTACCCCTCTTCTGTGGTGATGTCTGATAGTAATATTGTGGCGCTCTCAGAATCTTTTGTGCATGTAGAATACGATGTTCACCCTCCTTATCCAGTGAGAGATAACCGGTCCAACGATTGTCATCGATAACAGAGCACGCCGCCCAGGCCGTGGCATGATGAACGCCGCCTTCATCCAGACGAGGGAAGGTGAACATAGGATGGTCATGGTAGGGGTGCTTGATGTGGATAGGCGGTGAGGTGGGTGGACGTGACGGCGGCGGATATGGAGACCCGACTAGTCTATCGCTCTCGGAGTTGGTCATTCTGGCTCCGGTTCGACGCTATTGTGACTATCCACGCTGACGATGTGGGTTCGTTCCAGCACGCGGGCACGGCAGACACCGCATGGCACAACAGCGCAGGCACCAGAGCGCAGGCAGCGCCAAGCCCAAACCTCCCACGTGATCAAACCCCTGTCTGCCCCTCACACTGGCACCTCGCGCAAATCGCAGTTACATATTAATACCAGGAACATCAAACCACGGGACCAAAGGAGAGGCCATTCGAGAAAAATATCGCCGGAACCGACTCGCCTGAGGGTCTCTAGGTACTGGCGATCTAGAATTCATGCCATCGAGGACACCGCCTGTCCCTTGTCAGCTAAACTCGGCTCACAGCACCACCACTCCGACCGCAGCACAGCGCAGCGCAAGATGAAGCTGATTCTTTCAACCTCGTACGCATTGAGCCCGGGCCCCCCAAAACGACCTAATCCTAACGGGTGAAACCATTGCTGACATTCAACGTCAAAACTATCTAGCAATATAATGTCCGCGGGACACTCAGTCGTGCGGCGGCCACTGTTCTCGCGATCAAACATCGAACTTATCAATTCCCTCCGCGCAAATTTTGCCTCCTTCAAACATTACTCCCCCACTCAGCCCTCCACACCTAGTACGGCCGAGCACTTCATACCGCCCGCATGGACGACTCAGGAAAATGACACCCTCTATGTGCCGTCATTGCGGCCAACGCCCCTCGTTGAACCCCGCGACTCGTACGACGTTACCTGCAAATTATTCTTCCTCCCCGGTATCCCGAGTACTCGACGGTGCCGGCATACCCGAGAAGCCATCGATTTGGTCCTAAAAGAGCTGGGGATTGACAATATTGATCTGTTGATTGTTTCATACCCCGGGGTGACTTTTGACGCAGACGACGAAGAAGGTGATGAGGAAGCGGAGCAGGCTTCCGCCGACGAAAACCCCAGCGAGGCCAGCGACGAGTCCGAAGGCTTGGAAGCGCAGCTCAAGACCTGGCAGGTACTAGAATCGCTATATGACAAGGGCGTCATCTCGCAGCTGGGCGTCTCCGAGTTTAGCTCAGAGAGACTCGCGAGATTTCTACCAGAGGTCCGAGTTCGTCCCAAGGTCGATCAGATCAACGTCAAGGACTGCTGCGTCGTGCCCAAGTCGCTGATCATGTACGCGAAGGAGAACAAGATTGAGCTCTTGACACACGCAGACTGCATGGACATCTTACCGCCGGGGACGACGAGGGATTTACTAGGGCCGGGTAATGACGGCGCTGGCATTCTGGCTGCGCACCCTGATGGCGGACCCGAAGAACCCGGCTTGAAGGGCGATATTGAGCCACAATGGGTCATCAAATATACCGCTGTGGTGAAAAACCGCGGCGTCATCGAAAACAAAGGGTATTTTGCCGTCGCGCAACTGGGAAGCTGTATCGAGGAGAAGCCGGCCCAGGATGTAGTAGCATCATGAGCCCTCGAGCACTCCTCTCCCCAGGGTGATAGTTAAACATGAGCTTTGGCATGGCGTTGAAAGTAGCAACGATTTGGCGCCCTCGTTTTATCCGATCATGCTCCTTTTCCTGCCTCTCAACCTCACTTCCTCCAACCTTTTGAGGACGACGCTGGAGTCCTTGAAACTGCCCCTGTATCCTTCCTGACTCTGCAAGACCTCGGCATCGAACCATCCCTCCTGTCTCGGGTGCGTTGATCCAAAAGCCCGCTCGAGGACATAGAGATCCACGGCCCTGTCTTCGTCCTGGACTGACTGCGTCGCAAGACCAAAGTCAATGAGTACAATCTCGCCTGTCAGATCGGGCGGTTGCAGACGCGGTGCGGCTGCTTCTTGTTCAGATCGTGGACCCGGCGCTGTATTCTCTCGCTCGCCGTTGACCATCCCTTTCCGCTGCCCATTTGTGTTCTGTGTAGAAGTGTAAGGACGGATCATGATGTTGCTGCTCGTCAAATCACCGTGGACCACGCCTCCTTTGGCGTGCATCGCTCCCACGGCCCGGCCAATGCGGCGCAGCAATTTCTTCACCGCCTCTTCCTGTTGCACAGCAATCCCGATGCCGCGTCGTGATTGTTCGTCGTTTGCCTGGGCGTGGGTGGTGAGGGATTTGGACCAAGCGTCCCAGTCGCGCAGCAGGTCCTTGACGCTGCGCCCTTCGATCCACTCCATGAGGAGCCACGCGCCTTGTCCCACGGCGGAGCTCGTCTCCCTCGGTCCTCGCTGCGGATCGCTCGCCCCACGGACTTTCCGCGCAATATCCCACTCCAGGCTCAACACCGCGGGGACCTTGACTGCGCCGTCCTCATCCGCGCCGGCGACGCCGTTCAGCGCCGACAACTTGACGAGGATGCGCGCTTCGGCGAGCACCCTCTGCTTGGTCAGGCGCGCGTCGAGCGTGGGGTGTCTGTATGCCTTGCTCGGTCGGAATTTGAGGGCTGCAGGCTGCGCCTGGTGCAGGAAGTGGGTGCGGTACAGGAGGGCCTCGGCGCCCTGGGTTACCAGCGTCGGCGGTGGTTCCGTGGCGTGGAAGGGAGAAGGTAGCATGGTCCTATCTTGGTTCTGTGGTGCATGAGGGTCGGCGAGAGGTAGGGGATTTGCGGCGTCGGTGGTTGGAGCGGTGCTGGTCATGGTGGGATGTGATGCGGCTCAGCGTGATATGGAGCGGTTGTTGCGAGGGCGGTCAACGGTCGGATGGCACTGGGATGGGCATCACTGGAGATGAATCGTGGCTCACCAGTGTGATTGATGTGTCAAGAACCCCATTTCTAGCGATGAAGCGAAAATTGGTCGCGACGGAAACAATGCATGAGTCGAGTTTTTCGAACATGTGAGGCTGCGGGGAAGTTTCCCTGGGCTAATATTATATCCGCAGTGGTACAGTAGCGAGTAAAAATCTAAAAAATTAGTAATTTTACCGAGAGTATAACTACGTACTCTAAGAGTCTAATATAGCGCTATTTATATAGTAAATAGTCTATCCTGTAGTACATAAGAGTGTTATGCCACAGCCCTAAACAGGGTAAATTGGCCTATAGTAACGCTAAAGGCCTGAAGGGTAGTATCTCTAACTGCTAAAACTCGATGATGGGGCTGTCATAATACGTCCACCTTATCGCAGCTAAGTCCATCATCATGTTAAAGGGAGGCCTTGTCAGTTAAATTGATTAGGTGCAGGATACTTTCTACACTAAAGGTACGCAGGGGATGTGGTGGGTAGCTTCGCGCATATTGACCTGATAGATAATGCAAGACTTCATTTACCCTACGAAGCCTGGCTCTCTTGAGGGCAATATCCGGCATGCAATGTTAATCGAAGCACTGAATGAATGATGGACAGCCGTAAGTCGGAAGCTATCATTCATTCCTGTGTAATTAACCGTAGTCAACTAATATTGAACACGCTATTCTGTGGTCTAGCCTTCCTCGCTCATTGACAACGAGCTACTTTGAAAGAATGATCGGCTCCGGTCAGCTTTCTCCTCCGCATGTTTCTTTGCCCGAACCATGTCTCTCTCGTCGTCGGTGTTGAGTTCCTCTTCCGGTGCTGGGGCACGAGATACAAGTTTGCGGCGAGGCCGTGGCTTGACATCAATCTTGGCCTCCGCTTGGTTGAGGAAGGTGCAGAGAGTGGCGCATGAAATAAAAACTGACCCCTCCAAGTTCTCGAACGTCTCGCAAAGCTCGACACTCACAAAGTCCCGTAGGTTGACACGTAGTCCAGCACGTGGATCAAGATTTGGCTCACCGTTGTCCTCTCGAAATACCTGTGTCTCACTCGCAGTGATCCAGGCCTCCTCGCCATCTTGTGGCACCGCATGTGGACGCCAGACCGAAACTGAGGCCTTGTTTTTCTTATACTGGATATCGAAGGCGAGCAAGACACGAACGTCCAGATTCGAGTCCAGGATGTAGGCGTCCGCCAGGTGTGGCAATCTTTTGCCATCTTGTGAATATGCGGCCTCCGTCACTACGCCAGGGAAGGGTTTGACCTATGGCGAAATGAACCATCCGGATCGTGTACCCCAAATCCTTTTCTCGTAGGATTGAAGGTGGTTGAGCCAATGAATTCAATCTCCTGGGCAAAACTTGAAGAGGGTCCCTCGAGGTTCCCAATTGGTGTCGAATTTCATCATGAAGCCTCACAAGGAAGCATTCATGGATGGGCGTGGGTCGGCGGATAATGAAGAGGCGTTCCGAAGGAAAGAAGTCGCGCCTGTATCTTCGGTAAGTACTTTGTTGTGGAATGAAAGAGTTACCTACGAGATCTTGGCCTGGAAGAATAGGTTTTCAGAGAGCTTTTCCTCCAATTCTTGATGTTCGAGTTCACTAATGTAGAATTTCAGTAAGCCGCCCCCGGGCACGAATTGGCCTCTCTCGTATCGGTCAATCGCTTCTAAGATCGGGATAATCGATTCTTTCTCGCCGATTGAGGGAGGGGCTAGCAAAGAGTCGCGGCAGCTTGCGGCGGCGGAGCAACGTCACAATGAGGATCTCCTTGATCCATGACTGCGCACCGAATGCCACACACAGTCGTTGGAGAGAGCCATGGGAAAATGGAACGAGGGACGTGACGCCCACAAGTGACATCACGCGCCAAGAAAAACGCGCCAAGCCACCAAGCCAGACACGCTAAGTAGAGCATCACGTGTGCATCCATTTCATGTGCGGCGGCATTCGGACATCATATTATACTTTATACTTCCCCAGACTTCGAGACCAAGTCCCCCTTAGAGCGATTCGAGAGTACTTCTAGCTCGGAGCTAGAGATGGCAAATCTGCGCTACCCTGTGATACTTGCGGGACAACCACGGTCATCAATCCTCCTCAGCCTGTTGCTTCCATCAAAGCACAAAGCTTGCGTCTGAATGTATCATGCTCCCATCTCCCGCTTGTATCTGTTCGAAAAGGCGACCCCGGTGCCAGTTCTGCTGGTATACCGAATTGGATGGCTATCCCCGTAAGTCAGGATCCGCCCCTGCGAAATGTCTACTCTCTCACCTATTGAAGTCAAGAGGCGACCGATCAAGCCAACAACCTGCTTGCTATGTTTTCAGACACCGAGGAGTGCTTCCGTCACATTTCATAAACACTGCATCGCTGCAGTGACCGAGGCTCTTTCGTCGGCTTCGAGAGATGACCCCGACTACAACCAGGAGCCAATCTTGGAATCTGCACTCGCTTCTCGGCCAATAATACATCCACAGAGGCATACCGTCCAGCTCCTTGCGAAGAATCTCTTCGAGGAGCCCGTTTCTACGTTCATTCATACCCGTTGTGATCTCAAACGGCTCAAATCCCTGCCTTTCAATGTTCTGAGCATCATCTGCACATATCTGGATCCTTTCCCCGAGCTCATGTCCATCATCCAAACGCTGCCTCTTTTGGCACGATACATGGAATGCGACAAGCCTTCCTGGTCTACACTCACCGATTTGAAACCGGGTATGACACTCTTTATGACTTTCGACAAAGCACGCGGAATCGAGTACTTGACCAACCTTAGTAAGACCAACGAAAACCTCAATCAGAGTCGGGTACTTGTCTTGGGAGATGAAATAGTTGTGTGCCGCGACCACTTTGGAATTCAGAGCTTGTCTTGCGGAGAAGGCCCTCCTAAGCGTGACGAGTCAAGGAACTCCTTCTATTCTACTATACCATTAAGGAAAGTTGGTGTTAGTTCATCTCACCTCCGGCTCTTCAAGGATGTAAGTTTCTATTGTCTCGCTGTATGCCTACTCTAACCTTGATCTGTCCGCTCCTAGGGTGTTATTGTGCGGTTCCTTGCCCCTACCGCGGTCGATAACATCCGGGCGGTTGAATGGAACGTGCCATCCCTCCCTACTAGCACCATCCGATTCTCAAAAAATGTGCGCACGTCGCAGCTTGATCCTCTTGCCCGCTTCGAATATCACAGTCTTGTCAATATAAGAGGGATATCTGCCGTTGTTCGTAACAGCCGGACAATCGACCTTTTCTGCCACCAGAAGACCCCCGGTGTCGATTTCGCACTATTCGCTCGCCGTTTCGAAGACGTATTTCCCGGCCATAGGCTACTCTTTCTCTATTTCCCGGTAGCGAAAGAGGAGAACGTTCAGATTGTTTGTCTCCGCCGTCTGACTCTGTTCAAGTCTCCGCTGGACATGCCGGTATTGCAGGTGAGCCTCCCCTGACTCCCTGTTCCTTTCTCGTTTCCTTTTCTTCTCAGCCAGCGTCAGGAGTCCGGGAACTAAATTACTCAAGGTCGCAACGGATAGAGGCAGAAGCTATACTTTTGGCCCTCGACCCAAGAACCAGAATCTCTTCGTGTTTGAAGCTGTCTCGGCCGAAAGTCGAGGGCGGATTGAGGGTTTCTTCCATCAGTCTGTCGGCGAGCATGCCGCTAGTTTCACCGAAGCAGGTGTAGCAATATCAGGTGAATGCAAGCAGGACTCCACACCGGTCTGTATTCCACATGGTTCCTATTCACACCCTCGAATCGGCAGTCCTGATCAAGACTGGTGCCTCAATGTGGCGCCTGTGACATCTTCCACGACAATGCAGGTGTGCAGGAACGACGCAGCCGACCTTCCGTGCCTCGGCGCCCTTCTGTACACCGGTGACACCGTGGAGAGCTTAGGTCAGGTACGATTCGACAGGTGCTTGTCTCAGCCGGTCCCTGTCCAGCACTGTCTGTTTCGCAATCATGTTCGTGATAGGCACCGATATGTCTACATCCGTCATGTGCTGGCGCATGAAGAGGACGAGGCATGTGACGGCTGGGAGACGTTCCCCACGGAAGGTGAGGTGGCGTGGTGGTGTGGGCCTAACGGGAATGAAATACAGCTATGCAGGGAATGAGTGGCACTGGAGAGGTGACTGGACGCAACTATATCGATTCAGCTTGCTGGACGCTATCCTCAGCCTCCACAAACGCTCCAGACAGGTCATCATCTTCCACGTTCCCCCCCTCCAGGTTCGGCGTCTACAGCCCCGACTGTTCTCTCGGCCATCGCTCTTTCACCATCACATCCCAGTGTCTCAAATTCCAAAATCTCTGGACTTGCTCCAACGCGATCAAGAGTGCTGTTGGCCACTCTTCACCGTCTACACGCCATGTTGTGGGAATGTTGAGGATGGATTGGTTACATGGCTTTAAAGCGCCTTGCCTGGTTACACAACTTACGACGCCTGAGTGGGGTTTGAACGGCCGAAAGCAGCAAGTTTTTGGTCGACGAATTTGGAGGCATTCGGAGTCCAGGGTGAGGCAGAATTCCTCTGGAACTGGAAGCGTTGCTCTTTGGGCGGGATTGATGTCCTTCGACGTTCGACACATTGTGTACGGAGGAGGGTTGTAATGTCGGCAGCGGGGTCTTCCGACAGCTTCTTCGTTATCCTTCGGAGGACCTGTACGTTGAACTGGACGCCGCGGTGAGTGGGCTCCCGACTTTTGGAGCCGCTTGCTGCTGTATCGGTACCATTATTGCCGATCGCACGATGCCGTGTGCCTCGAACCATCAGCAAGTTCCATGAAATGGAATACCTTGCGACCTATGAGGTTATTCACTGAACGAACCGACATCTGCGGGCACTTTGAGTCCGATTCCAGAAGTAAATCCAGGTTCGATAGCGACCACGGTGAGCTCAAGTTCTCCGTGATGTCTGGGTGTGCGAAACAGGTCTGTGCCTGCGACGTAAGCAATTTTCCGAGATCTGGCACCCTGGTCTGGGTGAGGTGAGCACAAGGCACCAACACCGCCGTCCCGAGCTGGGGATGAGGCACGAGGGCAAATGTGACCCACAGTAATCAATGCGACGGGGCGTCTTCACAGGGCTGCGGAGTTATAGCTCAGCCTTGCTGACAAGGCTGAGTCAAGACTGGGATAAAACGGCGAGATGGGCTAGTCCGGAAACGGAAGCGGACTGTGGAAAGGTTACGATTCATCTGCGCTCTCCCTCGTCCCCCCTGGTGTACGTCATGCCATCAAAGCACTACAAGAGATGAAGGGCAGTACCGAGTACGATGTTTATGATCTCGGAGTACACCGGCAACAGATTGCGGAGGAAAAGGACAAGGCTTTGCAAGAGGTTTACTCGATGTTTCTTTAAAACGGCATGAAATCAGTCCGTAAGAGGGATCGCGCGGCACATGGCTTGGCACAAAATTCTGGGCTCCCGCCCGCAGTTTGTGAGTTGCCCGCACATGCGATCAAGCCCGCCATCGAGTCACAACTCTTACTTTCTTCTTTCGTTACTCACAAAGAGGTCTCACATCCATCCCTCATCATCGAAGCTATCCTATCAGCATTCGGGAACAGGGCTCCTCCGCGCCTACACCGTCAAAATGTCGGACCCCAGCTCGCTGACGAATTGTCGCTTCTACGAGGAAAAATATCCGGAAATCGATAGTTTTGTCATGGTGAACGTCAAACAGGTAGGTCCCAGTGTCCCAAGTCCGCCGGCGGTTCTAACACAGTGGCTTGAACAGATTGCAGAGATGGGCGCCTACGTCAAACTCCTAGAATATGACAACATCGACGGCATGATTCTCCTCTCCGAACTCTCTCGAAGACGTATCCGATCCATACAGAAACTCATCCGCATCGGTCGCAACGAAGTCGTGGTGGTCCTCCGAGTAGACAAGGAAAAAGGCTACATTGATCTGTCAAAACGAAGAGTCTCGGCCGAGGACATTGTGCGTTGTGAGGAACGGTACAACAAGAGCAAGTCGGTCCACTCCATCATGCGGCACGTTGCGGAGAAGACGAAGACACCCATTCTGAAGTTGTACGAGTGCATCGGTTGGCCGCTCAACCGGAAATATGGCCACGCCAATGATGCCTTCAAACTCTCCATCACAAACCCGGACGTGTGGAATGACGTGACATTCCCCAACGAGGTTGTCAAGGAGGAATTGATGACATACATCAGCAAGAAACTGACACCGCATCCGACAAAAGTGCGGGCCGACGTGGAGGTGACGTGTTTCAAGTACGACGGCATCGATGCTGTGAAGGCGGCACTGAGGCAGGCTGAGGCAAGAAATTCTGCGGAAACACAGGTCAAGGTCAAGCTGGTGTCTCCCCCACACTACGTCCTCACCAGTCAGTGTTTGGACAAGGGCATGGGTATTCAGTTGCTCGAGCAGGCAATCAAGGACATTGACGACAATATCAAGGAAGCAGGGGGTGCGTGTGTGATCAAGATGGCCCCCAAGGCCGTGACGGAACATGACGATGCGGAATTGCAAGCGCTGATGGACAAGAGGGCACGGGAGAACGAGGAGGTCAGCGGTGATGAGGACGTGAGTGAGAGTGACGAAGGACCGGAGGTTGCATAAAGCGCCACAGGTTGCCTGCGGAGTCAAAAGACTGGTATGGGTTCCGTTTGGAGACAAATCATATCCTGAAGGACTCCCGCAGGTCGCTGTTGAGCAGATGAATGCCAGGGTTGAAGCGGAGGCGTCACATCAACCCACGCTTTGCTGCGGCAACTCATCGCTTCCCTATCAACGCTATGATTGGCGGTGATCTGTCTTCCGGGGTTCGCGAGTCCGTCGACATGTTCTTGGGTGACATTCTGTCATTTTCCCAAACAACAATCTCGAATCACGAGTGCCTCTCTGTCTGCGCGATCCGTCGCTTCACACGAGGCTGATGTTGTAGCCCGCGACAGCACCGACTCAGTTTAATGACCCAAAAATTCGCATTTTGCAGAACTGGTTGAGGGAGTTTTCCAGTCCGATTTATGTTTTGTGTTTAGGTTTCAAATAAACGGCCTTGATAAGATGATTTTGTTATCTTGCATGTAGCCACCAAAGGTTGTCTGCAAAGAATACTAGAAGTGATGATATTTCGATCAGAAAATAACCCCCCTTTTCATCCTTGAAGATGGCAAGGATTCACCAAGCAAAAAAGAAAATGAACCCGGCCGGATTTGAACCGACAACCTTTCGATCTGGAGTCGAACGCGCTACCGTTGCTGAATGAGAATTAGCCTGTATGTCACTTTTGGAGAAGTAGAGAGTGAAGCTCACCGCCACAGGTCCAGGCGTTTAAGACACATATTCAGAGGCAAATTTGAGCTTCGAAAAATATCTATCTAAGATAGAGGTGAGTGGCGGGCTGGCCAACCCTAACCGGCATAGGTTTAGTTCAGTCACATGTTGATGACGTGCGCCTGGTCTAGTGCCTCGCCTCGGCCACAGAAGGACTCCTCCCACGGAACACGTAGACTTGATCGTACAATTCTGTCAATTATTCTCGAGTCCTACATGTAATTTATGACTTCCTTTTGCCCTACCGGTAGGACCGACTCAGCCATGAAGGAGGACCGCGTGATAAAGACAAGAAGTCACAAGACGCAACTCCCCGCCAGGATCTGGTGTGAGAGTGTTCTCCCTTTGTCCGCCAAGCGTTGAGTCGTAGTAGGATGGACTTCAGATAGAATAATCACATTACAGTCAGTCGCCAATCATCAGTGCCCTAGGACTTCTCAACTTTCGCCACCAGTCCCATCCATCCTCCGAGAGCTCAGGCAAACCATCGGACCATATCTGACGAAGATTCCCGCTCGTCGTCCAGCCAAGGATACTCATGGACCAACTTCCTCGAGCCGTCGGCTGCATACTCAAATCTGCTGAGCTCGAGAGCCGGCCGCTGCTTTCCGGTGCCTGTTTCACGGCCCACGACGCTGACGAACGCGAAGCGACGCGCTTCGGGTGGCAGCACGGAAGCCGGGTGTGGTTGCGGCGAATCCTCTGTGCAGGAGACGAGGTTTTCACTCTCCTCTATCGAAATCACTTTGGCGACCACACGGTCAGGCGCGACGAATGCCCACGAGTCTTCTTGCTTTGGGGCCTGGCGTATCAGCCGTAGCGCCGCTCGTCTCAGTGACGGATCTCGGCACTTGGTCGCACAGAAGTACAACGGTGGAATGAGCCCAGGCTCCAAGCTCAACAACAGCGAGTGAACCTTCGCGGAATCTGCGGCCTGTCGGAGGCAACACGCGGCGTGCTCGACGATTTCGGCAAAGTGGTCCATGTATTCGTCAAAGGCCGTCTGATGAGGGCTGAGGCATGCTGCTACAGATATGTAGCAGACTGCCCAATACGTCAGCAGATACGAGTGTATCAGGTCGCTCTCCAATTCCAGTGTTGTCTGGCTCCTTTGAGCAATAAAAGAGGACTTCCACTGCTGCAGGTCATCCAACAACGACAGTCGCTGGGACAGGAAAAACATCTTCTGCGGCTCCCTCTCTTCAACATGAGGCAAAAAATCCGCATGTCTGATGACTTCGTAAGACTGGTTCATCAGGCGATCAAATTGGACTCTTGCCTCGAGCAAAGAAGACGTAGATGACGTTGTCTTGGAGATCTCGCTAGCGCTGTTACTGGCACCCTGGGATAGATCGCTTCCCAGGGTAGCAATCACAATGGCCTTTTTCAACACGTACGATGCGACCAGTTGGTGAACAGTTTGGCTTGCGGGCGAGCTGGGTCGGGTATCGAGTAGCCTGAGATTGTCGGTAAGGATTCTAGAGCACCGTTTCATCAGGTTGTTTGCAATCTCGACGTTACGATGATGATATTCCACAGACGCGAATAGGATGTAGCTCAACGCGACAACAGAGTCATCGAGATGCCCACGCTCGGCCAGTCGTCGGACGCTCACAATCGCTTTGTGATAGTGTCTCAATGCTTGCAAATGCTTTCCATTGGTGATGTTTGTCAAAGCCGCGGGGTCGGAGGCGGAAATAGGCGACACGTATGGAACGTGCTCAGCCAAGGAGCTGAGGCACACAACAGTGTCCCAGACAAAGCCATATGTCTGGGCAAGCTGGGGGATATGCTGTTGCCAAAAGGTAGCCTCCACTGTTCCCGCAAATGCAGGAGCTGCGCCATACATGAAGTAGTGCCACGCACGTCGTTCGTCCTCCGCGTGGTGAGGAGCGAGAAGAGAAACCATCTGCTGTGGACTGGGACTGCTCGACTGGCTGACCGGTCTATTCTGAACGAACCGAATCTCTCGAACAACGGGGCCTTCGCATTTGCGGCCCGTTTGGGTGCACCTCCGACAAAATGGAATCGTCTCGTCACATTTTACCCTCCGTACCTTGCAGGTCAAGCAGCCGTTTTTGGACTTCTCGTGGCCAGCGCGTCGTCGATGCATGTCGCTGCTAGTTTGGACTTTTCATTGGCTGAGAAAGCAGTCCTGCATGAGCCCGACTGATCCAACATAGTGGGTGTTGCCAGACCGATTAAACGGCGGATGAAAGCAGGGGCGTCTAAACATACCAACCCATTCCCGGTTTCAGGCCTCAGTGGCTTCTCTCAGACAGGGCGTCCCAGGTAGTCCGAGAGTCATTCATTCCAATCTCCAAATGTAACCAGTACATGACTTGATCTCAGCAGAGAAAGAATGAGATGAGAAACGTGGTAGAAGCAGGAATTATCACTTGTATCCACAGCCCTATAGAATCCCCATCCATGATTGGCCAGCTCGTTTACTCGAGCGCTTTTGGATTAGTCTCTTAGTAAGTCGGACAAGTTGCCTATCTCAGTCCCACAGGGCAAGTAAAGCCGACCTGCACACGCCGCAAGCTGGGTGCGGCACTCCGGACTGAGTGACGAGGTGTTTGAGCACACACGAATGACGGCGATATCTATCACTCTTCCTATCCGATGCTCTCAGACACCCTCTCAGCTGGCTGGCCAACACATGTGGCGGGTATTGAGAGCCTGGAGACCTCGCCGCCTTTCAGCTGTGCCAGGGTTGCAAACCGGTTTTCCTCGTCTGCGGGTGCGGGGGAGCTTCGGACAAAATGTGTCAATGAGAGGCTGGCAAAACCCAAAGTTTGACCTTCAACGACCACAACCCAGCTGAGGTCGCTCCTCGTCGTAGCGCACCGTCGATTGCCTACTTTCTTCTTCTTCTCTTCTACCTTTTCTCTTGTGTTCCAGAGGACGAGAGCTCGACAGTTACAGACCGACCAACAAGTAACGCCAAGCAATCCCCTCGAACGCGCCATAGCATCCCAACACATCATGGTCAAATGGGGGACGCTTCTCTTCGGAGCTCGCGAAAGGAGATCGCCATATCACCACGGTGAGACGAGGAGATGTAAGTTGGGCTCCAACCCTGTGTCACGACCGGAAACTGATCTGGCGCAGTGCTTCCCGCCAACAGCTCCGACCTGCCCCCCTCAGGCTTGCCGGCCAAAGAAGTCACCAAAGTCGCCCTCCGATTGAAGTACCAGATCGAGGCAGTTATTCCTATCGAGCTTCCTGAAGAGAAAATTGTCGCTGCCAACAGCCCCGTTATAACTCCGAAGGTGGTGCAGACAGCCAAAGAAGCGGGCGGGACTGAGTACGCTGCATGTGTGGTGTACTGCCTGCTTGTGTGCAAGAGATGGTTCACTAGACAAGCCAATCTGGAGCTCTGGGATGCAGACCTGCACCATGTCCGTGCTGTGGCTTGTGAGATGATCGCCAAACGCATCATCGAGAATGAGGAGGACCAAGAATACCTGATGCAAGAGATTCTCCTGAAGCGCTACTCGGTCATCCGCAAGGACGAGGAGACACCCCCAGCAAATGTCATTGAGAGGGCAGTCGACCTGCACTGCCTGATCGTCATTGGTTCTTCTGGCTACCAAAAGTGCATCAAGTACCTCTGGAGGGGCTGGATTCATCAAGACGACAAAGACCCGGGCAGATTTGTTTTCTACAACGACCGCGACAACACAAATTATTGGGTCCATCTGAACCCCGACCGTATGCGCACGCCCTTGTATCAGAACGCCCTTCAGATCACCATCTCGGTCCTCTATCTTGCCTTGTATACTGGGGCGGTCAATACCGTGAATGAAGATGGCGACCTTGACATCGTCGAGGGTATTCTCTACATGATGACATTAGGCTTCATCTGCGACGAAATCGGCAAATTTTGGAAAGTCGGCATTTGGTATTTCGGTTTTTGGAACGCCTTCAACAATTGCCTCTACGCTCTGCTCACAGCCTCGTTCATTATCCGCATGATCGCTCTCGGCCACTCCTCCGACGAGCATGACGACAAGCGGCGCGAACTCAACAGATTAGGTTACCACATATTCTGTGTCGCTGCCCCCATGTTCTGGGCCCGTCTCCTCCTGTATCTGGACACGTTCCGCTTCTTCGGCGCAATGCTGGTCGTTTTGAAAGTCATGATGCGTGAATCCCTCATCTTCTTTGCCCTTCTCCTGGTCGTTTGCGTGGGTTTTCTCCAGGCCTTTATTGGTCTGAACCAAGTCGAGGGAAACAGCAGTATCACCAGCTTCGTCATCACCGCCATGGCCAATTCGGTCATGCAGTCGCCTGATTTCGAAGGCTTTGACAACTATGCCCATCCCTTCGGCCTTATTCTATATTACATCTTCACATTTGTCGTCATGGTTATCCTGCTCAATATCCTCATCGCATTATACAACAGTGCGTACGAAGACATCACCGAAAATGCGATCGATGAGTACATGGCCATGTTTGCACAAAAGACACTGCAATTCGTACGTGCGCCCGACGAGAATGTCTTCATTGCGCCGTTCAACTTGATCGAGTTGCTCTTCTTGATCATCCCTTTTGAATGGTGGATGGATCCGCATCGCTATGAGCGACTGAACAACTATGTCATGGGCGTCATCTATTCGCCTCTGTTACTCATCACCGCTGCTCTGGAGTCTCTGGATGCCCGCACAGTGCAAAGCAACAGGAGTCGAGGAGAAGAAGATGACGACACGGTGGAAGAGTGGGAGGAAATGCCGCACGACCTGAACTTTGGAATGGAGGGGTGGGACACAAAGGTTCACTCCACAAGACCGGTGGTCGAGGTTGACGCCGATGTCGTCGAGATAAGACAGCTGAAGGAGCAGGTTGATGAACTGCAGCGGATGGTGAGGGCGTTGAGTGTCGCAAAGGACGAACGCTGAACGCTGAACCCCAGTGTGTGCACGATGGTGAGGGCCTGACGGAGTTGGGAAGTTGATCCGTGGTGCGCTTTGGTACCAGATTTTTGACCCAGCTATTCATGAAGCTTTTAATGTCTATACATCTCGAGCCTGCTATTTACTGCGACCAATCCTCCTTGTGACTGCCCAGATATCGAAGAGAATGCGATGTCGTGCCGGGATGGTAGCCAAGATGGCAAATCCGCCCAGACTGAAGGCCATCTCATCTGCCGACTTTCGCTGGCGGAGTGCCCGCTAGCCACCGCCTTACCGCTCGCTTCCTTGAGGGAAACGGGTCACGTGCAGGCAGGATATCATCACAGATTTTTATCCCCTCCCCCCAAAAAAAGATCGAGATCCGCAATACATCCGTCAAATATACGTGTATGGTGGTGGGTGTCTCCTTTGTTTGAGTTTTTGACGTATCGTCTTTCTTAGTAGTGGGAGAGGGGGTTTCTTGTCTCTTTAGTAGTTACGAGGCTGCGAGGCTGAACGGGTGACCCCCGCGCCGCAAAGTCCACACAGACAGACAGACAGACAGACAGATGAACAAACAAACCCAACCCAACCCAGGCTGCACCTACTCTACTGATTGACTGGTAGCGGCCTGTCGCCCTGCTCGTGAACTCGCCGACAAGACAAGACGAAACCTGTATCTTACTTACTGATCTATACGAGTGTCCTCTGCACCAAATCTCTTCCAATCTCACCCTTGTTCCGCCTCACCTCCTCACCCTCCTCCCGTCCTCCCCTGGCCTTTTCACCGAGCAAAGACCAAGCAAGCTGGGCCTACTGGCACCTACATAACTTGAAGTACACCACTACGACACTCGATGTGGGAAAGAAGAGTGACACTGTCGGGGATCCTGGGATGATTTGTCCACTGCGAGCCACCAGGGAAAGTTCTTGTATATCTAGATGACGGTGCTCATGCACGCTATAGGATCGTCACACTAGTCTCACCCAGAACACTTTCTTTCTAAAAGTAGTGCATCGCCAGATCCTTCGCGAGGCCTCCATGCCTTTTGGAGAGGCTTCAGATTGGTCCATCTGATCCCTTCCACTAAGAGGTGAACTGCCAAAAGACCCGGGTATTCCCCAAAAACTCCTCGCTCGATATACTGATGCCAGGGCGCCAAACGTCCGACGACAACCACGTTTCGTTGCATCCTGGAGTTCCTTCTTCACTTCCTCTTCATCGACGGTGTCTTTGTTGCCTTTGGATCCCTTGATCGGAGCTTTCTCAAGGAAGTTGGCAAGGACACAAGAATCGTTCCATCCTCGTAACGGGCTACAACGTGGACATGTTGTGCATACAACAACAGTTCCGGACAACGTACTCATAACCCTCTCATTGTCTCCGACCCTGAAAAATGTTATCCCGCACCTTCTGTGTAGGCTTAATGCGTCTCCTCGTTTGGCCATCTTCGAGTGAGTGGCGCGAATACGCATCAGCCTGCACATTGGTGGGAACATCAACACGATCTTGCGGTGCCTTGCTCGTTGCTGTTGATGCGTGTCGTGCTCCCCGGCCTCGGCTATCAGGTGGCAACATCCTCCCCAATGTCGGCGTTCCAGATTGAGTTGGAGGTAGAACTTCCGATTCCTGCGCCCTCTGTGGATTTGTGACTGCCAGGCTATGGACCACCGTCTCCCGGTACGCATCCAGTGCGGTGCAAAGTCCTTCTAGCCGTGTACCTGTACCCCAGTCAAGAATATTCTGGATCGCTCGAGAAACCGCTCGTATGGCATTTGCGTCGTTGAGGAGATGGTTTGATAATGTTTCAACATGAAAGCTATGCCGCCCTCCTTCATCGGCTCTCAGCCAATGTACATTGATCCGAGCTAGCTCATGGTCCATCGTGAGGGAGAAATACTGGGGTTCATGGTAATCGAATTCTTTCATTCCAAAACTGCGCTGTATTAAGTCGATTTTGCCAATTGTCGCACAAGCTCCAGCACCGGCGACCTGGTTGGTTGCGATGTAGTGGGTTCCGCCTTTTGCCTGCGATTTAAACTCGACCTGTAGGAATGGAAATCGAACCACCCAGTCCGGGACGGCGTAGCTTCGGCCGAACTGGTCGTCGATGAGAAATGGAATCGTCTCGAGTTGGTTACAAGAGAAGGCTGCATCTGAATATCCAAATACTAGATCGGGTTTTGGTCTAGGTAAGGGTAGCGGGACCGTCAGGACAGCCGGATTGAGCGGGACAGGGACGCAATTAGACCACAACTGGTTAGTATTCGATGCCAATCTTTCATCAGGGAGCACATTCATGGCAGGAATGATACCTGGCGCAAGGGTCCGCATGATATCAGCTTCAGGCTGGTTCTCAACCTTCCGTGATGTCGCTACCAACCCTTGAGCTGTTTTATCGTTCATTCCCGGAGATTTTCGTTCTGTGGATATGATCGTTCTTGCTCGCTTCATTAGCTCTGCCGGAGGATGGTCACGATTGATATAAATATTTCGGCGACGCAAGGATTCTCGGTAATTTGAATCATGAACGCTTGCAGAGGGTCCCCCGGACTTTCTAGATGGGGTAGTCATGCGTTCAAAGGTACTGTTTGAGAAAGAAAAGACGGTCGTAGGTGGGGGGGCCATATTGTCCAATACGACAAGCTGGGGTTCGTGTTCTATCGGCTCTCTGTGAAACCAGCTGGATCCATTCAACCAAGTCTCAATGAAGCTCTCTTTATCATGCCCAGTCCTTGGGGCAGCGTGTTGCTCGAGCGCACGTGTAGGGCGCTTCAAGTTGCCGAGTTGTTCGTCTCCGGTAACCACATAAGGCTGTCGTTTAGCTATTTGGGTCAGTAACTTGATCCAACAAAGTGATGACGGCGACTGACTGCTCTTAGGTACTCCTGGTGCCGCTGGCGAAGCCTTAGGTTGGCCTCTGATCTTCTCTTTGGAATGATTGTCTTGCTTCGCTGCTGCTTTCTGCAAGTACCTCGTCTGCCCTCCTCTTGCGGCCCATTTCTGGGTTGCAGATTGTTTCTCCTGTGGCCGCGGGCTCTTTAGGGAGGTCTTGGGGCATGCACTCAGGGCTTGCTGGCAGTTCTGCTTGGCTGTAATGCAGTCAGTGACACAGTAACGACGCAATGAAGTGGATTGAAGGGCATGGAACCGACACTTCTCCTGTATTCTCTGGCTCTTCCGCTGGGGCTTGGTCACGTCTTCGCCCTCGTCTTCGTCTTCGTCTTCGTCTTGGGCAGGAGACTGCTTTCTTCCTATGGTCAGTCAGTCGGGTTGAATCGCAGACGATGAAGGGTGGTCCCTACGGCTTGAACGACCAGGCTTGACCTGCTGGAGGCCAGGTTTGTCGTGGCCCTTTCGAGCTCCGTCTGTGTATCGCTTTGCAACACCTGCTGCCATACCGACCGGCGATGAATGATCCGTAGGACGTGCCTGGTATCTATAACCCACGCCGGAACTTGGAAAAGCTGTAAACTGAACCAGTGGAGTCGTAGAGGGCCAGGTTTCTGAAGTCGAGGAGAGACATTGATCGGTTCAGTCGCAGTTAATGGAGGGCACGAACGGCTTGGCGGGCTCAAAACAGCCAAAAAATTACCAACACAACTGCACTTGATTTCCTCGACAACGATGATTCCTCGTCCGCTGGGAAAGCTGGAATGTTGGGCCCAAGCGTCCTCCCGGAGACACTCGTTGCCGAGCCACCCTACCCGGCCAGGCATGCCGTTACTCGTTCAGCAGGTTAGCAATACCACCAGTAGTAGCCTTAGTCTATCTTCCGCTTCTCCCTCTCACGTCACCGAAAGGACGTCGTTGGCAGTCTCTCTGTCACGCCATTCCAGACGGAGAATCCTGGTTCCGTCTTTGTATGGCTACATCAAGGGATGGAGGAAATCGAAGTAGACTTTGAAACTTTGTCCCGGGGTGATTATTGATCGCCCAAATTGCGCCTCGAATCTCCTACCCTCTTCTTCATTACGACGTCTTAACGCCCTGGCTCTTTTCAGCTGCCTTCTTCCGTGCCTGTGAGTCTTGTGCAACAGCGTACGTGGCCTCTTCACGACTGAAGCTGCCATGATTGCCCTCTGAATCTGTGTGCCCTTCGACGGCGACCAGTGACATAACATCGTCTATGAAACATCCAATCTTCCTCGTAATGTTGATGGCATAGGTCTTGCTTGGGTCGTCTCTTTCGAGTCTTCGGCATGGTCGTTCGCATGGTCGTTCGCAGAGCGGGTGGGACCGGATGTGGGAGTGAAGTTGTCATCTTGATCCTCACTGCTGTCGGACGTTTCGGCGAAGTAGTTCTCCGGTTCATTTTCAGGTGGTAAGCCAATGGTGATGTATTCGTATTCGATTTCGCTATGGCCTCGGTCTCGAACTGGATTCTCGAACGGAGAGCCAAGTCATTCTATAAGTGACCGTAGTGGAGAGGTTGTTGGCGTTTCGCTAAAGCGTCCCGAGGGAATTGTGCTCAAGGTCAAGGCTCCCAGGACCATGTGACCACAGATAGCGTGCGCTTGTGTCATCTGAACGTCGCAGTAATTCAAAGGTAAACAAACCCCGCGTCGAGTCGCGAAACCTTCCCCGTTCATAGCCTCGGCACGTTCGAATCTACCTGCGCAGCTCTACATGGGACAGAAGAACCCTCCTCCCCCCGGGGGCGGCGGGTCATAGCGCTCGAACGGCGTGTGGAGTTGGTCATGAGTGCTTCAATCTCAAGCCCTGCACGGCCGGGGATTTCCTTGGAATCCCAGGAATCCCCCTTGGAGGGAGATCTACGATAGGGGCAGTCGCGCCTTGATCCTCCAAGTACCCTCGCTCCGTGTTGTACCATACGTGAGTTGATCAACCCCTCGCCCGACGCATTCGTTCACTGTCTTGCAATGAAGTCTCTATACTGAATGGCATAGTTGTGAACTCACCTTCGAATACGGCAGAAGATATTGGGCACGGGAAAATCGTACATGTCCAGTCCGTCTATCACGTGATAGAATGACAATGGACGCCATTATCTCACGTGACTGATTTCACCCCTCAACGCAGCTTTGCCGCCTTTTTCTCTCGGCCAAATCAATTGTGTCGGGCAGTCTCGCTATTGCTGGCAAACTCTAGGGAGACTACGCGTCAGGCTTGGCGACTAGGATGTAGGTCTTGCTACCGACGTGGTTACATGGCAGAAGCAACCAGGAGGAAATGTGGCGACAAGGCCGGGATGTAACATGATCATGCATTTCATCACGTGGAAAATCATCAAAAGATTCGCTGTTATGGAGCTGACCATTACATTGTCTGATTTATCCTCAGATATACCTAAATCCCAACGCTAGGAACTTTCCCCCTCGCTCTGCTGGTGCGTATCCAAGCAGTTAACCCAGCAGAGGGTCCCAACACCCCACGTACCCGAGTCATCGTACCGTTGCTAGCTTCCGCCGGGCGACACTGAGGGTGTCGGTAGCCCCTGCTCCCGGCGTTCTTCGTAGCGAGTCATCCAGTTCGGTGGCATTGCCACCACGGGAGCTGACGTGATGAACACAGTGTCAGTCTCCGCATGGCACGATACCGGGTCGCCGCCCGAGCCGCAGTGTTCTGGCTCGGCACCTTCTGCCACAACGTCCTCCTCTTCCGTCGCGCCGGCATCTTTCACTCGCTCGGGAAGCCATTTGACTTCGGAAGAGTCCACCCGCGTCATTGTGTGGATTATCAATACTGAGTGGATGGGAATCCGTTTCTTCACATCCAGAACCGCTTGGACGGACTCGAGGGAGACCACGTCGAGATGAGACGAGAGAATCAGGCTCGCTGCATCCGAGGTACAAATGGAGGAAGAAGCCCCCTCGTAGAACCATGCCACCAGCAAGAATATCGTATCTTTGTTGGGACCTCCTCTTGATCTTATCGGTGGCAGCACTCTGATCTCAAGGACTAGAGCCTTCGCCTGCTGCGGCTCTTCATGCTCATCGAGATAATAGACCACAACTTGGTCATCCACACAGATCCCCGTCGTCGATTGGCTTGGCGTATTCAAGTTTTCCCAAGCAGGGAGGCCGCGCCTTGCACCCACTACCCGGAAAGTTTCGGAGTCCTTCCGAGGATGGGTCTTGATCTTGTAGGAAGGGATTTCCGGCTCCAGGAGTGGTTGGCGGGTGGGGATGGATCTTGGAGAGGGCATAATTGGATCACGCTAGGTTCACTAAGGTGCTTATCAGTGTACATCGTCTCCACATGGAGGTGTCGGGGCAGGCTACCGTCGAAGTAAACAGAGGGTGTCTAAGCCAACTACGGCCTAGAAAAGAAGGAGATCTGGAGATGCGTTGTGGATTGATGAATGGGTCTCCTGAAGCGACGGGGCGGCATCGACACAACCGCAAAAACTGTTTTCTGATTGGGCCAGTAACAAGGTTAGTGAGAGGCCGTTTCGAGGAAAGCCCACGTAGACCTACCGGCGGACAAGCTAAACTGAAGCTTTCACCAAGCGAGCGTTGTCCACGGGCTGGGACTGAAGTATGCTAGATTGTGGCACGAGAGGACCGAAAACCATCGGGACGACAGGAAGGCAGAGAATTGCACAAGAGAGCTTGAAAGGAGAGGAAGAACACAGAGAGACGAGAGGTGGCCGGTGACAAGAAGATGACCTACGCAGGTACCCCGCAGATTTCGAGACTTGCAACTTGTCCTGAAGGGTGGAAGAGGTAACAAACACTGGTAGCGAGAAAATTTAGGAAAATGTGCTTGGTAATTTGGCTAGTCCACTTTGGTCTCTAGCTTAGTAATTGACAACCAAGACATGAAATTGATTCGTCCCTGAAGCGCTACTAACAGTCTGCGCTACGCCTTTTCAGGAATATCCATGTCTTCCCCTCGCGTCAAATCGCCTTAATTTTCCAAGTCAACTTCTTAGCACTCAACCCCTCCCTCCATCAACCTCCGATTTCATACTTCTAAATTGCAGAATCGTATCAAAAAAAGCCAAAGTCCCCGATCCTTCGAATGTGCGAGGCACGATTACTATCTGCGCGAGCAAGCGCCGGCTGCTTCTAAACATTCCCTCTTGACCCTCTTGAGTTGGCCGTCGCACAGTCACCCAGAACACCATCATTCTCAATTGATGGATTACAATGCCCGTTACACTCCTCGAGACCACCCCACAGATCCTGCCCCGTCTGCTAGAACAGCAAGGAAGCCACAAAGACGCAGAGTACGATTCACTTCCCAACCTCAGGCCGGAGTTACCACCCAACACAATGGGCAAACCCAATCGCCCGTGCGCACGGAACCGGAAGCGTCTCACGTACAGCCCTTACAGCCGCCACACACACACACTGTGGACTTCTCAGCCCAGCCTTCAGAGGCCTTGAATGTCTTTACACAAAATGTGTCACCATGCCAGGCCGAAGGCTGCTGTATCCACTGTGTTCCTGAAGCGGTTGTTGTGTCGCCTAGAAACCCTGGCAACGCTCGAAGGCTGTATACCATTGTGCGCAACCATGATGATCACACACAGCAGCCATACAGCAGTCCATTCGAATGTCCCGCCCAGCCACAACGGCCATATATAACAGCATCCGTGCATGCGAATCATGCGTCGGTCGCCGTGGGTTTCGAACCTCCTGGTCAGACGCAACAAGCCAATTCTGGGGCACATGGATATGCCGCTCGGAGCAGCGTGTCGTCCGCGATGATACCACAACACACTCCTCGGGCTCAGCAGCCATGTGGCATGTCACCTGGATACGCAGGCCAGGCTGGGCAGGGTCAGTCACAAACAATGACACCCAGGTACACTGACCAATCTCAGTACTTGTACACTTCACCACCCGGACCGCCAAATAGCAATTATGCACAGCAGCCACATGTCGTGCCACAAGGCAATTTCGATCATTCCCAGCAGTCGTATGATATGTCCGCAGAAACCCGCCCTCGGCCGCAATATCACACCAGCGCCCAAGGAAGGTTCGTGGAAGCCCGGCAGGCCGTCCCGTCGACACCTACCCTCGGGACGCAGTGGACCACTGTGCAAACTAGCCAGCCTCAACAGACTTTTACGTCGGCGTCAGGCGTCTCGGGGAGCCACCGGGTATCTCTGCCAAACGACCACGTTCAATCTCCTGAAAGTCAAAGACCTCCAGACCTTCGGACTTGGCAAAGGAAACGCCCTGCCGAGGACCCCATCACCGCAGGAAGCGGAGGGCCACCTGCTGCAAAGAGGCAGCACCAAGGGCACATACCGCTGGAAGGATCCCAGCATGCTCCTCGCACTGATCAGCGTCTGGCGATGTCATGCGTGCGGGCCTTTCGGTCCCTGGATACAAAATTCCAGGACTTGCACCAAGCCTACTGCGACAAACGAGATCGAGACAAATGGGAACTATCCAAACGTGAACAAGAATTCAAAAGACGTCAGCCATCTATGAGAGGCGAGTACCAGCATGCGTTAGAGTCCGTCAGACAAGATCACGAAAAACAACGCAGGTACTGGAAGGGTGAGTTGCGCACAAATGAGCAACGATGGAAAGGAATAGTCCAACAGGAGGACAAGATATGGAGATCCTCCTACGCGGAGCTGGACAAGATCTGGGATACCTGGGTCAAAGGCGATTTTCAAGACCTCGTCCGTCCTCAACTTGTACAGTATATCCGTCATCTAGAATCCGCGGTCCACCGCTTGGGCTCAAAACCTGCAGGTCACGTGTCATTGCAGCGAGAGGCGCCCGACCAACGACAACCCGCAGATAGAACAACCACGACAGCATTACGGTCGTCACGGCCCCCTGATGCGGCACCGGCAATGCCGCTGTCAACGTATTCTCTCAGCGCAGAATCTATAGTACCGCTGCCCGCACAACCCTCTGGCGCAGAGATAGCCATGCCGTCACCGTCTAGCCCCTCCAGTATAGCATCGACAGTATCATCATCACCGACGTACTCTTCTACCCCGGCATCGACACCGCCTTCGTCGCATATCCCTAGTATAGCATCGACAACGACACCACCAGTATACTCTCCTGGCACAGGACCGATAGGACCGTCACCGGCATACGTTTCGAATAACGCGGCACGAGCAATGCTTCCACCACCCCACCGCGATGTTGCATCCACAAGACCTCCAACAATGTATTCGCCTGAGACAGCAACGGCGATGCCGCCACGATTATATCCTCTAAACACGACGTCTTCTGTATCACCTCTGGCACATCCTCCTATTTCTGCAGCAGCCATGCCACCACCAGCACCATACCCTGCTACGCAATCGACAATACCGCCCCTACCATATCATCCAAGCCTAGCATTGTCTCCTCCGATGCGACCTTCTGCCACAACAACAACGATGCCACCACCGCCGCTCCCCAAAAGACCAGCGATAGTGTCACCGCCACCACTTCCTAACATTGTATTGCCGCCGACACCACCTCCCGACCCTACAACTACATTGCTTACGCCGCTGTGCCCAGATATAATAACAGCAATGCCACCATCTCCACCGCCCAGCAGAACAGCCACGACACCACCACCACCACTCCCTGATATAGGACTTGCGAGGCCTTCATTGCCACATCCTAATAGAACAAGACCTCTGCCGTTACCACGCCATCCCAGCATTGCGACAGTAAAACCGCCTTCGCGATTTCCTCACTGTCCCGCCACGATCCCATCAGGTGCAGCATTTCGAGATGCAGAATTCCAGGGCGCAAAGGCGATGCCAGCGCAGCCACATTTCCACGAAGCAACTATAATCCCGCCAAGGCTATATTCTGACAATGTACGAACGTGTCAGGAGCCAGATTATTACAGACCATCGACGATCCCTCCACAGCAGCATCTATACACGGCAATGACCATGTCATCGAAACCACAGCCCCCACGCACAATGGCGATGCCGCCACAGACACAATCTGGCCGCCCAAGTGTTATTCCGCACAAGAGCCAATTTCGCAGACTTCAGGAATCGAAACCGCGTCCTCCAAGCGCCATGGCGATGCCACCGCAGACACAACCCCGCATACTCAAGGCTGTTCCGCCAGAAGGCCAACTCCGCGGACTACGGGAGGTGTCATCAGTCTCCCCGTCACCATCGCCTTCACTATCGCCTTCACTATCACCATCTCTCTCGCCGTCACTTTCTCCTCCGCCCAAACCACCACCGCGACGCCTCACGCTTCCCGCTGAGATGGACATGGACATGGGTGCTGGCAATGGACAAGTTGGAGGTAAGGGGAAGGGCAAAGCAAAAGATAAGGTCAAAGGAAAAGAAAGGGCAATGACACCAAGGGAGAATCTGGCGAGGGGCCCAAGGCGGCAGCTACCAGGCAACACGAATCTTGATGATGATGACGACGACGACTCGTACCTCACGAGGATTACATGTGCTGGATATTGATCTTTCAGGGCAACCAGGGTGTCGTTGTACTCTCTGGACCTGGTGGGCTTCTCTGAGTTTATCCGCTTGGACGACTTGTTTGGTTGTTTGGTTGTTTGGTTGATTGATATACCTTGACGAATTTAATGACCGTGATGATCATGACGACTAGAGCGTGGACAATACAGAACTTACTTACCTACCTACCCACCCCGATATCCTTGGTGTAATCTCATATTTCACGCCCGAATGACGAAGTACCAGCAGAGTAGTCCCATCCGATAGATGCCTGCCAGCCTGCCAGCCAGTTCACACAAACACCCTCCGCAGAATGACTAATCCGCCCTCGCCGACATGCACGAGAAATGAAGTTGTTCGTCTATAACTTTTAATCCACCAACGCCTGAAGGTTCCGGCCAGTCCAAGTAGACTTGCCGTCTCAAAGCCCATCGAACGGTATTATTTTCACAAAATTATATCATGGATTGCGGGAGGTGCAGGCAAAAGGAAGAAGTTTCGGGGGGTCGGTCTGGCCAATCAAAACCGGCATTGGGCTTTTCGGGTGTGGCCTCGTCTTGGCAGCGATACTTGGGCCTTGATGCTCGCCCATCCATCTTGCTCGTGGTTGACGACGAGGATATACACCAAAGGCTCGACAATTTGTGAACGACATACTCGGAATTATCCGGCTGGTCCGAGGTGCTATGCCACATGCCACATGCCACGTGCCATGTGCCATATACCCAGCATCAAAGACCCGGACGACGTACGTGTCTTGTGACCAACCTGTGCGGAAGCCGAGTCCGGATTTCGTATGATTCCGATTTCAACCTTTACATCTCTCTGTCTTCTCTCTTTATCGTGGCCACGTCGTCGGACATGGACTCTTCCTCCGCACACCGTCGTGGTGAGTGATGTACTGCTGAGTAAAGTGCCATGCTAAAAAGTCCGAGTTCGACAAAAATCACGTGATCTAACGATACCCGGCTGTCATCATCTCGCGTGGTGGATATCGGTCGCTGTGAGGGACTCGGATAGTCGAGTACGACTGCTTCGACGGCGAATATAACTACGAGTGAGATGGCATCGAGTCAGACGCGAGCAGTCGTGACCGCATCAGCGAGCCCATCATGGTCCAGCCTCACGACTCTGCCGGCGTCGAGTCAGATGTGACAATGACCACAACTAGTAGCGTGTGAGGCCCCGAGTCCAGAGGCGTCGAGTCAGATATTACTGTACATTAGGGTGATGGTCATTTTTGTGTTTGGTTAGTGCGGCGGCCTTCGACGGCGTCTGTGGCGGGTGAGACGTCCCTCACCGCACCGCACCGCACCATGCCACACCACACAATACAATGGCCACACTACAATTAGTCGTACAACCATGCGTAAATATACGGGCGGCATCGCGGATATTCAATGATCACCCCCCAATGACGAGTTCAGTGGAAAGGAAAGGGGAGAGTACCGAGCACTCTAGGTCCGGCTTGACTTGACTCGACGAGTATATAGCCCAGGCTCTCGGTGCGGGCAGGCAACCCATCCCCTATTTGCTGCTTGCTGTCCGTTGTCCCTTAATTAAGCACTGCCAGTGCGGCGCGGAGGCGACATTACTACTGGCGTGGTACCGGGTACCTCGTAGTCACGGCCACAAAACATTCATGCATTCATGCAACTCTCTGCAGCCTCGCTTGTTCTGCGGACGAGGCTGGAGAGGCTGAGAGGTGAGGCTGAGGTTTACCCCGCACTTTGCGTGAGGGGTTCTCAACTACGGGACACAGACAAACAGGAAGACCACCAAACGGTATTCTACCGTAGATAATGGTTCGTTGAGTACGTAATTGAATAACTGAGTGATTGAACGATTGTCTGACCGACCGACTGACTGCCTGACCGAGTGAATGACTGACTACCTGACAGGCGACTGTATGCGGCGGCGAAATCCCAAACCCAACCGCAACCGCAACCGCAACCGCAACCGCAACCGCAGCCGCAACTCCGCCAGGCTCAAAAGTCGTCCATGAACGACATTGACAGTGTGTTATTACAGCACAGCACAGTACGGTCCTGTTCTTGAAGGTCTTTGTGCCCTTGAGTCTTACCGCCTAACACGGCCTGAACGAGAGGTCAGCCCCCTGCAACGCCGATGTACTGACATTCCAGTACGCCTGCACCCGGACCTGGACCTGGTCCCGCTTCTCCCCTTCTCAATTTCAATACCTTTGTGTGTCTTCTTGACTGTAGATCCCAGCTTACATCACTTGTCTCTCCAGAATCTTGGAGAGTTTCGGCTTGATCAGATGGAGTCCACGCAGGCGGTGGACAAATCGTTTCTTCTCCGCCATCGCCATCGGCAGTCTGTCGGTCAAGACGGGACGTGTTAGCGCTCACTTCATCGGACACAAGAACACAATGGTCGATACTCACTCGCCCTCGATCTCAAACTCCTCTTTGGGCCGGTGCTTGGGCGCCTCGTCCTCGCACCACACGTAATACTCGACGGCCTCGTCCCACTGCCGCTGGCTGTCCTCCAGAGGCTGATGGGACAGACGCAGCGAGAATCCCGAGAGAACACCCAAGCCCTCGGGCACAAGCTGGTAGCGTCTCAGGTAGGCCCAGACGTACAGCCGGCGGAGCTGGTGCTCGTCGTCGTTGGCCGCCAGGGCGTACCAGATCATGACGTGGATCATGCCCAGAGCGGTGCCGACGGACCGCAACATCTCACAATGCATGGCCTGCTCGATGCTCATGCCCTGGAACCGGGCCTGGATGCGGCGACGTGCTCCGGTCAAGAGGAGGTCGAGTCTCTTGTTGTGAGCGGCCAAAAACCTGACGTACAGATCGTCATCTTCGGTGCTTCCGTCGTAGAACTGGCGGATCCGCGTGATTTCCTCGTGGAGAGTCTCTCGCTCCTTGTCGATGTTGGAATCCATGTTGGTGCCGGTGGGCAATGACGACGGCGGGTATGTGATAAGGCTGATGACCACGACGGACGAGACAAGAATCACACCACGCCACTCGATGGTAGGGATGGAGAGGGGCCTGGAAGATGGGCTGGCAACGGGGAAGTGACGGAGCGGCCATTGAAGGGGGCGATGAGTGATGGGTGCTCCGAATGAAGGGCAGGGTCTTCGGATGCCCTTGGGCACATGGAATGCGTACTGAGATTGATGCTGAACCCTGACTTTCGTCTTCCTCTCTCTCTTCCCGTCTCTGATGCCCTGTTCTAGGCTTTCAGGACCCGTTTCCCCTTCCTCTCTCAATAGTCTCAAGCCCTCGCATCCCTTACATCAAGCCACCATTCGCAAAATGCAGCTGGAGGCGATCAGTTCAAAGGCCATGGGATGGAAGGATTGACGTACTGTACGTACATACTGCAGGGCACGAATCCCCCGGATTGGCCGCCCGAGTCTTTTCAGCTGCATGGCATGGCATGAGAAGAAGGAAGGGCGGGTGCGGACACCTTGGAGTCCCAAGCACAGACCACCATGAGGCCCCCGTCCAAAGTCTGCACTGTGCTGGAATGAGGAGTCCCATGCAAGTCAACAGGGTCGATGATCCCCGGGCAACGCGAGCTCTGTCCATCAGGGAGCAAGGTGGTCGGCGATCAAATACGAGCTGGCTTGCTGGATTTTGTTTTTTTGTGGAGGCACACTTCCTGTTGAATCAAGGCTGTGTTCGGGCTTTCTGGCTGCTAGCCGCAACAGCGAAAAAAACAAGAGAGGTCGAAAAAAGAGGTCATAGCGTGAGTTAAGCGAGTAGAGCCCAGTCAGTGCCCTGTTTGTCTGTCTTCTGCCTACAGAGATCTGGCAGCCCCCCCATCAGATTGCCAGAGTTGGGCCAGCCGATCGAACGACCAACAGATCGTCCTCTCCATCTGGGAGAGACAAGCGACCCGGGCATCCCAATGTGGCTCTCAGGTGACAAGGATTGTCTGTATTACCAGCGCTGTTAGTAGTATGGCGTCGAATAATGAGTCGATGTCAAGCCTGAAGGGGGTCGGGGATCCACCTGCTGGGGAAGCAGGAAGAGACGAGGGTTTTCTGGGAAAATTCCCATTTCAAATGACAGAGAGTTCAGGAGTCATTTTATCGATTGTTGGTGCTTGGCGCTGGATCTCACGCGTGCATGACATGGGTGCTAAGGGGGGCGCGTGGTTAAGGGTCCCTTGCAGCAACGCTGGCGAGTGGAAGCGCGTAATATTGCTTGGATCAACATCTGATTGACCTCAGGAAAGACCCGAGACACACACAGAAAGAGAGACACACAGAGAGAGGCGCACACACACACACACACACACACACACACACATAGCAAAGGAGACATTCACACATGCACTCATGCACTCATGCATGCCTGCATGTCCCATCACCTCCACTCCCTCTCGCCGCCCCATACGAATTCAAGACCAATGCTTGAATACCTGCTGCATCTGAACCACAGCGGTGTAGCGCCATTCCGATACAGTTGCAGACCAGCCTCTTTCCCTTCCCCCTTCGCAGTTGAGTTGGGCCAGAAACCATATCGACGCCGCAATACTTTACAGAAGCAGCATACAGAAGGTTTGGCTACATAGAGGTATATAAAGAGGGCTTCGTTCCCTAGGTATTTCCTGTACGTCTTCCATCTTCATCCTTTCTCACTCTTCAGCCTGATCACCACAGTATTTGACAGGTCAGTCCCGACTCCAATCAATCGGACACCACCCTTCCACCTGTAGTTAGTACCTCTCGTGAGCCTGTGCCTCTTCCCTCTCGCTTGGCCCCCTTGCCGCTGCTCTGGCACCGCTCCTCTTGATCCTGACGCTCAATCTGACACAATACCCAGACAGTGACATTGTGTCAAGCATGAGACTACCCCCTCCCGGAGTGTCAAGGTCCTCTCGGCCACCTCCGCCTCCGCAGCCAACTCCGGCTGTGACGTACAGCATGCCTGCCATTCCGGCATACCGCCTGCCCTCGATCACGGTCCACAACATGCCCACCATCAGGGGCCGTGAACCAGACCTCGAAGAACAAGTAAGGGAATTGAAGAGGCAGCTTGACCACATGAACGAGACCTTCGCACCACTGGTCCTCAGCACGCGCAACCTGCGAGACCGCATCATGGTCCAGGAGCAAATGGTCGACATGAACAGGTCGACCCTGATGGTCAGCCTTGCCATCTCGCGCAGAGCGGCTGCGACCGAGGAGCAGCTCCGACGGGAACAACAGCAGTTCCGGAATCTGCTTGGAGCCTTACCACCACCACACTCATCTATCCAGATCCGGGAACCACGGCGCGCGCATCAAGGCGGCCCCGCGCCTGATCTGCCCCCGCCGGCTGTCTGGCTACCCCCGGGTCCCCCGCCACAACTGTGCTACCCAGGCCGGGCTGTTGCCCAATCCGACCTGGTCATGGTCCACGTCTGGTATCTACGTCTCGGGCACGGTGCGGTCCTCGGCCGCTACAACGCCCAAGACTATCGACGTGACATGCTCGGCCGCAACCGTATCGAAATCCGTGACAGCATGCCCTTTGGCTTTCTCCAGGGTTGGGTGCTGTCCCATACGGATGAGGTGTTCGGCCACTTCATTCCCGAAGTCGCACAGCCCGGGTGGCCCTTGCAACTCAAGATCCACAACAATCCGGGCCAAGGAATCTTCATCGCCACCGTTGTCCATGACCATCGTGGCCTGCGCCCATGCCATGACAGCGATATTCTGGAGCTCTTCCAAGTAAGTTCGGAACCCCTCAATCCAGACTGCTGTTAACAACCCAAACAGCCTACAGAGGTTGTGGACCTGCTTGACATGTTGTTGCTGTTCTGGGAGACGGCCGACATGGTTTACAAGTCACGCGACCTCGGCATTTCTGCCGACGAAATGATCGAGTACCGGGTGCGGCTTGACCAACTCTGGGAAGATACCTCCGTGACCATCTCTCGGGCCCTCGATGCCTATCCATGGCGTCAGAAGGTGCTTGATGAGGTCAGGTCGCATCAGAGGGCAGTCTCCCAGACGGTGGTGGGCACCATTATTGCCGTGGATGCTGACCGGGCGTGGAAGCGGATGCTCGGTCTCCTGATGCAGGCTCGGCCGACAGTTGTAAAGGCCGAGTACGTGTTGCGAGGTATCATCAGCCACGAATCGTCGCGGGGAGAGTCTCTCAACACTGATCTGGTGGAGATGTTTCCCAATCCGTTTGTCGAGGAGCTGCTGGGCGACAACGGTGATGCCGTGATAGACAACTCTGAGCCACCCATGGAGATGGAGACGGAGGACGAGTACGAGTGAGGTTTGGGGCCAAAGCAAGGCAGAGCAGAGCAAGGCGGGGTGGGCAGATCCGAACCCAACCCCCCCAATGATCATGTACGTGTAGGAGTTAGTAGGAGTTTATAGGTCGATCATGCGTTAATCTCATTACTGGGCAAAACCTTTCTTGTTCACCTATACTGGCCTCATCTCCCGACAAGGTTTGGGATCGTATCAGCCACAGCCACTTGTTGCGTCAGCTCCTTGACTGGTGACTCTGGGACACTGCGGGAGTAGTCGATCGCCTGGGGCAGTGCTGCGAGTGCTTACCTGCTAGCTGCGATCCCACTATCGGGTACACCACCCTCCCTCAACACTCTGGCATCTCCCTCTCCCGGAAAGCACCAAATCCAGAGGGTAAGTCCCCGACGGAAAAGAAAACGCAGTAGGTGTGACTCACTACCATTCCCATCCCTTGCAGTTCGGATTGGATTGGGGTAGGATTCGCAGGACTAGAGCAGTGTGCACCCTATGGAGATCGGAGAGACCAGAGAAGCTCGGATGTCGGATGGTAGGACCGTGGAGGATGCAAGGTGGAGGGCAAACTTTGATCAGCGATCATCGCTAAAGCTAACCTTGCCCGCATCACCGCCTGAAATTAATTCACTGTGTCTGGCAACTCTGGTTTTTCGGTGGTGGTCGACCCGGCATGAAGCATGAAGCTAGTGACTTTGACCTGCTCGCATGATGCAGGATGTATAGGGAGCAAAAAAAAAGGCAAGAAGCCGAAAAGGAAAGCAGGAGATGGATGGAGAGGGGAGGTGCGGACAAGGCGACAACGACAACGACCTGCCGGGTTAGATCGTGTTTAGTGGATCCGAGCACATGCGGCTTCAGTAGCACATCACAACTCTAATCCCCTCGATCCGGGCGACCTTGACATCATTAGCGTAAGAGCCCTGGGGATCGGAGCGGTATCATTGGGCGCTGCGTGTCAGTAGCAGAGGAAGGCGCTGTTTATTTGTTCGCGGCGTTGCCCTAATCCGGCGATGCACTTGAGACTTGAGGGGGACTTCAGCTGGGACTCCACCGCTGCGCAAATTGATGCCTTGTGATTGGTCGCGGATCATTCAGAGTTTCCCGGAACGCGCTTGGGCCTGGGCGAAATGCAAATGCCTCGACAAAACTTGTCCGTACTTGCACTGTAACTTGTGATCACCAATAATCGTGACCCGTTGGCGAAAAAAAAGAGGAGATCCGGGTTATAGGGGGGTTGCGGGATGGGAGAACCGTCAGAACTGGAACATGGCGCCTGTCAAAAGTCTGGGCGAAGTGAGGGGGTTGACGAGCAGAGCAACCTGACTGGGTAGATGGGCTCGGTACCAAACTCTGGCGTGTTTTACAATCCGAGTTGCGAGTTTGCTCAGTCTGTCATCGACACGGCTCTTTCTCTTTCTGATCGACCCAACTCAAGAGTGTGTAGAGCAAAGGGCATCCCAGAGAAATTACCGCATATAGCAATAAAACGGGACCCACGTGTATCTGGAGAGGAGGGCAGGAACTTCTGTCTGGTGTGGAGAACCGCAAGAGTCTACTGGCCTGTGGCGCTGCTGTCAGGTGCCAGATGACCCAGCCAACAGCCTGACCAGCCTGACCGTGGGAACTTTGGTTTCCCCCCAGCCGTGGCCCGCGGAAAGCTTCTGGCAATCCAAGGAGTAACCAACAGAGAAGTGTGCGAAATAAAGAGGAATTTCGTGGTACAATGCTATGGACAGTGCTATAGAGATCATAAACAGCCCATTCCGGGCATAGGGTTGAAACCACTAGTGGTTGAACTCTTGACACCAGTGTCTCTACCTCGATGTCGGGGTTCTAGCGATGCCCACCTCCTCGCCCTTTCTCTCTCTCTCTCTCTCTCTCTCTGTGTGCCTCTGCCTCTGCCTGCCTCTACCCCCTCCGACTTGTCCCGACCTCTGGCCTTTTGGCTCTGTTCCACTCCCTACCCCTTGGTTTCTGATCGTAGCTTCCTGGCCCTACCTCCTATCCCCCTCCCTTCGCCTTCTCCTCTGCATCATCAGGCTCCTACTCTAACACATCATCTTCATTCCCACCTGCAATGCCCTGAACATGCCACCAGCATTGCTGGGTCCCCTGCTTGGGAGAGAAAACGACGACGAAATAACCCCGGGTAGATGCGGAGTGGTTGCGTATCAGTTCCTGTACTCCCATATGCCAAGGCTTGGCATAAACGCTCTATACGCACTCTATTCAAAATAAGCGGGGAAGCCCATGTGATGTGTCTTGTATGATAGGCTAGTAGGTATCCATTAGCATCGCGCTATGGCGTTAGAGTCTTGGCATGTAGTACAATGAGAAATGCCCTGGAACAACACCCCCCTCCAGTCTACCAGATCAACGCCCATCTCACCACCACAACTCGTATCTCACCGTCGGCCTAAGGCTCCCCAGCTTCCTTGTCCGCTGCTACTTGGTAAGGATTATGGACTCACGGGCACAGGAGGCGAGCAGTACAAGTCCGCAGCCTCACAACCTCCCCCATTCCGGCCTTGACATCTTAGGTGTGCTTCAACGCACATGGCCAACCCCGAGGCTTGCTTTTGCCCATTCCGAAGCCTTTCAAAAAAAGAAAAAGTGTAAGAAGAGCCTTTGCCTTCCCCCTCGAACTCCGCAAGCAACCTCAGCAGCCATTACGAAGTCCATCTTCAAAGCCTGGCATCCCGCAGACAACCCCCGAGGAGTTCAGGCGACCTCTGACCACAAGACCGCCGCTTGTTGGGTTGTCTAATACCCACCAGAACCTGTCAACACATGCCAAACAGAGCCGGAAAGAGATCCCTCCCTTCCCAGGGGCTCCCAGCGGCAGATCCTGACCCCCGTCACTGCTACCGGTTAACCACTCTACCACCCCGCCACTGACACCGACACCGTCACCGCCATTACCACCGCTATCTGTGCCATGGTGGAACTGCAAAAGAGGCAGTCTTCACCTGTCACTTCTGGCAGGACTGACGATCAGCAGAACTCGTTGTCGTACGATACACCGAGCCAGTGGCCCGATCAACAAGGGGTTGGCCACAGCCATGGCTCCTTGCAGACGGACTCGGTAGGCCACAACCTTCCAAACCCGCCGCTGCCAGTGCTCGGAAAGACTTCTGGAGTGTGGTGGTGTTCTAGTTGGCCTAGTAGTCCATGTAGCGAATTTGCCAGACCAGTCCGAACCCCCCTAGAGCCCAAAGTATCTCTGTGCTCTGTCCAATGGGTAGCCCCGAGAGTAGCCGGGTGCGAAGCCCCTTGCCCTATTATTCCCTGTACCAGAGATGCCCTACCCTACGAGCAGGGAAGACGGGGAAGAACAGACCAAGGCACAAGTCACCCAACCCCCCACTTTACGCCGCCTCCATTTCCTGCCCATCCCATGCACCCAAACCTGGACATGGATACATGGCCCAACACGCTGTCAAAAAAAAAGCCCACCCTGTTACTTGCCTGTGGCATGCACTGGAATCAATCTCAGCCTCAAAAACAACCCAGGGCCAAGGCCAATAGCAATAACCAACACCAATGTGTGCCGCACTGCACGGTCCATTGCGCACGGTGCACTGCGCACGGGCGGCCCGTGGGCCATGAAAAAGCATCATAGCGTTTCATGAAAGAGGCATATCCCGCATTTTCGTGCTGGCCATTCGGGGATCGGTGACCACGTTGACAGGCAAGGGTTGAGAGAGAGGGAGAGAGAGAGGGAGGGGGAGAACCCTGAAAGCCACTTGTGGACAAATGGGGAGATATTGATGTTGGGCTCTGCTTGTGTGCTGGTCTTGGTCTTGAGGCCCGAGTGTTGGGATAGATGAAAAAGCCTCCATTTTCCTGAAATAAGTCCACGGTCCAAGATCGTCCCAAACCACCACCCTCTGCTACCTGTCCTCTGTCAGCTGCCCTCGATCCTCACGAACTACACCGCCGCGGACGCCGAACACAACAAGACTCACTTGATCAAAAAGGCCGGCGTCATTTTCTTTTTTAGACTTTCAACTCTCCCCATTCCCCAAACACAAGTCAAAGCACAAGCATCCAAAACCTTGTATGCCAGAAACTCACCAATGCTAGCGTTGTGCCGCAGCCTGTACGCCCAGAGTATCTCGGGGACCACGGCCGCCCCGAAGCATGGTCCATCGCGTGACGGACGACTCCCACCGGCTGCTACGGATGCGAGACTGCCCGTACCGTGCATCATGCCTGTGCTCAAGGCCGCGGCAACGAGTGCCATGGAACCAAAAGTTGCAGATGCCCGGAAGCCGGCAGAGGAAGAAGCACTCGCGAGGATGGCCCAGAAGACCGCCGAGGTGAGAGCAGCGAGGGCAGAAAGAGAGAAGACGACGACGACGACGACGACAACAACAACAACAACGGCCGCCACCTCTCCCAGTCGTCCTGCTCCGCCTCCACGACGGTCCTCCCTGTCCTCGACCCGCTCCAAGGAGAGGGCCACCGAGAAGAAATCAACGCCACCGTCCCCCAGCCGACGCGTCCACTTCCTTCTCCCCTCGATGCCCATCGAGATTCCCGCAAACGAAGGACCACCTCCTCCTGTCGGCTTCAAAAAGCATCGATCACGCCGTGGCAGAAACGGCTCACCGAGAGACCCCGGTCGTTTTGACCGGCCTGGAGAGGTATTTACACCCTCGTCCTGTCGCGCTCCATCCTTCTTCGTGCTCAAGATAGACCCCAAGTTCTAACTGGCAATCCCGAAACATGAGAACAGAGTACCCAGTCAACCTCTACCTCTTCATCGGCGTCCTCCGGAACCGGACGGCGGCGCCAGTTCATGGGCCCAATGTGCCCCGAGACATATTTACATCTACACCCACAATTTCAGGCGGCGATGGAGCAGGACCTGGAGACCGCCATCGGCATGTTGAGGGATGGTGCACGTCATTATTCAGAAAAGCGTTAGGGATTGGAAATCGGACTAGGAATTGGCATCAAAATGTGGCAGGTATGGGAATGGGATGGAATTAATGCAGTGCAACGCCTACTTGACTTGACTTGTTGAGACTGGCTGGCCTTTCGAAATTGGGATCGGAATGAAGGAACAAGGACTGGAATCAATCAGCGTAGTCGCAGCCTCGATGGCGACTACATATGACCACGGAGGTGCTTGTACTCGTATGAATATTTAGTCAAGTCACTTTTCTTTCGGGATATATTCCATCGCCGCTTTATGCACGGAGGAATCATCAGGCCTGGGCTCATCTTTCACACCAGTAAAGTGTGTGACGAATTTTGATATTCCTTCATGCCGCTTTGTTGGACGCAACCCCGCATGAGGGGTACAAGTACTCTTTGCTCGAATTGTCGTTGACTGCGCCTCTGGCGTGCAATTTTCTTCGCCAACACGTCTCACTTGTCAGGAAACATCTCTGAGAATGCAGTCAAGTCCATGTCCGTGTCTGTGTCCGCTATATGAACCGATCCGCTCAGAGATGGCCCGTCCTTACCCGACGAACTCCGGCGTATTGTGCCGAGAGTTTTGGCAGCCACGCGGGTGACGCTGACTTGCAACAGGATTTCCAAGGCACAAAAGGGATCACTGAGAGATAGGTCCTCCTCCTATTATACACATACCTCCTGCTCCTCGAGTGACTCGAACCCGTGCCGAGTACCGCGGACCGCAAGCCTACGAGTACCTACGAAGCGGAGCCGAATCCTGCTGTCCCTTCGTGACCTTTGCAACGAGTATACCTTATCCCTCTTTCCGCGGAGAGAACGTGCGTGATTGATAGGACAGACGAACCAAAACCCCCCCCGAAAAAAGAGGCCATATCCGATATTCCCGTCAGAGGAGATGAGAGTATGTCTCAAAGCTGCAAGGGTGGAAATTGCCGGAGTGTTCGATTCGATTCACCCACCAGCGAGAGCGAGACTGGAATGGACAGCACCCGACGGGGTGTTACATACAGTACGGTCGAAACAAGATCCACTGCGCTGCTTCCACAAGGATTGATAACGAATAGTGATTTAGGAAAGGTAGACGAAAAGAATGAGACTCGGTCGGACACATGAAGCCGGCCAGTCTGTCACTTCTCCAGAGGTGCACGTACGTCCAAGCGCTACCGGATTAGGGAGCAACACGAGGGAATAGAATCTGTAGAGAAAGAAATAAGACATGTACATTACAATCTCGTGGTGTTGATATCGTCAAATATACTGTACTGGAGGACGTTGATGGGAAGCTGTTGCGGACCTGTGCAGCCACCTTTCCCCTTTAGGTTAAACGTGAGCAATACCGAGAGTGATCGGTCGATATTCCAGTGTGAAGATACCACATCCCCAGACCCAGGCATTGATCGTACCAAGCGGCATCACAACCATCAATGCCATGCATAATTCTGTGCATGGCGACCGGCGACTTCACCCCGGTGTCTTGTTCCTCCGCACGTATTACTGCCCCGCTGAAGTCGCTGCCGGCCCATCTCCCCGCAAATTGACAAGAGCTCAACACAACAGGTTTTGAATACGCATCGCATCTTTTGCACGGTCGTCGTCAGACCCCGCCGGACCGCCGCTGGACACCGCCGAGCAAACAGTCTCCAAAAATTCGAGGATCTCATCCTCCGATTGCGCCTCCTTGACCTTCTGGAACAAGACGAGGGCGGTCGACGGCTCAGCCCTCCTCATCCACTCGACCAGCACGTCGAAAAGGCGCGCCTTTCGCCCCTTCTCGAAAAGTTTCCACTGTCGTCGTCCGTCTCTCATGAAATTGTGGTCGCAAGCGGTTCCCGCTTTGAGACAGCTGGAGCATGGCGGGCCGCCTTCACACTGTAGAGATGGTAGACCAGTCAGGAAAGAAGAGAAAGGGCAGTCTCCGAAGGGGTTCACACCTTTCTCTTGGCCACTTTACATGCCTCACATGCAGTACTGGCTTTCCTTTTTGCCGCCCTGAAGTATGCATGTGCCTCTGCCTCTGGTGCGGCGAACATGGCATCCGAGAACCCAATGATTGAGTTTGGATAATTTGAGAGCGGCATGGGACCGGCCGGAGCGAAGCGGTAGCTGTCCGCCCACTCCATCCGGTATGCCATGGAGTTGTCGCCTGTCGGGTTCTGGGGGTATGTAGATTAGGCAATGGCGAAGTGGAGGGGAGAAGAGGTAAGAGGGGGAGCACCATAGCAACCAGTCAGCCATCCAGTCTCCCGGAACGCCACGAGGCGACGACAGGCTTGTTGTTCGTTTTCTGTGGACACAATAGCTGTGTCTTTGGCTCCTTAGCGTGGGAACGAGAGGTTGCTCGGTTGATACAGCAACTCTGATAGCAAAATAGCACACAATGCCTTGAGGAGGCGGGCACTTTTCCTATGGAATGGTGCACGGTTATCTGCAATCTGCAAGGGGTCTAGCAAGTATTCCGGCAGACCTCGGTAGGTGGGTTGCGGCTGCGGTAAGCTACTCGTTCTTTGATCGTAAGGAGTCTCGAATGAATGAACCTTGATACGTGTGTCTTCTTGCGAGGGGGAACAAGGAGTTAAGAGGGCAATACGCCGCCAACTCTGGGTCCTGGGTTCTGGATTGTTCTTGTGACTCGTGACTTTGGCCGACAGACTGACACGAGGGGCGAGATGCTTGGACCGTCCGCGGTCTCAAGCTGATTGATCAATGACCCATATGGCAACACCGATCAAGAAAACCAACCTTTACGTCTTCCGTCATTCGCGCGCGCCTCTGGGGAAAGGTCATCATGTGAGAGTGTCAAAGCTGAACTAGTTTGGGTCTGTGAGCCCCGCGAGCATGTGTATATGTATGTATTTATGAAGGCTGCGGAGATTCCTCGATCTATTTTGACTCCGCGAGCACCGTGACGTCCTTTCCTTTCTCTGCGTTGAGAAAACTAGACCGGACAACTTGAGCCTATTGCGACTGGGGAGCCCTTGGGAGTCCGGCTCGCATTGAACGTTACAGTAGGTGCCATTGCGGGTGTGACTGGGGAGCTGCATTGTTTGAAACTGAAAGCCATTCGCCGCTTAAACTGTTCGGAACGGAAATATGATGATCCGCAAATTAGCCCTTCACTCCACTCAAAGCGGCACCTCGTTCTCGCCATTTTGAACAGAGATGGAGAGAGCCGTAGAGGACGGTACCAACTGCAAAAACATGGTCCTTTCCGAGCGATCATCAATGGCAAATAATGGGTTGAGGTATTGGACTCCGGCGCTCATGTTGGGCGGTGGATCATCGAGACCGGAGCCTGTAAAGTCGTATAAAATGAGTCTGCCGTCGTCGTGAAGGAGGGAATTATGAAGACCAAAGATCCCCATGCATAACGCCCTCGGAGTGCATGTATGCCACGGCTGATATAGCTTGAACAGACCAACGAAAGGTTTGTTGGTATATGTGTATATACCTCGTTTGATGTAGTGAAGCAAAAAAGCAAAAACAATCAACAATCAGGATTCCCACCTGGTCACCCACGGTAGTACTAACTGATCGGCATATGGCTTAAGTACGGCTGAGCGAACGGGAAGCCCTGTATTCCATATCCTATGGTCGATTGCGGAAGACAATGTGCAAAGACAAAATATATACCCATAAATATGTCCTTGTCTACATCTTATCGACATAATCAATGTATGAAGTATTCGAAGGTATGTCTATGTAATAAGATGCGACGGAGGTGGTGTGCGACTATGAGAGTAATTTATTCGCGAACCTGCTTCGTTCAAGAATCATCTTGTCCAGGGCACTCTGTCAGAGTTCCGTAACGATGGTACCCTAACAACAGAGCATTACGCAAGAGCTAGCACGTCGGAGGGCTTTGTTCAAAATAGCGAAGAATATTTGGCTTGTGTCTGAAGACAATGACATATTATTTTTCGACCTTCTGCTCCTCGAGAAACTACAGAGCGGGAATTCTAGCAACAACATTTGTCCCGGTGATATGCGCGACCTCGGAGGAGAAGCCAATGCCGACACATAAGAATTGCTCCTTGGTGAGAGTGGAAGGATCGAAGGGCAGATCATTCATTGTGTAGGCGAATTCGGGGTTGCCGAGGTGGAGGTTGAGGTTGCTCTGGCGGAATCGAATCGAACTGGCGCCTCTCACTGCGAGTTTTTTCGCTGCATTTTGAGAGGTAGGGCTCAGGAATCACATAGAAACATCTTTGACATTGAGGGTAAGGTAGAGAATCATCCTTTCGACGACGACGCCTTATCATCTGTTCGCAATGTATGCGCAGTGCGAGGTGGCAGAGGGCAAGCAAACCAGGACAGGAAGGCGAGCCGAGCACAACGATGATGTAATGACTAAGCGCTCAGGAAAGGCAAAGACAAGATCATCCCATACAACCTTTTACTAACTAACGTGGTCATATCAAACCCAGTATCATTACATAGCTGTTCAAGAGATCTATCTGATTATATAAATGAATAAAATTATATCATGAATTGATGGAGATGCAGGCAAAAGAAAGCTCTGAGGTGCTGGGAAATATAGCGAATCAAGCTGCGATAATTCAGCTTGGCGCCAATATTTCAGACAGGTGTTCGACCTTTGCAGGTGCCTGTCTTCAGCTGGCGGCGACCTGGGCGGTCTAGGTGCCTAATGTTGGTGCGAAAGGTGCCGCCTCACGCCTAAAGTGCCCTAGCAACAGAGCCTGGACAGGAATCGGAGGGACAAGAATTAGGCTCATTAGAGGCGTGACAGTGTTAAGTCTCTTGCACCATCCAGGCCCTGTGCACAACCACTTAGGCCTCGTCCATTAATAAAACAGCGCCTTAAAGATGCCTATGATGCCTAAGAATAAATATTTCTGGGGATGCATCCTCATCCCTGACTCTCCTCACTTGTCGAATCTGAATTCGCCTTCTTCGCCCAGCTCCTCCACTTCATGCTCAATCACCCGCTCGATCTCGCTGGCAATATTCAGAACCCAGTGGTCTCTCTCAGCGCGACTGCGACACTTAAAGACCATCCCCCGTCCCGGTACACCGAGCTGGCCCACTCTACGAAGCTTTGCCCTGGTACGGCCACGGGTTCTGCTTCCCTGTCCCTCGTCGTCCGCGTCGCTGACGGTCCCCTCGGTCGTGGCGGTCTTGAACCAGCCCTTTCTTCTGTTCATCCACACTACAAAACAAGTCATGACGTCGACGTCGGCGCTCGTCCATCCGTCTTCGAGGTACACGCGGGGAAGACTGGCCAGCCCCGGATGGTTCGCATCAAAGGTTCGGTTTTGGTACAGCAGATCGTCGTCCACGATCAGACCACTGTAGACGTAGCAGTCCTTCAAGTCGACATCCTGCTGCTTCTCTTGATGGATGAAGCGGACTTGCTCACCGGTTCTCTTTCGCAAAGCCGACTGGAAAATGAGCAACCTGCCGCCAGTAAGGATAACTTGGCACCGATGGAAAGTAGCACGTCGGCGTGTTTTGAGATACAACGATCCAGACATTGTCACACTGCGACAACTGCTTATTGCGCACATGTTGTAGAGCTCCGGGCTGGCTTCGCTGCGGCTCACTTCCCATTTCTTCGCAAATTGACCGATGATGGCTTCCATCTCTTCGTCCACGTTGAGCTGTTCGAGGTTGGCCTTTCTTATTGCTTTAAAGGTGTCCATTTCGGCAGCCGTGCGAAGTTTCCAGTATTTCACCAATTCTTTCAGGCGGCGGATCCATTCGTCGCGTGTGTGTTTCGAGTATGCTTGCAGCCGAACGACGAGTCCGTTCCCGAGAACGAGTTCAAATACTCGATCGTCATCGATCTCGTGCGTTGATCCATCCTCCTGCCTGCTGTCAGCCACATCCTGGTGAAAATCGACATCTGAACTTGATCCAGTCTCAAGGACTTCGTCTGTGGGTGAGGCGCCCCATTTTATGGTGCGCACGTGACGAATATTGCACATGTTGATGTATCCGTCTGCCTCCAAGATATTCGCCACATTCCGCCGAGCTTCTTCCAGAGCGCCTCGGTCACGACTCTGCAAAGTCATACGGTTCCCGGAAGACAACCACGAAACCTCGCCATGGCTCAACTTGTACGGTTCGATGTCGTACATCATTGGCGTCTTTTCCACGATCTCGTGCGCAGATGGGACATCACCCTGGCTGGTTGTCGCAAGCCGAGGCGGATGAGGCGGGGTTGTCTTCGCAGGCCGATTGAACATCAAGAATTGATTGTGCGTTGAGAAATACAACCGCTTGAAGAAAGCTTTTCCCATCCTCCTGTGAATACCTTTCTGGGACGTCAATCGGATCAAGAACCCTTCGATAGGAGGGGGCTCTTCGTGATGTTTCCCCTTTCTGCCATACGTTGACGTCGGGTAGTGCTGCTTGGGTCGGAGTTCCAGATCGTGAGAGCGAGCCATTGCCATGGAACCATACATCTTGTGCTCGTTGACCCCGTGCACCCATTCAAGCCGGTCGTATCTCTTCCACGCAAGTCCCATTTTGGCCCTTTCACTCCAGACTTCCAAGACATTCGACCACTCCGGGTCGCGTTCCAACATTGCGATGCATTCGGAGATAATCTTCCCGGCGACGGCTTTCTCAGCAGCAATCGTCCGCGCCAGAGCCGTCTCCTCGTCCGCGGCATCTGCTCCAGCTGTCTCGAGCACTTCAAAGGGCCTCTCCAGTCGCAGAGTCACATCAAGGTCCGGAACATTGACTTGAAGACTGGAAGGCCGTTCCCAGCCAAGAGCATCTCGGAGAAAGGTATACCACTCCACAGAGTGTGCCTGCGAACGTGGCTTCATCACCATGATTCTCGTTCCCTTTCTGTACGGATGCCAGATGACCACGGTCTTGTCCAGGGAAGAATAGAGATTGACTCTTGTCGTCTTGGGGTCGAGTCTGATCTCGTACTTCGGTTTCTTCTTGGTCGACTCGTCATCGATCTCCGGAATGACTCGAGTTTTGTAGATTTGAAGTCTGTAGTCGTCGACGTCCTGTTTCTTGCTCTTTCTTGCCACGACCATGAACTCCCGCCACTTTTCAAGCAGTCTTGTCTCGACCTTGATACTCTCGTTCTCATCAAACTCTTCCGGAACTTGCTGCAGGGTCATATCCACTCTCACCAACATGCGCTCCATTTTGACAACCGTGCCCTCTCGGAGAACATCGCGTCTCAATCGCCTGCTTGCAACATGATCTTGTACACGAATTGCTCTCTTGACCACTTTCTGCTGACCTCGTTGGACTCCTTCTGTGACCTTGAATCTGACACCTGTGCTCGTCCGACCCAGACGATAAGTTTCATCGTCATCCACGGGGGCAGGCTCATGGCGCTGCAGTGACTTTGCTGCCGGTCTGGTAGTATCGGCAGAGAGTAGAGCAGTCCTGGAGTTCGTTTCCAGGTTGTCTTGGGTAGATGCCGATGGCTGCAGGGACTGTCTGTTAAAGCTTCGTCCAATGCTCGCCTCATGGTGGGTGTCACTTGGACTGATTATAGATGTAGTGGCTCTCGCATCACTGAAAGGGTTTTCATGGGCGGTTTGGTAGGATTCGGCTTTCGGAGACATCAAGGCACTCTTTGTGCTCCTCGCAGGTGGCATTGGACGTTCACTCGTACCATCCAACCCCGTGTCCGCCTGGACTGGCAAAGACTTGGGAACTCTGTCGTCCTCTTCATTCTCGCCGTCGATTCCTAAAAGACGGGACACATCGTTTGTAGACACTGGCTCTATATCTCTTGGTTGTATTTGCTCTTCATCTTCTTCCGGTTCCTCCTGTTCGACATCCGTTGTTTCACCGGCGCTAGAATTCTGATCGAGTGCATCTTCAGGTTGAGGGAAGCCGAAGGTCACCCTGGCAGCAGTTGAAGGGCCTTCGAAGCCCGTCAACGTACGATGCCGAGGGTCTTGGTCTGTAGCGGCGCGGAAACTCGCTCTCCGAGAAGAATATGTGCTCAGCTGTAATCTTCGCCTATACCACTCTTTTCTGTGGCTGTTGAGCCAGCCCTCGGGGATTGGGCCAATAAAGAAGCGGCGGGAAGTGAGGTGAAGATGTTCAGGTGAGGCGTGTTTGAGGCGGTGGGCCGTGTACGAGTCCGGATCGAGTGCGTCGAATTCGTGGGTCGTGGTAGTGCTGCCGACGGGCATCACTCGGGAGGTCGACATGTTTGTACCACGACATGAATTAGCATGACAGTCTTGTAAGTATACTCATTATCATTTCGGGGGACATTGACTCGTCGTCGAGCTCCAGAGAGGAGGCAGCAGACACTGCGCCACCAATCTGCTGCTCAAACCTCCCTTTCCAAGGCCTCGACCATGCGCGTCCAGCAGGCAAAACCGAACCCTCATTCTCCGATGACGTCAGCGTCACAAGTGTCAATGTTTGCTCCGTTTGCACTTGGAACCCACCCCAATCCCATTGGCACACGTGCATGCGCCCCTCTACCAGATGTTCACCGTCACTTCCACGCCCCCTTATTTTGTTTTTCGCAGCTCTACACCTCTGTATACTCTCTCCATTGAGCTGATCGTCCCTCTGCGTCTGATAATGTCGGGCACGAAAATCCCACCAGGCAAAACCTGGTTTGATACCCACAAAGTGCACTTCGACGACGTCCCTGTCTCCGACGACGACGGCATTTCCACCCTCGAATTCCTCGATGCCTCTGAAGCAACCACTACCCTCTTCGATCTTCTAGGCTCGGTAGCCTTCACTCCTGTAAAGAATGACATGATGGGCAACGTCACCAAGATTCGTGACCGTTATAAAGCCGCCCCTGAGGGTTCGACTACAGTGCAGTTGCTGGTCAAGACAGAGCTGGCCTCAAAATCCCACAAGGCCACCGAAGGGCTTGTGTGGCTGACTCGTGGATTGGATTTCACGGCACAGGCACTGCGGTCTGACCTCACCACCAACGCATCGGTCAAAGCAGTGGAACCTAAGCCAAACAAGGAGCTTGCGGACGGGTTTCGAGCGAGCTACAAGAATACACTGGCCCCGCATCATGGACTGTTGATCAAACCCATCTTCAGCGCTGCCATGAGTGCAACTCCCTACCGGAAGGACTTTTATGCACGATTGGGCGGCGAGGGAACCGATCCAGAGGTTACAAGAGAAGCGCTGGAGAAGTGGGTGACAGCCTTGGAGAAGAGAGTGAGCATTTTGAAGGCCTTCTTGGCCACCAAGGAAGCCAAGTGGTAGGCCTGAGATAAGTGAGCGTGCTATCAATCATTGGAACAAGGGAATTGGCAATGAAACTTCATGGAGGTAGTCCCTCGCATACTGGTTAGGTTTTCTACAAGAGAAAGAGGACGATCTGCAGGAACACAGGAGCGTGAGCTTTATTGAGAAGATGCTATGTATCGCCCCGGATTCGCTGGGCTGTATGCCATGTTACCTTTTCACATCCATCTAGCGCGTGTATTTGTCAAACTCCCGGCCTGCAGATGCTGCCCTGGTCGCCTCTATACCCCCGTACAACTGGCACAATATCTGAGAGCCTGCCCCAGTCCTACAATCACCCATAGTCTACCGATTGTAAGAGGGCTGTGGATTTTCCTCCATGTCCATCAACTCCTCCACTGCAGGTGCGAGAGCCTTCTCATGCGTTTCTTCTCAGGAATGTGGCATCTGCGGCAACAATACCACGGCCTCGGACAGGAAGAGCGTGCGGCGGCCGTGAGGTCTCGGCGACGATTGAAGGACTTGAAGACAATCCTGACAAGCAGTCAATATGGTACCCTGATGTAAACGGGTAGTGATTTGCATCGTCACGAAGGAAAACGGAACGACCGCGTTGAATCGAATGGGCATTCTGGTAGAGAGCGCAGCCTGGTGGTGCCGAGGAACAGTGGATACTTCAGCCTCGTTGCCCACGTGACGCAACAAGGCTGGGTTTTTTTGGCCGTGCCGCGGGCAGAGCAGGACAATTACTTCCAGCGCCAACACTCGGAACAATGACGCCTGCCTCCATGGCATGCGCAATCGGGGATGAAGACACTCAAGCGGGTTTCTATCTCCTAGACTTGGTGTCAAAATCAATGCATACGAGCTTGAAAGAGTCGTGATGCAGAAAGACCTGCCCCGTCATCGACCTCGGACAACGGCTCTGATTCTCCCAGCTCTCGCTCCGGCGTGATCCAAAGACATTGTCTGCCTCAGTGTGGGTGAACTCACTATTTCCATTCTAGGCGTGCCATCTCCGATGTCGACGCCCAGTTCCTCAAAGAGAGGAACAGAACGGACCCGAAAACCCGCTAGACCCCCCTCCACCTCTCCTGCGGACGAGTTTATCTCCCCTCGAAGTCCTCCTCTGACTGCTCGACCGTGTTGTGCTTCCGTACACCTTTGACGCCTTTGCCATCCTCGTTACGCCGTGCATCATGAACGATCCAACGAGATCCTCGAGTCCTTGAAGATTGATCCTTGATCGAACAGGGAGCTCCGATCAGATCCGTGCTTTGAAGAGCATGTGCCTCGTTTCTACCAATTCAAAGAACTGGGTTTCGGGACACACCCGTACAAAGTGGCGAGGAAGGGCAGTTATGGAGGCTATATATAATTCTCGTGAAGATGGCGCAGATTCTCGCATACAAGGTACATGACGCCGGGTCTTGAGCGCGGAGGTTGAGGAGGGAGTTTGAACAGGCGGATTAGCCACTTGAGTCTCCTGCATTGCCAGATGCTTGTCTCTACTGTGCGAATGACTTCTTGTGCCATCTCAGTGATTCTATTGAAGCCTGATGTTTAAATTGCTCAAAAGTGCTTTTGTTCAACCCCGTGGCTGTCTCTGGAAACCCAAAGTCCGAGATATTTCCTGATCGTCCCCGCAGCACAAAACGTGACCAAAGCCGACTTTGTATGGGTATCTCGATATCATAATGTCAAATCTCCCCAATGCTGGAGTGCAAAACAGCTCCGCGTCGCATGCAAGCCCCTCGTCCATTGATATCTGCCTCTGAAAGGATTCATCACTTCATCGCAAAATCAAATTCCTCAAAATCGGCCCGGAGACCAGCCGCGTCTTCTTCCTCCGCGGCCTGATCGCTGCCGTCCTTGGTCAGGATCGAGTCCATCCAGTTCACCCGGTGTTCCAATTGCAGCAGGCCAGCCATGACTTCTCTCCCGAACCAGATGTTGAATTTTTGATCCGTGGGCAAGGGGAAGAAGATGGATTTCGCCACGCCCACGTCGTCGCCGTCATTCGCGTTGCCGTTGGCGTGGTCGGCGAGTTGGACGGGATCGGCCAACCAGGTCCAGACGCGGAAGTAGTCCGAGCGCTGTGGGAGCTGGGCGTTTGCAGCACAGGACTGGAAGTCCGGGTAGCCGTACTGGGATGCCTTGACCTTGAAGGCCGCCTCGACCATGCCCGTCTTGATGCGATCCACCGGACACGGAATGAGTTGCCAGTGGAAATGCCGGATGCCGGTTCGATTGACTTCCCAGCAGACAGCGCCCAGCTGGCCGTGGCTTTTCGCTCCGATCATGACACTCAGAGCCTTTCGGAACCGGTTCATTTCGTTGAATTCGGCGGTCATCTCCTCGGGTGATCGTTTTCCGTGAGCCAACTCATCCGCTGCGTGGTAGTATGGGATAATCATGACGTGGCCGGTGAAGGATAACTGCGGAAATGTTGACGGCATCGGTAACGGGCCTCTAGTGACTGTGGCCATGCTTTCGTCCCCCAGAGACACGACGAGATGGGTCTTGGCACCGGGCTTGTTGAGGCACATGAAACAGTCATTGGGGTCATTGCGTAGACCTTTTCGGGCACGCTTGCGATTCCGTGGCCCATGGCCGTCTCCGTCGCCGTCTCGATATGAAGCTCTGTCATCGGCGGCTTGTCGCTTCCTTGGTGGCGAAGACCGGATGAATGGTGACTCAAGCGGAGCATCCACCGTCGCTGGAGGGCGTGAAGTGTCCAGCGTGAACGCCGACATCCACTCTTTTGTGGGTGCCGACACGCTCGGCAAACTCTTGAACCTTGTGATGCTTGGTTGATCAAACGAGGTGTACTCAATGATCTGTTTGAAGGGCTCCCGCTCCCACAAGGCACTTGGACTGCTGGAGAAATGATACCATGGCTTGAGTGCCTGGCAAAGGTTGGCGATGGACTGACTGCCGGTAGTCTCGTCGAGCGCCGGAGGCAATTCGATCTGCGACCCATTGCTGATATTTGCCGGCCACTGATTTGTGACGAGAATATGTGCGGAGTGGGCGCCGTGAAGACCTCTTGCCTCGCTGTCGAGATACCAGGGGTCATAGGGCCCGAGTTTCTCGGTGAGGGAAGCTTCATTTTGCTTGAGTCGGCCTCCGAGTGACACGATTTTCACACCATCTGTAGTGGTCATGGTCCCTTTGCGGCCAAGATAGAACAGATTTGAACAGAGATCGCCATCTTCGAGCTTTGCTTTGACAGTGTCCGGGAATGGAGAGTCGCCGACAGTAAAATACGTCGGAAGGGGCACGTCGATCTGACCGCTGAGTAACTCCTTCAGCTCGCCGTCGTCGCCTTTGTCGCTTTCATCACTGGGAGAACCAAAAAGGTCGCCGACGACAATGGCCAAAGAGAAGTTGTGTTTGGCTTGCAGTTTCGAGATCTTGTCGAAGGCCTTTTTCAGTTCGCCACGGATGCTCCCGACAACAAGGCTACCAGGGTCAGCGACGGTCCTGATGCAACTTCACTGTCACAATTAACTCACATTTTTGCGGTCCCCATGGCTGCTCTGGAGAGAAATGAGGCGAGAGACTGAAAAGGATGTGAGAGAAATCACCGGGTTTGCTCAGCTGTCTAAGCGTGCTTCCACCTTTGTGAAAAAATGGAAGAACCACCAATATCTCATGCTGATATGGACACAAGAGAGAAGAGACCGTGAATGAGACGGGGAGTTGTAGCGAGAGTGACAGCGGGATGGAGTTGCGACAGAGAGATCCGCGAGGCTTCACAGTGACAAAAACATGTGAAGATGCCTTTTCGGCCGAAAACTCCACCGAACTTTGTATACGGTGACGTATTTGGCCTCACACACCCCAAAACTAAATGCGGGGAAATTTTTCGCATCGCATCTCAACTTTTTAGCCGCAGCCTCAGACAAAGATTGTCTGCGCAAGTTGCAGGCATTCGCGCTTTTTCGCTATGATTCAGCCTCAAAGCTAAGCCCGCGCGGCTTCCCGCAGATATTGCACATACTTTGATGGGCGATTTCCCTCAATGGCGTCCACTCCTCCCGGTTTCCGCTCGCGCCGGCCGAAGAAAGCCACCGCCTCGAGCAAGCGACACCGCTTCGAATCCTTCACGAAACGAATAGAGCAGTTGAGGATTGACCCGGTTCATACCGTGAGAAGAGTGAAGCCTTCGAAAAATGATGCAGACGTATTGCAAAGCTTTTTCCACACAGCGCTGGAAGGGTGGGCGGAGCTGAACCTCTCCGCAACATTCACCAGCTTCCTCAACAAGGCGAGCCCTCTCTGCGAAAATCTCCCTCAAGTGCTTCACCATGCAGATAAACTCTTCGAGATCCTTGCCGAACACATCGAGAAACGAGACGAACTCGCCCTCGAGCCTCTCCTCAGCCTCCTTGCCCAACTTGCCCATGACCTCGATCATGGATTCGAACCATATTTCCGAAGAACCGTCCAGCTTGTTGCAGAGATTGCTGCTGCCGCCGACAAGACCGAGGTTGTCGAGTGGTGTTTCAACTGTCTGGCGTTCCTGTTCAAATACCTGTCCAAACTCCTCCTGCGAGACCTGCGGCCCCTCCTCGATATCATGATACCATACCTCTCCTTCAGAAAGGACTACATTGTCCGATTCAGTGCAGAATCGCTCTCGTTCCTGCTGAGAAAAGCCGCTATCGCACATCACACACACGGATCACCCTTGGTCCTCGCTGTCAAGCATCTTCTGAAAGTCCTTTCGGAGCAAGAGGGGGCCACAGACTTCAGTCCATATCAATTCGGCGTCATGTCTCTCTTCGTGGAGAGTGCCCGAGGGGTTGACCAACAGCTACATTCGTGTGCTCCATCGCTAGTACAGTGCCTATTAGACTGCGCTCGGCCCATGAAGCAACAAGCGCAGGTTCAGTCAACGGTGGATGGCATTCTGACTGCACTCATCCATGAGACAACCAGCGAAACGTTCAAGCCAATTCAGGACGTCGTCTTGGATGCTGCTCGGGAGTCTGCAGCCTCGGAAGATGCCTCCCAGATGTCTTTCGCTCTCAGGCTCTTGCTTGTTCTCATAGGGACACAACGAGGATCCAGGATCAGTGAATGGACGGTCGTCATCGAGGCATTCCAAGTGATAGCTGCAATCGCGTGGTCTCTCAACGAAGAAAAAACGCATATCAATTCCGTGCTCGCAATCACCATCGCCGCAGTGATCCAATACGCTCCCCTGGATCACTTGTTGCCCGTGTCCCAGCCTTTGTTGGATTCGGCCGCTGAACAGTTTATGCCGCGCGAATTCTATGCCTTTTCCACCGCCTGTGCCGAGCTTGGGCCGGAGAGGTTCACTAACTTTGTCCTTCCAGAACTCCAAAAATACATTGCAAAGCACTGGTCCGAAGACGAAGTGAGCCTCTACTACATGCTGGAACGACTACAGCAGAACAAGATTGGCTTTGGTCGTTCCGCGGACGCCAGGACAATAACTTGTCCGGCGGATTTTGGGAGTTTCATTCTGAGTCACTTGTCGGCGGAGCAACAAGACGAGGATGGTTCTGATATTGAGCACCTTGCTGGACGCCTTCGCTTCTCCAAAGGTGCTTGCCTTTTCGGTGATCCCGAAACAACTACTGGATCCCTTGACGCCTTCCACGCCCTACTCACCCACGTCTTGGAAAACGTCAGCAGTGATCTTGACCTTCGTCAGCGCGCAGTTCTGGGTTGGGGGTTTGATACCTTCGTCGAGCTCGCACCAGCTGATGACCCGCGGCTCAATGATCTTGTCTCACTTGTCCCGAAACTTTCGCCGGTTGTTTTCCACCTGCCCGCTTTCGTACAAGCGACCGGCCGTCTATTTGGCAAAGTTGCTCGGGCCGAAGAGGTTGAGTCTCGGGTCTTCGATAATGTGCGCCGCATTCTGATGCGAAATCTCTTGTCGACGTCCTTCAGCCTGAAGAAGGGCTCTGCGCAATTGCTTCGCGCCCTTGGCTGCTTGCGTATCCGGTCGTGGCTCAACGAGACCATTCGCCTCACGCTGGATATCCTCAACACTCCATACACACCCGCCGACGCCCGAAAAATCGCCATGCTACTGAGACGGCTCCTGCATCAACAAAAACACATTCCGGAGGATTCGTCGTTCCAAGACCTGATCCCTTTCTTCTGTTGCGGCCTGATGCCACACTACCATGATCAAACACGGCTGGAAGTTTGCAACTTCCTCTCCCAGATGGTCCATACGACGTTCTCTGAAGAAACCGTGGTCAATGTTGCCTTACAGTGGCTGCAATCGCCCGCCGATCCGATGCAATTGCCTCAAAAAGACGTCCCGGACTCGAAGTCGCATTTGTCTTGCTTTGAATGTTCAAACCTCGCGCACCTCGATTCGTTGTCCTCTTCGGTCTCAAGCGATTTCGAGAATTCCGGTGAGAGATTTCGGAACTTGATCGAAAACGACCATCGATTGGAAAATCCCGACAGACCACCTCCGGACGGTCGATCGTTGGCTCTCCAGCTTTTGTCCGCAATGCCAGGCTCAGCTGAGCGCCGATCCCGGTCATTGGTTCCTATCTTTCTCGCCGCACCCTTTACCCGTGCTCAACTGCAACCCAAGCCCGGCTCCGACACCTCTACGTCGTCGCACACATTGAGTCCCGACATCGACGACCACGAGTGGTCTTTGCGAGACAGGAAGGCGATGCTGGCTCTGCTCGGTCAATTCCTGAATCCTCGTGCTCTCTTCAGATCGTCCGAAGTCCATGAAAAGCTTATCGACCTCTTGGGCAACGGCAACGAAGCCATTCGAAAGCTCGCTCTGCAGGCCGTGTTGACGTGGAAAGACCCTGTACTCGTCCAATACGAGGCTGTTCTGCTCCAATTGGCCGATGGGCAACCGGAGACGTCCTTCATCGGCAAATGTTTGGCCTCTACCGAGGAAGAGGGCCATGTCAGACCAGCAGATCGTGACACCGTCATCCCTGTCATTCTCCGGCTATTCTTCGGTATCGTTGTCGGCCGAGCAGGGACATCAGGGTCTCAGGACGCCAGGCGGAAATCATTGCTGCGCATCCTCCTCGCATTACCCGGGAACGAAGTTTCGATGTTTCTCGATATTGCCCTGGGTAAACTGAAAGACGTCAAGGTCCAGGCAGACGCGCCGGATCTCGCATGCCTCACCCAAGCATACATTCCAGAAGACCAGCAATATGGATTTCTTCGACTGTTGTTGTCCATGATGGAGACATTCCAGCAGGACTTTCGCCCGTACGGCAAACAGGTTATCGACGCGGTCATGTTCTGCGTCCAGGCGTCCCATCAAAGCCAGACCGCCGCGGTGAAACAGACCGGTACGGGGGCGCTGACACGAAATATACGGAGGAGCTGCTTCCAATGCCTCGCCCTTCTCTTCCAGCATTGCCACGCAGTCGAATGGCCTCGATATCTCCGCAGTCTCTTCTCATGTGCGATAAGTCCGCGTCTCGACATCTTCGCCTCGGAGACCAGCCAGGGGATTTCCGGGCTGCTGCGTTTGTTTTCGACCTGGGCCCGTTCGCCGGAGTACATCGACTTCCTTGTGGACTATGACCCACGAGTGCTGGCCGTCATATGGCAGACTCTAGGTGCGACCTCGACGCCGGAACCCGTGAAGCAGTTCATCCTCGCCGAATTTGCCCTTCCGCTGGCCGATCTCATCGAGGATGAGGACCCAGCATCGTCAAACAAAGCCCGCAAGCTCCTCATGACCGACGCGAACGGCCTGTTCACCTCGCTCTCCGCCCTGCTTGAGCAGTCGCGCGCCAGGACCATCTCCGGCGCCAGCACCGTCATCGCCACGACGACAATCATTCTGGGCAAAGTCGCCCCTCTCGCACAGTCTCCGGAGTCCCGACAGTCCATCGTCAAGTTGCTGACGGCCCTTCTTTCTGACGACAAGCTCCTGGTCCCTCCGCATGTCAAAGGCAAACTCTTGCTATCTGTCCAGAGATTTTTGGCCGTCGACGCCACTCTGGACGAGAGCTCGCATCTGGACCTTCTGACGTTGGTTTCGTCCTTGTTCAATTACTTCAAGGACCAGGCGAATCGTCAGTTGCTGTGCGACGTCCTGGAAATGCTGGCTACTTCAAATGTCCAGCTGGCTCAGATCGCGCGACTGTGCAAAGACGTCAATGCCATGTCAGCGGAACGACTCGATGAGATTGACTATGACAGGCGGCTGCAGGCCTTTCAATCAATTTCGACCCTGGAGCTCACCGACACGGGCTCGATATATCAGCCCATCATCTACAACCTGCTGTTCTTCCTGAGAACCAGTGACGATCTCACGATACGGTCAAATGCCTTGGAGTGCCTCAAACAGATGATTGTCAGATTCTGCGAAGCCGAAAGTCCCCACTTGAACGACACGATGGTGACCTCCGTCCTCGCCGTGACCAAGAAGTGCATGAGCCATGAATCAGAAATCGTGAGGGCAGACTTTGTCACTCTCCTCGGCCTTCTTGTGCGGCATGCTCGCAACAACGGAGATCTGAGGAACATGACACCCCTCCTGGTCGGAAACGACGAGGAAGCGTCCTTCTTTTCCAATATCCTGCATATCCAAGCCCACCGTCGTCTCCGAGCGATTCGACGCCTTGTATCCGAGGTCGAGAAAGGCCAGATCAACGCGGCAAACATCGTGGAGATATTCATTCCTCTGTTGAAGATGTTCGCCTATGACCCCAGAACTGATGAGACGGCCCAGAGCGTCAAAGGCGAGAGTATCACTGCGATTGGCACGCTGCTGGAATGGATCGACTGGAAGAACTTCAGGATGCTGTTCCGCCGGTACAAGAATGACCTCGACGTCTCCTCGGGCAAGCCCAAGGCCAACCATCGACTTCTGACATGTGCAGTTGACGCGCTGTTATCCGCGAATAGCCGTCGCCCTACCAACTCCAACTCCGAAGATCGACCGATACCTTACCTCGCAATGTCGCTTCCAAGCACAACCACGGTCGAGAAAGAGCTGAGGACTCAGTTCATCCCCAAGCTTGCAGACCTTGTCCACTACAAAGACGAGACCGAGATCAGTTTGCGTCTTCCTTTTGCCGTCGTGGCGATCAAGCTCATCACTCTGCTCCCGCCTGAAGAGATTCCACTTCTCGCCAGCCCAATTATTCTTGATATCGCCCAGATCCTCCGAAGCAGATCTCAGGAATCTCGCGATGCCGCACGCAAAGCCCTTTGCGAAATCGTTCTTTTGCTTGGCCCCACCAGTTTGCAGTTCGTGCTCAGGGAAATGCGCACGGCACTCACCAAAGGGTATCAGTTGCATGTCGTCTCTTATACCCTCCATGCGATTCTGGTGGCACTGGTTCCTCAAATCGAACACGGTGCGCTGGATTACTGCTGTGAAGAGCTCGTCTCTGTTATCATGGATGACATCTTCGGTGCCGTCGGCCAAGAAAAGGACAACCAAGACTATGTCAGCAGCATGAAGGAGGTCAAAAGCAGTAAGAGTTCTGACTCCATGGAACTCCTGGCTCGTTCAATCAGTATCCCGTTTGGGTCAAAGCTTGTGGCACCAATTCAGATCGTTCTGTCTGGCAATCTGTCGGCAAAGCAAGTCCGACAAGTCGATGAGCTTCTCCGCAGGATCGGAAGCAGTCTGTCGCAGAATCCGTCAGCCAGTCCGCGAGATGTCTTGACATTTGCATACCAACTGATTCAGTCGCTCTATCAACAGAAGGAGACTGGCCCCAGCGAAGTGCCTGACCACAAGGAGATGAATCGAAAGAGATATCTCGTCGATTTCTCGACCGCTAAGTCAACCCAGAGCCGAAATTCAGCCTTGTCATACAAACTGGCCAAGTTCGCTTTGGATCTGGTAAGGTCGACCTTCCAAAGATCCGCAGAAACTCTGACGGCGGAGAACGTTCACGGCTTCCTTCCCATCATCGGCGATGCGTTGATCGAAGGTCAAGAAGACGTCAAGATCTCCGCTTTGCGTCTGCTGTCCGCCGTTGTCAGGTTACCCATGCCAAAGCTTGAGCAAGACTCACCCTTGTACGTCGCCGAAGCCGTCAAGATGGTTAGAAACTCCACGAGTACCAACGAGGAAGGGGCACAGGCCGCGTTGAAATTCCTGGCGGCAATTCTTCGTGAATGCAAGAGTGTTGTGGTCCGAGAGTCCGATATCGCTGAAATCCTGCACCGCATCGCTCCGGACATTGCAGAACCCGACAGGCAAGGGGTGACATTCAACTTCATCCGGGCAGTCATGGCAAGGAAGATCCAGTTGCCCGAGCTTTATGATCTTGCCGATAAGATCGGAGCGATGATGGTGACCAACCAGTCAAAAGGCGCACGAGACGTCGCACGAGGTCTTTTCGTGCATTTCTTGCTTGATTATCCTCAGAGCTCTTCCAGATGGTCGAAACAACAAAGATTTCTGATGACGAACCTTGAATATGAGCATCCCGAAGGCAGGCAGTCAATCATGGAAGCCATCTATGTCTTGGTCGGGAAGATGAGAGGGGAGGCGGCGCAGGAGTTGATCCAGGCATTCTTCATTCCCATCCTTCTCCGAATGGTCAACGATGACAACGAACAGTGTCGAAAGCTTGCTGGAGTTCTCCTGGGCCAGCTTTTTGCCCTCGTGGAAGGCAACAGCCTGAAAGACACGTTGGCACTTCTTGACAGCTGGGTCGACCAAGGGGAGAATAGCAAATTGAAGCAACTCAGTATGCAGGCGTACACCATCCTCCTGGACACGGATGTTTCTTTGACCCAGGACCAAATTGGCCAGATTCGAACCAACATTAACAAATCCCTCGAAGCAACAAGCGTGACCGACGAGGAGGTGTGGGAGATTCGATTCCAGTCGTTGCAGCTTCTGTCGAAGCTGGTGGGACGGCACCCAGCCGCAGCGTTAAACTCGATGCAGCGACCCCTGTGGTCGCATGTGTGGCCGTCTCTGACCCATCCCAACCCGTGGATACAAAGCACCTCGGCGAGCCTGATCAATCAATTCTTCAGCCACTGTGGCTCAACCGCCCGCGGAAGGATTCCGCTCCCCTGTGATCACGGTCTTTCCTTGGACTCGGACGATTTGCTCGGCATCTTGAAAGACACCACTCGAATTCTGCGGCATACGATCGGGAACGACGACTTGAGCACGGAGGTGGAGCAGATCCTTCTGTTTCTGGGTCATTACTTGAGCGCGAACTCGCTGGGGATCGAAGTTGGCCGGAAGGCCAGCGAGACACAGGACGCAGAGGAGGCCGATTCCGACGAGGATAGTAGCGCCGAGGAGGGAGGGCACAGCATACGGGCGACTCAATACCTGCTTGATCAGCTCGCACGCACTCTGCGTCGAGAAACGACGATACTCACATCGGCAGCGCTCCTCCCGAAGAAGTCATCGCTCCGGCTCCTCTCAAATCTCATCCCCGCGCTTTCAATGTCCAACGCCACGGTCAACGCCGTCCTCCTGCCCCTCCAGCATCTGACTGACACCAACACAATCCCACCGCGCTCAGCGGACCCGACATTTGCAGCAACGTACCAGAATCTCATTGAACTGGCCCACGAGGTCATGGCGGGGATGCAGAAGAAACTCGGAGACGCGGCGTACGTCAGAGCAGTCACGGAAGTGAGCAAGACGATGCGTGAGAGGAGAGAGGAACGTCGAGCGAAGCGGCGGATCGCGCAGGTCGCAGAGCCGGAGAAGGCCGCGCGAGACAAGAAGAGGAAGAGTGACAGGAAGAAAGAGAGGAAGAGGGAGATGGGAAGAGCGCACCAGAAGAGGAGGATGGAAGGTGGCGGCGGCATGTAATGAAATGATGTAATGAACCAAAATTGTCCTGCTGTGGCGACTTGCCTGATGAGGAGTCTTTTCGGGTTTTCGGTTTTTGAGCGTGGGAATCAAATCATTCGGTCGAGGGACGCGATGCAAACGCAAATGCAAACTGCCAAAAGGGGAGAAAGGATATGGGGGGAAAGAACTAATGGATCAGGACTTGGAAGTGTCAGGAATTCAAGATCGAGCCCGAGCGTCCAGGTGCAGCGACAATGAAAGCGACACGGTGGCGCGTCGGTGTCTTCTTAGGTCATGAAGCGACGTAACGCTTCATTTCGGGGAATTTATGAAAAACGGATGATCTCCAGGGGTTTCTGACCAGTTCTTTGATCGCTCTTGACCCTTCCTGATCAAATACTCCGTACCAGAAGGGCGTGATATTGTGTCGTTTCTCTACTTCTCCGATATATCACGTGATATCAGCGTGAGGCGTTGTGTGCGGAACAGCCTCGCGTATTCAGCCTCGTATCCTTCGTCCACGCAATGCTTCGTCTTTCGCTACAAAATCTCCCCAGTCTTACAAAAAGGGCTACAGGGAGTCTACCTGAGATAGGCATATGTGACAGGGCTTATCGTCCAACCCAAACCAGCGAAAAACGTCCATTTGCATGCAAAAACCACCACCCCCCCTCCCCGGGTCCCATTTCTTTATTTCCCGTGCTTTCATGGCGTCGCTTCAACCATTAACACTCGCCGACCGCGGAATGTCCGTGCCCACCGCCGCCGTGGCGCCCGCGTCAATGGGCATGATCAGCCCGGTAATCCACCGTGCCTGGGGCCCCGCGAGGAACCGTACAGCGCAGCCGACGTCCCAGCCGTTGCCCTCGGTCCTGAGCAGGCTGCGGTTCTTGCGGGCCTCGCGGGCCTCGTCGGTCATGCCGGCCGCGTACATCATGGGCGTGTAGACCATGCCGGGGCAGACGCAGTTGACGCGGATGCCCTGCGGGGCGTGGTGCGCGGCCATGGCGCGGGTCATGTTGACGACGGCGCCCTTGCTAGTGGGATAGAGGAGGTGCGGGGTGCCGCCGCGGATGCCGGCCACGCTGCCCATGTTGATGATGCTGCCGCGGTAGCCCCAGGCGTCGTCGTTCTTGGCCATGGCCGGGATCGCGTACTTGGCCATCATGACCATGCTCGACACGTTGATCTCCAGCGACTTGGCCCACGCGGCCATGTCCACCTCGACGGCCGTGCCCGCCGCGCCGCCAATGCCCACGCAGTTGAACAGGATGTCCAGCCTGCCGAATTTGTCGAGTGCCGTGTCCACGATGCCCTTGCACTGCGCCTCGTCCGTCACGTCGGCGTGGATCGCGATCGCCGCCCCGTGGTGGCCCTCGGCCTCGATCATCTCGACCGTACGCTGCGCCAGGGCAATGTCGCGATCCACGCAGACAACCTTGCACCCGTCATCCGCGAGGAGGATCGCAGACGCACGGCCGTTGCCGATTCCGTCGCCGTGGGCGCCCGCACCCGTGACGATGGCCACTTTTCCGGCCAGGGACCGTGGTGGTTTCGGGAAGACGTAATCTATCGGCATTTTTCTCTGGGGAATCTGTGTTCTGTTGCCTATCACTCACTCACCCACTGGCTAGCTGGGTTCTTGCTGCTGTTGCCGGCTTCCTCGCACGAATCCGTTGTGCTTCCGGCTCGTGGGAGGCGGGGATACACAGCTGCGCAGCTCGGAATTCTGCTTCGCCGTAAGAGTTTGTCTTGACTGACAGAATACCTCGTACTTCGTAGTGAAACCCGTGCCAGTGCAAGGACTAGTCAGAGTTGCGTCAGAGGGTCAAGATTTGTCCCTGTGACATAGATTCTCACAGATCTTGGGGGTGATGAGTATTAAGTATCGTGAAACACTGTATTATACCGTGGAAATGGTACTCATCGGATGTGTTCTCACGCTCTTCTCCTCACCTGACCCGCCCACGCAAGGCACAGAGGCCGATGTTTCTCCAACACAGACCAGACCAGACCAGACGGCCTCGGCACTGTCGGCTGAAGCGCAAGTGCGGAACCGTAGACCCAAATGAAAGGTTTGACCGGTAAACCACGTCGAGTACACTCAGATCAAAGGAGACGCTTGCTGCCACCATTAGGATCTGGAAGCCCAAAGGCATCCTCTCCCTGAATCTGCAGCAGACTTGGATGTCAGACCTCGAGTAGCAGAGTGATCTCCTAGTGACCGATGACGCTCGACGGACAGAAAAGAAGCATACAGGCGCAAAGGAGTTCATTGTCCGGCAAGTGGCCATTGCCCAAGACGGCAGTCACGGTGATCATGAACAAGCATGACAACATCTCCTTTAAACGGTGTGTACACAGGAAGTCGGGTTTGAAATCGCATATTCTTGGAGCGCATTTAACGTCGGTCGGCGAAGAATACAGCGTTGCTATGCGCTCGCCCCTCGGGTACGGAAATATATATATGTATGGTGAACGAGATATGGACTAACCCCGGCGACGCTGGTGGATGAAGATGAGGTGGTCTCGAGTCCAGGGACATTGAGGATGGAGTCGTTTTAAAGAACGACACTGTCGAGGTGCGGAGCACGTGAGGTCCCGGGCAGATGGTCCTGCCACGCTGCCCTCAACTTTCCTAGTCATATATCTCGGGTTCTCTCTCCAAAAGAAAAGATATGTTTATTCCGTAGCCTCGTTACATGGTTGCATCTCAGCGCTGGAGGCGTGAAGCCACCACAGAGAAAAGGAGCAACACCGCGTATCACAACACCCCTGACAGGTATAATTCCGTCCTCCTCTTTTGCCAACAGCCTGCGAGTCCTAGTATACATATAACTGTGTGCAATCGACGCAAATCACCCGCATGCCTGTCACTCGCGGCTTCTTGACATCGCTTCCGGACAGCTGCAACCCAATACTCCTCTTTGCGGATAGAGGGGATCTCGATAGGAGATCACAAGCCCAGCGGATTATCTGCATTTTGTTCCTTGCCCCCGATCTGCTCTTTCATCCTCTGTCCCTCAGCCTCCTCTTGTTTGGCCGGACCGCCCTCGTGGTTCCCGTAGCCGACCCCAAGCTGGTCTCCCCAGCCTTTGCCCATTCTCATGACGCCACCGACGACCGGATCAACGACGCCGCCCACAGGGCCGGCAGCCTTTTCGAGGCCAGCGCCGACGTATTTGCCGACGGGGGAGAGTGCGCTTTCGACCTTTTCGCCCGCGCTGTCGCCTAGTTCCTGTGGCTTTGATACCCAGGAGCCCGCTGGACGCCAGTCAGTAACCAAGACTCTAACGCTGCCACGGGTCGTCGGAGTGGGAGTGGGAAAGGCAGTGGGAAACGACAGACAACGTACATTGCTTCTCCTGGCCTTCTGTTCCCTGTTGCTGGACGGTTTCCTTATCTTCTTGTGCGGTGGACATGGTCACTGCTGATTGAGGTTCGGTGCTGTTGTCGACAAGTTGAATGCGATTCTCGGGGGGTTGGCTCATTATCTAGAAGGAAGGGATGCGAAGGACGATAAAAGGGCCCCCGGGGGACGCGAGTAGGGAATGGCTACATCATAGCTCTGCTGTGCCATGACGCTGGCAGGGTCCTTTCCAGGCTGCAAGCACATGCTGGGCAAGGATGCGGAGCAACCTGACGCGTTGAAGCCATGACGTAACGGACTCCCTCGAATGTTATACAAGTACTGATGGCCACACCAAACAAATATGCCAGACTCGATGAGATATTGGCCAATTCTGATGGCTCGTCGGACTGTATCGGTATCTTGCTTATGGCAATGGAATGAGTAGGCGTTAGCTATCTTCACATAATTTTCCATGGGCATATATTTGTGTATGTCCTTGGTTGCGTTGTCGAAAAGAGCCGAAGAGGCTTCCGGCTAAGTTACCCAACGTAGCATGTGACGCAGAGACTTCCCGGTAGACTTGCCCAATGCGGACCTCTCGATGCCGCGAAGCTGCGAAATTGCTTCACCAAGTCGTGGTATGTGCTCAAAGCTGCGATGCAGTGACATTATGAAGAGCCTCACGGCCATAGACCCCGACTCTGTGATGCTCCAAGTCCTCCGCCGTAGGCAGTCATTCGGATGAGTCTGATCACCCAATAAACATACATCAGAAACAAACCCTGAGGACGGTCTCCCAGATCAGAGCAGCCCAGCCCAGCCCACGGAACCATGGAACTATCTGACCGACCGCCTTGCAGGCAAAGCAGGACCGCTGACTCCGCGACAAATCTACTGAATGCAAATGTACCTCTCAGTTCCTGAGTCAAAATGCAGTCTGAAATGACTGTTCCGCAGATAATCCTCTCCTTGCTCGGTCGGTCGTCAACTCACAACTCGCAGCCACTCCAGCATGCATCTCTACGAAGATTCCTCGCAATATATCTTGACTACCTCCCCGGTACCTTACCTGACGCACATTCCCTCCGATGTGTGCGTGTTTAGCCCCGTCGCCGCGGCCGTGGCCGCAACCCTTGTCTCCCACGCACCCATTGACCCCTCCGACTCGAGCTACATTTGAAGTGTACAACGACGCGGATAAAAAGTTAAAGGACAATGGAAAGATACATGCATTAATTCGAGTGTATGGATCATTTGAAAAGAGCCTGCATCGCACACGCGCGAAACAGTGGTCGAGATTGCGGATTTCCCGCCGCATGTTGGTCTCTTCATTCCTAGACTTGTACTCTTCACACAGCAACCTGCTTGAGGCCGATGTGAGCTCTTAACATTCTCCTCTTCGCCACCAAATTTGCACCACGATCAGGTTGGATTTGTAGTAGTTCTAAGACAGTATCCACTTGCTGTCTGTTCATTGCGTCAAGTTGTGTAGATGTGGCAGGGAAGTCGGGAATAGCGGCACCGTCTGTGAGGCTATAGAGTGGCGAAAGGGGTTGATTTGGGGCTGTAACGTAGGAATTCTGAACTCGAGCTGTATTGTTTTGATTCCTATAGAATTAGTAGAGTAATATTAAAGTGGTTAAGTGTTGTACGTACGATGAAACAATGAGCTTGGTGAACTTCCCATCAAGACCAGCGATATCCTGGCGAATAGCTCGAAAGTCTTCAGTCATTCTGTCCTCCATTTTGGTCATTCTCTCCTCCATTTTGGTCATTCTGTCCTCCATTTTGGTCATTCTCTCCTCCATTTTGGTCATTTTCTCCTCCATTTTGGTCATTTTATCCCCTATTTGAGTGAGGACATCGAGAATGCGTTGACCGTTGGTGAGTGTAGGAAGATTGTGTACTTTCGAAACTTCATTGCTTATAGAAGTAAGACTGGCAGTAACGAGATTGAAATCTGGCTGCGGACCAAGAGGGGTTCCATCAGCCATCGTCGCGATGATAGTAGTGATGGTGGTGGTAGTGGTGGTGGTGGTGGTGGTGGTGGTGATGACGCTGTTTGTTTTTGTTTACGAAATGGTGAGGGGTAGGGGCAGTCGAGGAAAGATCACCTCCAAAAGCGGCGGCACTAAGCGCCAAATTTGGTTGGGCCAAAGGTTGACCATGTTCATTCACGCGCAGGACTCCGAGTCAAAGATTCTACCCTTAGGGCTCCATCCATTGTCGGGTTCGTCCAATACCTCTCCGAGACTTGCGAAGTGGTATATAATTCTTCCAGAGTCCGAGATGACAATGGTGCAGACCCATTTTACAGTCGGCGCAGGTCAAAAGGCTACAGTTCGCCTGGAATCCAATAGAGTGCGGAGTCACGTGAGGCGCGGGCAACTCCGCACAATGCACTAAGGACGAGATAGTTGAAGAGGCTGATCAAACCCGACGACAACACCACAAACACCTACACCAACACGCCGAGCAGCGAGCGGCAGCACATATCGGCCCATGTTAAGAGTTGGAATGACCGCAAATACCTCGAATCAAGGAGAAAAGGAAACACAATCGTTAAGCAGGCTGCTTCTGCTGCGGCACATTGGATATCCCTCCGTGTTCACCGCTCATGCCGTGCGGTATCGGGTCGAGGCACTCACTCGGCTTCGCGCACTCTTTGGAATGAAAATGGACATTGACACCGACCAAATACGAATGACTATGTAGCCCAAAGTATAGAAGAATAGAGTATGAAAGCAATATCTGCCCTGCCCTAATGAAAGCTGCATTCCTCCCTACACCTTTTTTTCCCCGAGTGCTCCGCCGAACACTCGGAGTATTGGAGTCTCTCAAACTGGATCCAAACCCCTGGGAGTCTCAGATGTCTGTCATGCGTGGTCTTATGATATTCCATTGTCATTGTCCTTGTCCAGCCGGAGACATGCCACCTCTTGAGCCTAGCCTAGCCTCGTCTCGCCTCGCTTCAGTTGAGAATTGAGAGGTGATCCGTCGATGTGTGATGTTCGGTCTGTCCGTCGTCTGGATGTTGAGTGTTGATTCCGGCCGCCTGTTCCCCACAGGGTGCTGCCGCCACCGCCGGGGACTGGGACAGGGCGTATGATCTGCGTGGCGTCATGGTCAAGAAGGAAGAAAGGCTGGCGGCCAAGCAAGCAAGCATTCAACACTCGCCGCACTTGTCGGCCTGGTTGTTGTGATCCCCTTGCCCTGGTCCTCCATTCCCCATTCTCCGTCCGCTGGTGTTGGCGTCGGAACTGCCAGTGGGATTGGGATTTAACAACCCGTCCCAAGGCCCGAGCGAGGATACTGGCACGTCACTGTCTGGGCGGAAGAAGATGAGAGCGATGCTTTTGTTTGTCCGAGTCAGTCTCAGTATCGGCAAGTTTCAGAACATCACCGCATCAATACAGAAAGCAATCAATCAGGCTGTCCAGCCTCGCACCGCACCGCACCGCACCGCACTGCACTCCGGGAAGGAAGGGGACTTTCCGTACATGAGAATGATGATCAGGGCGATGAGGACCCAGTTGTGGTCTTCCATTGTCTTGTGCCCCGGTGTGGTGTGATATAGAGAGGTGTAGAGTGATGTAGAGAGGACCTGCTTGCTCGCTTGCTCTTCGCCGTCAAGGTCAAGGTCAAGGTCGAGGTCAAGTATGTAGCAAAGAGGGACAACACCGAATACTGTGAGAAGAGAAGTCGTTTCGAACGTCTCTGATGAAGGTTCTGAGAAGCGGTGTGCCTTTTCTGAGGCTGGAAGAGGAGGGGGATGTGCCGTCATTTGTTCACCACCCTTGAGACAGGTGGTCAAGCGCTAATGCGGGAGAAGCTGCCTCATCACCCATCACACACACCACAGCCCGCGACGGGCCAGGGTTTTGGACAAATCCCAGCGAGGCGTGGATCATCACCCATTGACCGACAACTTGTGTTACACAAGGTGGCGTCGACTAGAGGGGGCTTGGGGGCGTGTCGTCGTCACGTTGAGCGACGGGGATTGGATGTTCAGACGAGGTCGACCTGCGAGAGCCATTGGGCTGTCTCTGGCTGGCTCTCTGGCTCTCTTCAGGCATAAAGATGAAGGAAGATTCTGAGCACTTAATCTCTGGGGCGGATGAGGCCGCAAAGCTGGCTGATCAGGCTGAGAAGCTGTGGTGCGGGCTGCGGTGCGGGCTGCGGTGCGGCTGCAACAAACACTCTGGAGACGAGGCTGAGCAACAATCTCCGCAAACAAGCCAGAAATTTCGCCCATGGCAAGGTATTCAGCGCCGCCGCTTCTGCACTTACCTTGGTACAACTTCGACACATTAGAATATTGTAGATACGCAGTAGAGGAACATAGAGTCGCTCACCCATGCTCTATCTTCGCCCTTAACCTTCACAACGAGAGATGGGATCGCGGCAAAATGCCAAGGCCGCACCCAATTAGCAGATTTTGCTTTGTCAGCGCCTTGGCAGCATCATCGCAGGTGCCAGAATGCAAGGACCGTGTGTGATGCGGACACACCAGCTTTGAACAGCCCACGCTGAAGCAGCAACACCCTCAGGCTTAGAAATGGAAACAGAGATAGACGGAAGTAGTGTTGCATCATTGTATGTATCTATCGTCATGATCTAGATAAAGTCCGGCCTTGATGCAAGCTACGCACGCATGTCCGTGTATGCGGTGTGCGGAGTATGCTGTCCAACACACGAAAGGACTTTCCAAAATGAATCTCTATTCTCGTACAAGATAAAACAAATGCCATGATGTCTTCGTTTCATTCAAAAACGTCTGGGGTCTTGTGATATAGATGTGAGCCACATGTGGGCTATATATCTCCCGTCCCCCAATGTACTTTCTTTTGCCTGCCCCCGTTTCTTTCCGTGGGGGGGTCGTTTTCCCCTTTCCCAGTATCCAGATTCCAAGCCAGTGGGATCCTCATGGTAAAGGAGTGATCATGAGTCTCGTGGTAATCGAAAAGGGTGTCTTGTTGTTTCCCTTTTCCTCATTAAGGTCGTCATTAGCAGCAAGCAGTGTTGCTGTCCAAAGAAATGAAAAAGAAAACCCGAATGTCGCGATGTCTCCGTTTCCTCAAGCTGGTTGGGAACAAGGCATCGGACGGGGTGAATTGTGGTCGAGTACCGTGAAGGAATGTGGTACCCGACGGTCATTGACCTTCTCAAAGCATGGCGACGACCATCAGAGCGGCTGCGGCACCGACAACCTTGATGCCACCAGTCGCGGCCGGGGCGGCCGCACCAAGGAATGTGCTCGCCACAGGAGCCACGGGCGTTGTTGACGACGGAACGACCGTGGTCGACCATGGGGTTGGGGTCGTCTCGGGAGCAACAGGGGTCGGCGTTGGAGTGATAACGGGTGCTGAAGACCAGTCACTCCATACGCTGCTGGATGGAGCCGGAGCCGGAGCCACAGGAACGCTGGAAGACCAGTCGGCCCACGAGCTGGTCGTCTCCGGGACGGGCGCCACAGAGCTAGGTGTAGTCCAGTCACTCCACGGTGTTGTTGAAACCGGGGCTGCCGAAGTAGAACTCCAATCTTCCCAATGCGATGTGGTAATAACCGGCGCAGGAGGTACGGAGGTTGTCGTAATAACAGGAGCCGGGGGTGCAGATGTAGTCCAATCTTGCCAATGCGACGTGGTCAATACCGGAGGAAGAGAAGTTGTCGTGATCACAGGGGCTGGGGACGCCGAGGTACTCCAGTCCTGCCATTGGGAGCTCTCTTGGGCTGGAGCTGGAAGTAGAGTTAGCATTCGTAATGTAGAACAAATAGCAGAGAATGTGCACTGACCTCCGTGTCCGCCTTGACTTGACCACTCTCCCCAGTTGCTGTTGTCACCAGCACCCTCGCCGCCTTTGCCGCCCTGACCACCAGGGCCTCCCGGACCACCGGGGCCACCGCCTTCACCTCCCCATTGGCCTCCGTTGCCGTTACCACTGCCGCTGCCGCCACCGCCGCCGCCCTGACCCCAGCCGGCTCCTTGACCGCCGCCAGGTGCTGCGACAGCAAGTGTAGCAAGAGCAAGGACCAACGCGGACTTCATGGTGAGGGGAAGATGACGTATTAGGAATAATTGACGAGGTGAGGGTAGTGGATTATGTAAGGATTTGCCTGGGAACGATTGACCGTGTTTCAACGAAGGACTTTGGTCTTGGGAGTAATGATTTGCAAGATGGAAGAATAGGAAACACAATGCAACGGCCTGGAAGGGATTCAAATACCTTTGTAAAAGGGGAGAGAGCAACGTCATGCACACGACAGGAGAGGTTGACAGATCCAGCTGTGTACCCTCATTCGAGTGTTGCTGGGAAAAGCCTACCTGGGGATGCCGCCGATAGTGGCTCTGTTCAGGAGGCAGGATCATGATGGTGGAAGAGTCAAAAAGGGGAACATAGTGGTCCGTATGGGCAATGACTGCCAGTTCAATTGGGTAGGCATAACGTCAGGTGGAGTATAGAAAAGGAGAGCAAACCGGGCTGGGACTGAATAGGCGAGCCCAGGTTTGGGTGCCGCCAGCCTCTTCCCCCTTGCGGATTGACCCACCACCGTTTGTATACTGGGACAGTGTATATGCGGTTTCAGGGGGTTTCTCAAAGGGTATGGCAGGTGAACAGGGATTGTGTGTGCTGGGGACGTCAATGCATGGTCCAGGGAGGAAGAGGTTGGATTCACGGTGAAACAACACTAGGGTCCAGTCATGTTTGGGGAGGCTGGACATGGTTAGACTTGGAGCAAGGGCGAAGCGAGCGAACCCGGAGTCTCAGATTTTAGTGTTTAGCCAATAGTGTCGACGCTGAGTTCGCTAACATCTTGGCGGTGGCGGTGAGGGATTCCAGGGGAGGCTGGGAGGCTTGATAGTCGGTGTCAGGCCAACAAGGAGGCTGACCGGAGAAACCACCAGCCCTCTTTTTCCTTTGGGATTATCTCACGGGAGTATTGTCCACGGGCAGGCTGGAGATGCAATAATTGGTTCAATGGAAGGATTTTTGATGGTTGAAAGGATTTGATTGCAGGAGCGAGTGATTGCTTTGTGGCTTTTCTTCCCTTTCCGGTTTGTTGTTTTCAGGCGAGTTTTTCCGCTCCGCACAAATATTTCACCGATTACCGTCTTGGCACAATTATGTGCCAAGATAATATGTCCCAAGTGGTACTAGTCTAGTGCCAAGGGCCCAACTTCACAAGAGAAAGTGTATGTACTTGTCGGCGCCGAGGCAGCGTCAACTACCGTACGCAATAATTCGCAGCTGCCTCAGCCTGTCCAGTTGTTTACACCAAGACACTGTTCTAATCTCTTCGTAGTCGCCACAGGACTCGCTGCAGATTTTCGGAAAGCTAAGCGCACGCTCCTTTACAGATAGATACCGAGCGATGACGCCCGTAATATGCTCCATCCGCACGGGACGGCCGAATTCATCAGGTGTGTCACGTGAACCATAGCCCGGCAACCGGAAGCGGGGGTGGCCGTGATATAGACAATTTCCAACCACGTCAATGGTAGCAACGCGTTGAAACCTGTGCTCCCCACTGCCTTCCATCCTCGACCAGTGTGGTTACGCAAAGGCCACCCCGAGACCTGCAAACGACATGACGTACGAAGCACAGATATCCTTTACCTTGGACACCATTTGCCCTTGGTGAGACATCCGTCATCCCGTCGACCGTCATCCTGCCGCCGCATCAAACTATTCATTGGACTGTCCATATTGGTAACCGGGCTGATGTGTCTCATACTCACAGGACGTATCTGGCCAAACGACGGTACAGTCTTGTTCTCAATGACGTCCTTTCCGCGGGACTCGAGGGCTGACCTGACTCGCGTATGCGATGGGTGAGTTGGCAGGCTTGACGAAGGTCGGTTCTTCCCTGGAGCCCTGTTCATTCAGACCCCGGTTGGTCCGTTTTATCACAACGGGGCATTCCGCCTGACCTGTGGACAGCCCTGCGTCGATTCCGGCAAAGCGAAGCCGCAAAGGACGTGACTTTCGTGGTCAAGTACTTCCCATACCAGCTGCATCCCGATGCCACCAAGGAGGGTGAAAACAAGTACGATTGGTACAAGAAATCCCGCTATGGCGACTCGGAAGAGAAGATGAAGATGGTAAGGTGATGCTCGATGGCTGCAGTCCCCCCCGGTTTGCTCATCCATAGGGTCTCGGCAGTATATGGCCTTGATGACGGCATATGGCCTCTCGGCTGGTATCAATTTTAAGTTCGGCGGCACAGTCGCCAACACCATGGACGCACATCGCGTGATCCAGCACTTCCAAGAGGAAAGGGGCCCTGAAACGGCCGACAAGATCATCAATTGTAAGTGGCACACGTTACCGTACCCGCGGGCGGCTTTCGGAAAAATGTATTGCCGGATTCTGCTCCAATGTCACCCATTGACATCCATTGCTTGGCACATCACAGCGCTCTATTCCCAGTATTTCGAGAACGAGAAGCACCCTTCTTCCGACGAGACGTTGCTCAAAGCCACCGCAGAGGCCGGAATCCCTGAATCCGAAGCCCTTCCATTCATCCAAGACAAGAACGACGGGATGATGGATGTGAAGAAGTGAGTCTCTCTCCGCAGCCCGGGGGAGGGTGTTTCCATGCTCGGACAACAATGTTCCCCGTAGACTGCCCAGAAAAGGCTCGCACCCGGCTTACATATATCGTTCCAGCATGGTTCGTCAGCAGGCAGGCAACGGGGTTGATTCCGTGCCGACCATCATGATCGAGGGCAAACGGAGGGACATCACCCTCGTGGGAGCGAAGGAGGTCGAGGAATACGAGAAGGCTCTGAAGCAGATTGTCAAGGAGAGCAAGTAGGTCCTCGGATGTTTGGGGAAGAAGAAGGAATGAACGAAACGAGAGAAATAACGGCCGTGATACTGAATTGCTAAAAGTTATTTTGAGTAGACACTTTGACGTCTGGGAATGTGGTTGTTGTTGTTGACCCTGGCCATGCCGCCATTGACCACGCCTTGTGTTCCATTTCTCAATAGACCCTAACCCCTACCCTCTCTTTGTCCATGTCAAATGTGACCCCGAGTCCGCGGAAGAAGGGTTCGCCCAATACCCACACGTCTTTCATGCCGCTTTCGAACCCTTCTCTTCTCTGACCCATCCTTGTCTCCACCACGCTGCCCACGCAGTATCCCGACCCATCTTGTAATTTCCCCAGGCTGAACCTGCCGCCCGTAGGACCGTGCAGCCCGTCTTCCCAAGTCCCTTGGCCTTGCATGGCGGGGATGTTCATCCCGGCAATCTCAAGGGCGATATTGACCTGGTTGAAGCAGGGGAAGGCAAAGAAGACATCGAAGGGGGCCGGGAGGCGTTTCGTGCCGCCGATCGAGTCGTAGAAGCGTTGGGCGGCGATGGGAGGGGCCAGGATGAAGGGGACGTTGATGTCCAAGATGACGGGCTGGTTTCTCAGGATCTGTTGTGCGTGAAGGCAAGGGCATGTCAGCAAAAAGGAACGGTGATCCCTCCGCAGCAGAAATCAAACCAGAGAGTCAAAAGAGTGGCCCACGCACGGCCAGTAGGATATCGATCATACAAACCTTTGCTCCGTGAATCCATACACCCCTCATCAAAGCCATCCACCAGCCCGCCGCTCCTTGCACTTCGGTCCATTTGAAATGTCGATCCCACGGCACCTCAGTCGGCATCATCGCCTGCAACTGCGCCTGGACCTGCTCACTGACCCATTCCGACGTGATCCCAGCCTGGCCAAAGTGCTTCAGCTCGACATCTCCGCGTATTTTTGCTTCCTCGACCTCTTTCGCGATGGTTCCGCCGAGGGTGAGGATCCCGGTCTCCGTGTCCAGCAAGGTGACCGACCAGACCTTGTTCGGCAGGGCGTCCTGCTCTCTGAGCTGCGTCAGGAGCGGAGGAGAGGACAATCGTGCAAGAGATCCCACGTGTGGTGCGAGACCGAGGAACGTGCCGGAGCGTGCGAGGCTCTGTCGAGATGCCTTTGCTGGTGCGCATGCGGGGAACTCGAGTCGAAGCGCTGGCAGATTCGGGGACAAATGAAATTCGTCGCTGGCGCGGGCGCAGATTGGGTGCGCTCTGCCGTGGCGGATTCCTGGCCAGGCAACACAATCAATTCCATCTCCTCGTTTCTCTCTCTTCCTCACCTTCGCTTCTTCACCTACCGTGACTTCGCGATGCAGACGCGTTGTACTTGACACCGCTGTCGCTCGCCGTCGTGATGGTGTAGAAATCAGGACTCAGCATGTCAATGTCGACTTCCAATTTCTGCCTTGGCGCGCCCACCTCGACCGTCGTATACCTGCACTCCCCGGCGTTGAGGTGAGGTCAGTGATCTCAGTTCTCCTCTCAAAGTCCCAAGGACTGCAGTCCAAGACGCTCTGCCCTACCATCGATTCGCCCCTCCGACGACATCAACCACCTCCGGATCATTTTCATCCTCGAAACTGCTGGCGTGCCATCTCCGCACAAGCCGATTTCCTTCGATAGCCCGGTAGCTGAGGCCGTACTTCGCTTCGGCGGCTTCGAGGATTGAAGAGAGATACGTGAGGTTGGCGGACTCGTGGCTCGAGAAGCGACCTCCCCTCCTGTACAGTGGGAGGTGAATGATGGAGTCGACGGGTTGCACAAGGCAAATGAAGAGCAAAATCAAGTTGAAAACAATGAGGCTGTTGAGATATGTCATTTTCTAGTGTGCTCGCTGAGTGTAGGAGCATTTAGGATCGAAAGAAGGTGTCTACAGCACAAAATAACAGATAGAGTCCCCATGACGACGTGCTTGCTTTTCACTCCCCCGCCCTGCCAGACCATTCCAGACCGCGCCATGCTTTTAGGAATATAACGATAGCTCTTTGACCCGAACTTTTTTCGCCCTTGCGTGCTTCCCCCCGGTGATGCCGATGCTCGTGATGCCTGTTCGACATGGGTCAAGGTACCCCGTGGGACCCATTGCCGTACTCTAATGATGCTGATGCCCGTGCAGTCTCTCTTCGAAATATTCTTCCAGGTCTTCTGCTTCACTCAGCCTCAGTGCTTCCTCAACACTGCCCACAAAGTATCTTGTGCCGCCCACCAGGTCGACAATGCCGCTCTTTTCAAACCGCTTGTAGACTTGACTCCGTCTCTGGGGTAATCTGCAGAAAATGACGCGAATGCCACGCCTGACATAATCGTCCACGATTTCAGTAAAGACCTGCGTTCCGGAGCCGTCGATTGTGGTGACGCCGTGCACATCAAATATAACATTGCGGTTGTTATCCTCGTGGCGCACTCGTGGCAGGGAAGGGTGAGCAGCATTGGTGCCGTATTGCTCTAGCCGCCGGAGTCGGTTTTTCAATTCTCCGGTGTTCGCAAAGGTGAGGGGTTCGGGGATCTTGACAATCAGACAACCCTCGATATATTCTATATTCTCGGGCGTAAGTTCTGCATTTTCGAATTGGTTTGTCGTCCCTGGCACTTTTCCGAGAATTTGAATTCTGGGCTTCGTTGCGTGGCGGATCAATGCCAGTAAGGACAAGCCGATGCCGAGTGCCATTCCGACTGTCAAAGAATAGAAAACCGTCGCCACAAAGATAATCGTCATGAGTGACAGCTCCGTCCAGCCTCTAATTTTGAGGAAAAACTTGATGTCATGAGGACATTCTTCGATGAGAGAGTATGCGACGACCGAAACCATGGCAGAAAGAACGCCCTTGGGTAGGTAGTAGAAATAGGGAACGATGAACAGCACTGATATCAAGGTGATGAGGCTGAGGAGAATGCTGCTCATTGGCGTGGTACCTCCGGTCGAAGCGTTGACTTTACTCCTTCCATAACCACCGAATGCAGGTAAGGCCATGAAGCAGCCCCCGACAATGTTCGCAGTGCCCAGAGCAATCATTTCACGATTCGCGCTCAGCGTCATGTGCTTAACTTGGCCCCCTTCTCCGATGCTTTTTGCCGCGACAGAAGATTCGAAGAACCCCAGCAACGCAATCAAGAAGGACGTACTCAATGCCGTGTCGATGTGTTTCATATGTCGGAACTGGAACGGCCACTGGAATTGGATGGATGTTCCGCTTGGAGATTTGACTTCGCCTAGGATATCGAGGCCTTTCTTGTCCCATGAATATGCCCAAGTCAGAACAGCCGAGAGAGCGACCACAATGAACCGATCCGGAAAGTATGCCACCCAGTGATATCGAGGCTGCATGTTCTTTTTTAGAGACCTGTGATGTTAGACCATGAAACTCCTGAAGCCGGCCATAACATACCTAAAGACCATGATGATGGCGAAGGCTCCGAAGGATACCGCGGCGGTCAAAGCGTGAGTATCCCCTATGTTCCTACCCAGGAATACCAGCTTTTGAGCACTGCTCCCATGTGTCACGTCGTCCGCTTGTTTCGCAATGTCGGCGAGACCCAACTCGGGAATCAACTGGTCAACAAGAATGACGAATCCGATGGCGCTAATGAAGCCTCGAAGAAAGGGTCGACTGAGGACGCTGTCGAGGAACCCAAGCCTAGCCAAACCAGCGGCGAAGATGATGGATCCTGCTATCGCGGTCACCAGGCCGCCGATTTCAGCGTTGAGCTCGGAATCATCATCGTGGGACTGTCCACTGTCGATGCATGTCTTGACCACCTGGCCAAGCAGCAAAGACCCTGCTGCCTCAGGTCCGACCACCATCTGAGGGCAAGTGCCCAAGAAAGCGTAGATCAATGGCTGAAAGACAAAGGAATACAGTCCATTGATGGGTGGAACGTGTGCAAGGTTTGCGGCGAAAGATAGCGACATCGGGATGTAAAAGGACGCCATCGTGAGAGCAGCGACCAGATCACCCTGTAACCAGCTCCATCGATACTGCCCGACCCACTTGACGAACGGGAAGTAATAGGAGAAGTACATGAACCGGTGACTCTTAATCCCGTGTCTTTCAGCCAGCCATCTGGTTGTGCCCAAGCTGTTTTTACCAGGTGTGAGCGTGTCGGTGACAGCCTCGCCCAGGATGCCTCGCACCGGGTCCCGTGGACTGCCGTCCTCTGCGATATCATCGGCGTATCGACCACCGAAGGAGATGCTGTTGCTCCCCTCGCTTTCGTCGACCGAAGGGGCTCGGGGAGAAAAGGTTCCATGATTGCAGTTCTTCAGACCACAAATGCGGCTGTGGTGATAATCCCCTAGCATATTGTTCCGAGCGTGGAGCAACTGCGACGAGGGTTCGATGAGCTCTCCTTGTACATCTTCCCCTTCTTCGTCCACCAAGGGCTCTGGTTCGGCGATGAGAGGCGTGTTTTCGTCGACTGTCAAGGTTGGCGGAGGGAGTTCTGGGCCGCCATTATCACTTGAATCTCCCTCTGAGCTGGATCTTGCCATCCTGTCTTCTGGTGAGAGAATCGTGGTCTCCCGCAACCGACTGGGGATCAGAGGGGCATATTGGTCGGTGTCTGTAAATCGGACGCTCTGCTGAGACACCCGCCGGGGAGGAGTCAAAGGGTCAGAAGACCGAAAGCAGGATGATTTTGGGTCGGCCATCGTGGGGTCAGTCAATGAGGAGAAGGGTAGTGAGAAACTCCGCCAGTTTCATGGCATTTCGGGGAGGAAAGGCTCCAAGATGCACCCTTGGACTCGAGGGAAGGGCTTCCCCTGGGAAGCAAGGAACAGAGGTAGAGGTGAGGGTAATTGAGAGGAGATCAGAGCTGGTGTCTGAGAACGAATGGAATGCCTGGTCCCTGGTTTGTGGACGTGTTAGCAACAATGGACTGCTGAAATCCGACCGACAAGGCCATGCTTTGCCTCGCGAACCCAATCAGATTGAACCAAATTGGCACGGAAGGAACTGACGTGGGTGGAATTTCAGATCACGCGGGGTTTGCGGCTCTTGTTGCTTGAGTACTCCAACTGCGCAGGCCAGAGTGTACCAAAGTCCAATCCTACTCACGTGATCCACGTGACTTCGGAAGAAGGATTCTCTCTGATCCGAAGCTACATCCTCGGCCTCAACGACTGCGCAGTACATGCATTCAAGGAGAGGAGGTGCAATCACTACAGACTTGGGAGAGGACTCTGCTGTCAATGCTGTCACGTCCTCGCTATCCGGATTTCGCCCCGCCTCAACGTAGATGTGTTGACGCGGGAAGAAGCTGGCGAGACTCATCGTTGATGCGGGCGGAACCCATGGATAACAGCAGAAGAAACTGCAGATGCATGAGAATGTAGTCAACAAGCAGCATGTATGCTGATGAAGTGAAAGGAGTCTCGAGTTTTGGTCACTGGCCGAACCGTATTGCTTTCATTCTTTTGCTAGGAGTTGTATAGGCTAACCACCACGCGCTGAAACCAAGGTTGGCAATCTCCCTCGTCGAACCAGCTAGATCTGGTCGCAGGGGTTTACTATGACAAGTGCTGGCGAAGGATACTGAAAGACCAGGATATAATGGCATCCGATTGACAGATGACCGTCCATGCAGCACTTGGTGTCGCAAGTCCTGTCCGTACCCGAGCCCAGAGAGAATAATGTCCAATGCCAGCCAAATCACCTCAGCACAACCTAGCTCTTGCACGAAGAAATTGCCCTGCCCGGTACCTTACGCTTCGAGGGTTACCACATTTATACAGTGTCCTCCCTTCTCTTCACAAACAACAATTTACCTCTTCTGAGCGCAGGCTCGGAGACGTACTCGAGGGCGAGCGAGAGGCCAGAGCGTCGAAGTGATTGGCTTGAGCACGAAGAAGGGGTTCGAGACGGAGGATGGACGATCGTTGGCGTGAGCTCGAGGCCGTTGAAATTGGCCAAGCAGATGAATCAACATCTTGAACAGGTACATAACTAACGTTCGCGTCATCAAGAGGGCAATTCAACAGATCTCACAGTTCAGAGCACGGTCGAAACTCATCTCGAAGCCATAGCTTATGGCCCGGAACATTGTCAGATGTCTGGATTCACCATCATACTGTGGCCTGACCTTGTTGGCGACAGAGACTGTGCGCAGAGAACAAAAATGGTACAAAGTGTGCGGAAGTGAGGGATGTGTTCGGCCAACCTTCCTTGTATTCAGTGTTTCTCCAAATCTGCCGCGCTCGCTGCCCGTGCTGCCGCGTCCCTGCGGAGCGACAGTAATGAGAGGTTGTTGAAGAAAATGGCAATATCTTTGCCCCATCATTGCCAGCAAACGTATCTCGGGACAGGGTAGATGTGTCGGAACCAAGCTTATAGTTGGGCCCCGAATAGAGAGAACAGGCCACGCACATAGCCTACGAGCCGTTCCAATCAAACAGCGCGCCGTGTAAACAATTCACTCGCGTCCGCCTTACCTACAAATACAGTCGTTCCGGAACATCGAGAGATAGATCCCTGCCATTTTTCTTCCAGCATACGCAAATCCCGACCGATGTTTCCGAATGGGAGGTAGTTCGCGGCGCTGACTACAGACCTCAGTTGGCTGCATTTGCAGTTACCTTCGTCAAGAACTTTTTTCTTCCCTATAGGTTATTGACCGTATAACGAGTTGTACATATACTGATATCAGCATCATTCAGTGAAAGCTTCAAGAAGGAACAATCCACAACCTTCGTCTACGAACCTGTCCGAACTCCAAAGCACACAGTCGCCTGCGGACACTCCCTAATGAATAGCAACATTGAGAGGAAAGTGTGTGACCCGTGATCGTTACCGCTGTGTGATATCACGTACGTTTGATGACGTGGAAGCAGTGAGGCGCATTAGCCGTGATGGACAGGAGATGGCACAAGGTAATGACGGGAAATCCTTGAAAGACGAAGGTGGAATCTTCGCTTACCTAGGGGTCGCGCCTATCATTCATCGTTCATTGATGGTTGTCGAGAGTCCAATGCCAGAGCTAATAAGTTAGCCTACCTCTTGACGCGATTCCCGGCTGATCCAACTGATTCGAAGAGAACAGCCCTCGCGATCTTAAGCATGTTCGACGATGGTACCGACGAGCTGATTGACGGCACAAATATCGACAGTCCACGCAATGTCATCACTTTGACCGACGATTTACATCGACTTTTCGGTATTTCCAAGTCTATTTTGAGCCCAGAGAAAATGGGCTACATTCGTACCGCATTGACTCAACTCGAGAGGACTTTTTCCGGCATCCAATCTTCCCAGTCGATCGCACTCTTTCCTTGACCGAGACACACGCGATCGATCCTCCCGATCCGCGATTGCTTGCACTTCAGAGCGTAATTACGCATATCCTTCATGTGAGCGCCGCCGGCCGCCATATTGAAAAGATCCTCGGAGACCTTGACGAAACGGACATCAAGGTAGATGGATCTACTGAGTCGGGATATCTCACCTATTTGAGACTTCAGAGCTGGTGGAACTGGGAGATTCGTGCTTATTGATGTGTTCTGATCACGAAGCAACGACCCATATGTGTCGAGAGGGCGTAACCTGGTGATGACGATGCCAGGATGTATGAGCCTTCTGTTCTAGTCATGATTCGAGAACCTGTCATCCGCACGGAATGAAACATACTCCAATCTCAAAGTCCGTCTCCACGCGGGTCTCTCTACCCTGGCATCTGCTCATGTCGGAGCTGGACTATTGTGATCCATGAATTCGTTTGCCAACTGGATACTTCGCTTTCCCGATAACACGTGACCCAAAACGAAGTGTACATACTAGCGCCTTGGCACTCCTGGTCCAATCGTCAGTGAACTTGCCCTTTGCCAAGCACCCCAAAGTAGGACTTCAAGGTCAATAGATCGCAGAGGTACACGGGTACCGGTACAACAGCCGCCAGAAATCACTTGTATATATGTTTTCTGTCTCTAAATTCTGTCACGCAAAGACCCCCTTCTCCACAGCAAGGGCGAAAACCGAGATTACCACGAGTTCGAGTCCCGATCACGGCATATGTAATCTAGGTCCTGTCAGGTCAAAACTAACTCCCGGTTAGTGGGCATCAGGACCTCGATTCCTTCCTCCGATCCTCCCTCCCTCCGACGACGACCCACCTCGATCCGACGACATCGACGACATCAACCACTGTAGTATAAAATTCGTAGTAAAACCGGTCGAGAAAAACCAACCCTGTAAAGGGCGAGTTTTCCTTGTCACAGACCAGCAGGTTGAGCTGTTCTGTGATAAGTTTTTGCCGTTTTGCACCTTGTCAGGAGAAGGGAGTCACTGTCTGTCTCGGAATGACATTGCGGTGTTGCACAGGCCAAGTACGTATGGTGAGGTTCACCAGGGAGATATAGTCAGCCCCCTTTGCGGATGTCCCTCAGGCTGCCACGGGTACCTGACTGCAAGCCCCAGCGGCATTATCAAAGTCGAAATCATCCACCTCATCTCTTTACTCCGCATAATTGTGTGCAATAAAGGCGACCTGGGGTCTCGATCATGATGTTCCTGCGTCACTCGTCTCCTCCCATCCTTCATTACACCCGATCTCTACATGGATCAGCCAGAGTCGAATGATAGGTTCTGGATTGGAAAATGCCTTTCGGAGGAGCCTATGACGGAGAAGCCGTTCAGAAACCCGTCTGAAGATCCAATGCTGAGGCGTTTCAAGGACTCCGACGAGGAGTTCGAATACATTGAGGACATCAGGGGCTGGGATCCATCTCCTGTTCCTGAAGAGCATCTCTCGAAGCTTCAAGTCACGGCTCGTTGGACCTCGATCCAAAGTGTAACCGCAAGAAGCCCGCCGTCGTTGGTCGGAGTGGGCATCAAAGATTCTATCCGCAGCAGGAATAGTAGACTATACACGACAGCACACTCGGTCACAGCTCGAGTATCCCGTTATCCATAGAACGGCCTCGCGAAGACGGTCAAGTTAGGAGAACCTCAGGCGCTAAGTGAAAGAGGGAACCCTTGGTGGGGTGGGAAACGGTGAAGGTGGCACAGAGTCTTGAAGGGATGGGGTTCCGATCACGTGGATCGACCTTGTGAAGTAGCCCAGAGCCTGTCTCGCTCGGGCGTTGTCGCAAAATGAATAGTCTGCGAGTCCTGTTGCCAGGCGAAGCTTGAAAAATGCACGCAGACGATACAGTTTCAGGATGTTGGGCGGCTTGGTTTGGCGCGCCGCAGAGTCCTTGAGACACCGAGTTTTAGCTTGTTGGGATGGAGAAACGAATGTATTGTATATGCTAGCTAGGTTCTAAAACTCTTATTACCCCAGCCACGTCTGCGATCACAATGTTTGTCTTTGGGCTGCGATCATTTTCAAGAAAATCGCAAGTAACCTTACCATGTCCCAAACCGAGGAAACTCGGGCTGTTTTGTCAAGATATGGAGCGGGTAAGGGTCTTGCGGAAGCCTGTCTGTATTCATTTACTCAAACGCACGTATGCTCTTGTTCATCTTTCCCTCACCAAATATTCAGATAGAGCGCAATCGACATCACGTTCCGATTGATCAATGCAACCGCCTTGATCAATTGCCAGCAGTATGCATACGAGCCATCTCGGGAGCTCCGTCACGGTCTCGTCAAAAGGCTAGACCATCTCCGGCGTCACCTTCCACTGCAGCAGCAACCCCGCCTCGAGCAACGAGAAAAGTCACCGGAGATCGGTGATTCGCCTTGTCTGAAGCTATCCGCCATGTCCTGTTCCGCGTTGTGATTTCAGGGGCCGTCTCGAGGCATCCAAAGTGCGAGGCAGGCACCGCAAGTAATTCATCGAAGGCTTTGTCGGCGGGCTAGTCGGCCGTCCAACTTCCCATGAGGCATTACCCATTATAAACAATCCCATTTTATGCACTTAAACGTCTCTTTTCAAATCCGCTCTCAGGTTGCTGCGCGATAAAGAGGGTGCGGGTAGAGGAGGGAAGGAAGATCGGATGCCTCGTCGTAGGCTCGGCCGGTGGGTAGGCCGCTGAGGAGGGCGCAGGGTGTAAAGCGTGATGGATCAATTGATTCGATTCGATGGCGCAACCGACGTCTTTACTACACACGTAATAGCGCCGTAAGTCAGGGTGCGGCGCGGCGGGGAGCTGGGAAACTAGTAACGTCTGCGGTCACAGCAGGGATTGACCTTTTACCGTTCGACATGGTGTCTCGATTGCCGTACAGGGCGGGTCAGATCATGGACCAAGCACATGTCACACGTTTGCTTGCTTGCCTGCTTGATTGATTGAACATGTGCGGCGCGGCCAGCAACTTCGGAGGGGGTGTTGTCAATCATGAGGTCATGCTGAATTTCATGGCGAGGCTGCGAGTTGGTTCCGATGCTCGTTGGTCAGCTTGTCGCGTCGCGCTGTGGCGCTAAGCCTCAACAGGTATAGCCTCAGCACGTGGCCACGTGACTTAAACCTAAAGCTCCCCTCGGGAATGGCCTCAAAGCGATAATTGTGAGCGATAACGACGACTCCTAAATCCTCCCACGCCCGCAGTAATGCCCTCCCTACAGGTCGCCAGGTAGGTACCTTTTAGCGGCCGGTGACCGCATCGGATCGCATCCTCCAAGTCCGCACACGCCGGCGGGAATACCCTCCCTGGGTCCCGGGCGCCGGTGACCGCATCGCACCGCATCCTCGAGGCACCACGTCTCCCTACCTCCCTACCCATCCCACGCTCAATCCCATGAAGTCGAATGAAACCCTTCCTCTCCGCGAGGACCTCACAAAACAGAGGCTGGTTTTGGTCCTGGTGCTGCGACTGGTGCTCGTCATGTCAAACTCCGCACTCCCACTCCCGCTTCCACTGCCTCCCGATCGAAAGGAAGACGAGACTCGAAGAACGGGAGAATATGTACCAAAGAATACCTACCGAGTGAGTTCACAGCGCAACATAAAACAAGTAAAGCCCGAGGATGCTGCGGACGCGGAGAATGCGGGAGATACGGTGGACACATTATGCATTACACCGCAGGATTGTGATTATCGAGGGAGTGAATTAGTGAGCAGTAGAGCATATAGAGCCAGGCGTCTAACAGAGATCCCCTCCGAATGCTACGTCCTTCTTCGCCGAGGGTGGTTGGCTGGAGTTGAGAGCCGCTTCGATGTGATCGTAGGATCGAGCGCAGGCCGTGTCGCCGTGAGACCGTGAGTCCATCTGTCGAGATAAAATGCAGGCTGTCGGCCAGTTACACACTACGTCTGATATCTTGCGGAGAGAGACCGAGTGCTCAAGGGTCAAGGTTGGTGCATTAGGTGCAATTGGCCGCGCTTGACAAAGATCCGAGTCATGAAGCAAACATACATACAAGAACAAGTACACATACACATTCCAGCGTTCCAGATCAGGGTGACAGGGAGATAGATAGATTGAAGCGGAATGAGTACCCAGAGGAAAACGCCTTTCCGTTGCCATGTTCATCATATCAATCCATAATGGCCGCTTCTTGAATGCATATCTTGCTTGAATCGAGACTTCGATACCCCGATACTCCGTACCGAGCATGGCGTACACATACACGTAGGTAGACCCAGACCCCAGACTGTGACCCTGCACCCCCTCCCCCACCCACTGGAGGGCTTCACATCTTCACATCTTCACATCTTCACATCTGCGATAGTACCGGTACCCGGTCCCAGCACCGAAAAATCACAAGTATATCAGTTTTCTCTCTCTAAATTCCACCACGCAAAGACCCCCTTTACACACACAACAAGGGCGAAAATTCACGAGACCAAAATACCGAGTTCGAATCCCGAAATCGATTTAAAAAGTCGCCATCAACCACACCGTAGTATAAACTCCGTAGTATAACCGGTCGGTCGGAGAAAAACCAACCCTGCAAAACAGGGTGAGTTTTCCTTGTCACAGCCCCAGTAGGTTGAGCTGTTCTGTGACAAGTTTTTTGCTGCAGGGCCGAGCTGGGGAAGTGACTGGGGACAGGCCTGGGAAAGTAATCTCCGGGGGATGAAATCTTTAACTTGGACCTGCGATGCCGCGGTGTATGATGTACGCACATAAATTCAATTCAATTCAATTTCCATGCCATCCTATCCCATGCGTACCCGCAAGCAAGGCTAAATGTATCTCAGATATATCTCGACGAGATTGATAAACGCCTTCCAGGTCCCAGAGACGAATCCAAAAGGCACAAGTGCTCTATGATGCTCTATGGCCATGCATGCAATACCCACTCAAATAAATAGAACAAGTTGGCAGATCCCATCCAATGCAGTGTCACTCGTATCCTCGAGTCGATAACACACATAGATATCAATATATGTACAGGAGAATCGTGGTTGGAAAACGACAAAAGGCATCCGACATCCTGGACCGATCGACCGTAAAGGGGTATTGAAGTGAAGAAGCAGAAACACCCGGCTCATGAAACATTGCAACCATCGTGTGTATATCAAAACGCCTGCGACAACATGACGAGGCTTCCGCAACAGAAAAGGGACAAGGACTCTTGAAAGCTTGCGACCATCGACGACCAGTCTTTGTGGCCTTGCGGATCCGGCAGTGGGGGGGGGGAGGGGGGCAAAGAGTGTCGTCGCATCGTGGACATCGTAGCGGGAAGATTCAGGACTGCGCCTTTAGCCGACCTTCCAGGAAATCTCGCCGCACTCTGATCGGGTCGCGCTGAATTTCTCGACCCGGTCAGTCATCCAGCCCGACGTGTACTCCTCTTTGGGGTCGACCGGCCGACCCATCCTGATCGAGTGGCTCAGTTTGCAGGTTCCCGGGTGCCAGGCAAACTGCATGCACTGCACATCCTTGTCGCAGACCTCGCGGCAGTCTTCAAAGGACTCGACGGACTTCTTCTCGGCCTCCGAAAGATCATCCCACATCTTTTGCTTCTCTTCATCATTCTTCCAATCCCAGTCGTTGTCTTCTTTGACATGGTCCTCCTTCGGCTCCGTAAATGTCTTGTCCGCAGCCAGGTTGTTCCAGTCCTTCTTCTCTTTGCTGATGTGGGGGCGGACAAAGTCTTCAAAGACATCTTTGTAGAGGTAGGGAACGGCGCCGGGGTCTTCGTCGTCCCACGTCTTGTTGAGCCACTCCTTTTCAAACTGCCAGAGCGCTTCCACCTCGTACGAATGCACATGGTGCCAGGTGATTGCCGGAGTGCACCACACACCATCGGACCAGATGAAACCGGAGGGAGGGTCGACTTGGAACATGGGCCAGGCACCGCTGACGCTGACTCCGGCTTGGTCCATAGCCACCCCCAGCATGACATCACCGCAGCAGATTGTAGAAGTCTCCTTTTCCCAATCAGCAATCTTTTCAGGTGTGCGAATGTCTTCGAATTTCTTAACCGCATTGCGGGATAACAGATAGCCTGTGCCACCTTGTGCAAACGCCGTAGGGCCATGCCAGTAGACACAGCCTGCGTAGAGTGGTTCGTCTGGATCCATGCGGTCGAGCAGAAGCAGGAGATTTGCCCAGCTGAGATATGTGTCGGCATCGATCGTGACAAACCACTCCGCATCAGGGTATTTCAGGTAGGCCTTGTGCAGCATGGGGATGTTTTTCCATTTGTCCAGCGCCCAGGCCTTGTCGGATCCCAGCACGCTCACGTCGCCGTGCGCAACATGGGCCGCGTGGACCTCGTTGTAGAAGTGGAAGTCGTCGTGGTTTTCCCTGTACTCTTGTCCGATCTCGTCCAAGGCGTCTTGAATGCGGAACTCGCCCACCTGTTGCTCCATGTCTGAGAAGATCATGAAATTGGGCACGCATTGAGCCAGGGTGACGAGTTGTTCAGGGACACGTGCAAAGACTTCGGTAGCCCCTGTCTTGACCATGACCACGACCTTGTCCGCGCCTGGTAGCTGGCGGCATGGCGGGATGTGACTGTCGGAGCTGTAGGAGGGGGTTGACGCGGGGGAATGTTCAGGGGAGGTAGTTGGTTCGGATTCCGACTTGGCTCCGGACTTGGATTCGCGATGGGAGGCGGGCTCAGGCTCGGAATCGGTGTCAGGGCTCGGCTCAGGTTCAGAGGTCGAGGGGTGTTCCGTGCTCGTCGGCGCATGCTCTTCGGGTTGTTTGACCAGGTCGAGGTCTTCCTCGACCTCAAAGTACCCGTCTTCGATCTCGACATCGGCGACATCGTCGACAGCTGCGGAGGAGGCGGAGCCTGAGCTCTCTCGGAACGACGCGGGAGAACTCAAGCCGTACACGGCGCTCGAGTCAGGATCGGGGAGGTAGTAGGATCGGAAGAGGAAGAGGGAGACGAGGGCGACGAAAACGAGGAGAAGCCGCACAGGGCCCAGCGCTCGAGGGAGGGACACGGACATGGCTTCTGTTGTCTGATTCCAGGAATAGAGAAAGACACACTTCAGCCTCTGAGCAAAGAGGTCGAGATCGAGGTCGAGGTCGAAGGTGAAGAAGACATTGAAGAATTACGAAAGGGAGCGTGCAAGGAGGGCCATTTTTGCCGCAGGTTTGTATGTAGAGGTACACGGTGCAGCATCCCTTTTCAGGGGATTCGTGATTGATAGGCGCATTTTCCTGAAATTAATTGGCTTGGGTTGCATGGGTGGGGCGGTCGGTGGTTTGATCATCCGATGCTTATCACGGCTCATCCCATTTATAGGCGCGCCCGAGACCTGAAACTTTCCCCCCCAGCTGCCCCCCAATGAACCCCCTCACTGCCACCCCTCTAGCTATCTAATCGCTGCTAATCTACCGCCTAGGTGCCTATAAGGGCTCCCTCATAAGCACCTGCAGGCACCCATAAGGCATCCACCAGGATCCCTTCAGCCACCCCTTCGGATGTGTTCCTAGGGGATCTGCTGATGCCCATCATCCCACCATCTTTCAGTGCCAGAGTGTTTAACCCCATTAAGCGTGTTTCAGATCGATCCGAGCCCCATGCGACGCCAATCCGACACGTCCCTTCCGCTGATGCTCACTCCCGCCCTTCATCGCCGCGGCCGCCCGCGACGCGATCGCGAACAAGCTATTTTCACTCAAAGGCCACGTTGAGACTAAGTTACTTGGTCTCTCCGCTAAAGAGGTAAGCGACATTGTTAAAATTGAGGTCTCACATCGATAAGAATATCTTTGCATGATGCCATATCAAGTACATATCCCCCCACCCCCCATATTTTCCTTGTCGCAGCGACAGGAAAGATAGTCATAGCAGCAATATATACCTCCCACAGTCCGTCGCCTCTCCCAAGCATTGCATCCCATGTTCGATAATGTGGATTTTTGTACCGTGAACAACCGTCCCCGGCCCCCCCTTCCCCTCCTCTTTGATATACACCAATGCCAGTTCCGTCTCTTGCTGCTTGCCCATGAAGTCCCCGTCCGTCCATCATCCATGATGCTCCATGAAATCTGTAAGATGTCCTCACTCTTGACCACCCTTGCCACCGCTCGCTGCGTGAAACACCAAGCCGACGTCCTTGGGCGGTTGAAGGGTCCAGTACGACCGCCCCGCTCTCCAGGAATACAGGATGCACAGGGGCACGAACCAGGAAGGCTGTTCGACTTCCCTGATCTGCTCGCCGTCCCAGTAGAAGCTTGCGGGAGACTCCTCCTCCTCCTCCTCCGGGGTGCGGAAGTCGAGCGTGATGCGGACCGAGAGCTCGACTTCGCTCGCTGGGTCAAGGACGAGGGCCTGCATCCACCTGGGGAGCTGCGGCATGATCTGGCGGTGGATCTCGGCTTGTTGGCGGTAGATGGCGCCTTCGGTCACGAAGCGGTCCGAGAGATCGCATCCCGCGCGGTCCAGGTGGGTGGCGGCATAGATGTCGTCGTCCTCCCTGCACACGATCGCTCGCAGGTTGGGGAACGCCGCCGTGTCAAGGTACCGGCGGTGCTCATTGTGCAAGATGATTGTTTGGATCCGCTTTTCGACGACTCCGGGGATACCGATGTGCATTGGACGAGCCCCGTCTTTGCAGATCATGGTCTTGATGCCCCCGGGATAAGACTTGCCCGGTCGAGGATCAAGAGGTGTGAGATCCAGCGGGTACGCTGGCTGATGCCAGCAGTCCTTGCCCGGTTCATTGACATCTGGCTCCACGGTGATGTGCTCTTCCTGTGTGAGGAAGTTCTCGAAGATGATCGCTGGTCTGATATTCTCGGGAGTATTGATGAAGGAAATTTGTTTTGGATTGTCACCCATGTTTGATAGACGAGGTTGGCTGATCCGGGTTCAGAGACAGGATCGTCCAAGCTGGAAGCAAGAATGTCAGTCAGGCTGGGCTGAGGACAAAAGGAGTGGATGGAAGATGGGATACCAGTCTGCCACAGGGCATTGACCCTCCTCTATCTATATTCTGTCCCTTTTCCCCCTCTTCAAGCAAGGGGTGGACGCATGAGTGCGCGCTCCAGTGATGTTCACGGCAAGACTCTCCGCAAGGTGGCTCGACGATCGTCTATCACCACCGTAAAACCACGATCGGGGCTCGCGTATCCTTTCTTCCAGCAAGGCATGAGATCAAGGTGGCGGCCACTAGTTCATTTGACTGGATGTGTCAGTGTCTAGCCTGGTCAACCTCCAAGTGACAGCTCAAGTCAGCTAATCAAGATTCGAACAATCTAGCAGAGGGCTGTCCGGAAGGTGGAGCAGCCGAATGGGCCATTGATCGTATTGGATGAACCCCGGCTGCAGGCTAGGAACAGGTACATGGCTGTCGGAGCATGTGCAATCGAGAGACTTACGAGAAACCAACCAGAGAGGACATCAGGTATCCCTTGCAGCATGTCTCTTCCTGCACAAGAGCGGCTGAGCTGATGCCGCACCAATCTAAAACCCTTTCCGTGCCATTTGGACTGTAAATGCAAGGGATGAAAGGAAGGATTTACGAGGCTGAACGTCGCTCCAAAGCCCTAAGAGTCCAAGAAGCTCAAGGTCGCAAATCACCAAAAAGCAAGAAACAGGAATCCGGGGGTGGTGCTGTTCTGCCGCACTATGTCTGTTCGATTGAGTTTGCTCACAGAGTCTGTTCTCTCCACGATTGCGACGTCGCTAATGCAGGCGCATAGGCCCATAGACTCGCATCATGACCCCCAATCACCTGCCCTTGACCAGACTCGGTATTGATCGGCCCAGGCCCGCCTTTCGAACAAAGCATTTTGCCGCCGCAGCTCCACCGGCAGCGGTTTTGATTGGGCACCCAGACACCTTCGTCCAGGCTAGCTAGGGCTGTCGGCGTCTCAAGACTCCAAAAGGCATTTCTCAGTCCCGTAGATCCCCTAGGTGGCTGCTGTTCTGGCCTCAAGCAACTTCTGGGCATCGACCAAGCCGTTTAGCTCCATGGTCCGCCACTGAACTGCCTTGCATAGACCGTACAGGCACTTGATCGTTGGCATCGCAACCCCTGCCTTCTCGCCCTCTCTTAGTGCCTCGCCCAAGATGTTCTCGTATTCGATGAAGCGGCCCTTCCGCCGATCCTGCAACATACTTGGAGCACAGAATATTTCCATGGGGTCACACTCCACCATGGCCTCCACCAGTGATTCGGGCAGGTCGACATTGGCCGCAGCTTTGGCCGCCGCGCGGATCTCATTCATGGCTGGCCTCACCAGCAAGTCGAGGGGGTTGGCGGGGTCCTGTGCGTCGGAAGCGAGTCGATAACGCGTGGTGTCCAATCCCGTCAGGGCACAGATGGGATTCCACACGGCATTGTACATGAGCTTCCTCCAACGCACAAACAGCACGTCCGGCTGATACGAGCACTCGACCTTGCCTGAAGCGGAGTAGATGCGTACAAATTCCTGTGCCGCAGTAACCTGCGTCTGCTCATCTATGTTAGCCGACAGGAATGGACCAATGAACAGCCTGTCGACGTCGTTTTGGAGGATGTGGCCTGGACTCAGCTCGTCGGCACCCATCAACGACACCCCCGATAGACAAACGTTGGTCGGGAACGCCTCCAGCAATGGCTTCTCAATATTCAGTCCATTCTGGATGAGCACAATGACCGTGTGGCCCGGGGTCACTGCCGGGCGGATCAAATCGGCCACGGTCGGCGGGACATCAGGGATATTCTTTGTAGTGACAATGACATAGTCGAAAGGCTTGGTCGGTGATGATGGCGCTGTTACGTCTGGCACCTGGGACAGGATCTCGGAGGGTTTCCACCCACTGAACTTGCCGTGATCGCACGAGTCGATGGTGAATCCCGCATCGTTGACCACCTTGTAGTTCGACCGCAGCACCGCCGCCACCGTGGCCAACCCGCCCTTTTCCAGGTTCACGGCCGTCATAGTGCCTATACCGCCGCTGCCCACGAGGAGAACGCGAGCTTTTTCTGCCTTTTCTGCCATTTTTTGACCAATTCTTCCCAGTTTCTTATTCCGTCAGTCGGTCGGATGTCGTCAGGTATTCAGGTCGTCAGTTTGAGCCACAAGGACGAGATACGGGCTGGAGATGGGAAATTATTGTACAAAACTTGTTGATATCGATAGAATCTCTTGAGATGGGCTAGGTGCCATGTGCCAGGGCGTGCCAGTGATTGAGACCATGAAGAACGGTGACTTCCGCAGCGCTGGAGATGTCCGCTCTGCCCAAGAATAATGCCGAGGATTTCCGTCCGCAAAGGTCTCGTCTCTAGAGATTCAAGCTGCCACGATGCCTTTACCAGTCCCACCAGAATCTTTGGAGGAAGTAACGTGATCTGATTCTGGATTATGCGGCTAATCCGGCGTTGCAGCTGCATCATCCATCCCGGAACCGGCCTCTTACAACCAATGGCAACAAGACAACCAGGACCATCCCGGGCCGGAGGAGTCGCTTCGCTTCTCACGTAGTTGGCTTCCTTTCATGCATGTATATGTATTGCACACCGCTCCTGTTCGGGGGACTTGGATTCTTTGCTTGCTTCGTTTTCTGGGGGTTTGCCTGTCTGTCTTTTGCCTGTGTAATGCAGATATTCAAGAGGTCACATATTAAATATCACAGGTTACAATACCGGTTGCGACACCGATACCCATCTTGGATCTTTTGCGCGTATCTATCCCCCTCTTGTTCCTGATCTTGAACTCAGCATCCTGCAGAGCCAGAGTTTGTGAGCCCTTTCATTTTCTTACCTGAAGAGGGACAACGAAAGAAGAAGAACAACCCGGGATCGAGAATTCAGACTAGACCCCGGACCAGACCAGACAGACATCCCGACGTCAAGATCAAGACCCAAGCGAAGACCCAGACGCGACACAAGACCGCAGCACAAGTGCCTGACCCTCTCGTGCCACAAGAATGACGACCCCCACGGCCCTCTTGGTGTGCGACGTGCAGAACGGCATCGTCGAGCGCATCCCCCTCGAGGCCCGGGCCCCGTTCCTGCAGCGCCTCGCCGACACGATCGCCGCGGCACGCAACGCCGGAGTGACCATCATCTACGTGCGGGTGGCGTTTCGGGCCGGGTTGCCAGAGATATCACCGCGCAACGCGTCGTTTGCGCGGGTCAAAGCCCACGCGCAGGCCCTGGCCCAAGCCCAAGGCGGCGCAGGAGGCGGCGGATTCGGCGAGAGTGAGCCGTCGACGCAGATCCACGCCGCGGTCGCGCCGCGCGAGGGAGGGGGTGACATCGTCGTCACCAAGCGGCGCGTGTCGGCTCTGTATGGTACCGATCTAGACGTTATCCTCCGCAGCATGGACATTGGGACGCTGGTGATCGCCGGCATCAGCACGAGCGGCGTGGTCATGTCGACGGTGCGTCAGGGCGCGGATATGGACTACAAACTCGTCGTGCTTGGGGATCTCTGCCTCGATATGGACGCGGAGATACACGATGCGGCGTTGAAGGTCATTGCGAAGCAGGCCGAGGTGGTCGGCTCGGTGGAGTGGGCGAAGAAGTTGTAATAATCACTGCGAAGTACTGAAAACATGGAGATAACTGTCTTAAGGAGAGAGAGGGAGGAAGGGAGAGGGAGAGCATGCCGGTATATACTGCAGGTATGTAGATACAAGGCTGCCAACCGCCCAATGAACCAACCAGATTGGCAATTCCTGCACTTCTGGATTTACGCATCAAGGAAAGATGTGGAATACTACATCAATTCTATTGAGCATAGACTTACAGATAGACCGCCCAACTAACCTTGCTCAGGAGTGTATCGGTGTTTGGTGTCGTATCAGAAAGAACTCGATTTCGGAGAGGCAGAAAGCTTGGCGAGACGTGATTGGTCAAGTGGCACAAGGCTACAAGGCTGAACCCTTCCGCACTGCGGTGGTTCAACGCATTGAGGTATTCAACCGCCTTCTGCATTCATCACGCATCACGCACGAGACATATACACACGCACATTCAACCGTGGCGTTATAACTTTATTGTGGCAAGAGAATCAAGTCCTTCAGCCCTTGTACGTTGTGTTCTGTTCAGCATGGCCGATGGCTGGTTACCATTGATCCTGTCCGCGCTTGTTCCATGTCCCTCGCACGCACACCATTGTCTCGTTCCTTCTTCTCTTCCTCTGATAACTCCACGTCATTGTAGTAAAGCTCAGCTCTTCTTGAATCATTGTAGTATCGGTAGAGTTCGATCGTCGTCGCTGTGGAAGCCGGGCCATTTCGAGCTGGCGGGAAGGTAGTGGCGCCACCTCTTTCGGCTCGGCCCAACGTTACAGGACAGGAGGGAGGTCATTCTCAAAAGGGAGACATGTTATGTGATGTGTGAAGAGGATATCGATGGGCGAGGTGACCGTCGTGATCATAGCCACGGGATTGAAATTGGGTAAATGTACTCTGCGAGTCTTCCGAGAAGCCTCACGATCTTGAACCGACCACCATCCACCAGCTGGGAGCAACCGGTTCCGGGATCGGGTTCTGTCCATGATCTCCGGAGTGATTTCGACACACGATGTGGCGAAGGCCCGTGGGAACCTCCGATAATGCATCCCAGATTGGCCTGCGGAGTGTTGTTGTCAACTGATTGTCTGCTTATCTCCCGATACAAGCGGCATCAGCCTCTTATCTTCTATCCAACACGTTGTGGCACCAAGCCATCATCCCAATTATCCGCCTCAATTTGGAAACGTTCCTTCGGCTATGTCGACCTCATCGAAGTCGCTGTTCTGCCAAAGGACGACGGCGCAGATGAAACATTGGGAGCTGGAGGCAGGGATGGAGTCGACCCAACAGAGCTCCTCGGCGAAGATGTGTGAGTCCGTGCTCACCAGGCTGCGGTTGATGGATGTGGCGCAAAAAAGGGGGAAGACGGCGGCGCAAAGTTCTCTCAACGGGAATGTTGGGGGGGGGAGGGGGGGGGACCTCGAGCAACAAGAAACGACGCTTCGTGTCGGCCTGTCGTCCATCAAGCCCGGAGGTTCTGCGTTAGCGTTTCCATCACTCCCAGAGGAGTCCGTGGGAATTCCACGCGGACTCTCTCACCTGCCGTGATGGGTTGATACTTTCCGGCCGAGGGCTTTGGCAAGTGGCCGTAGAGCGGCCTTGTCGCTACACATCTTGACGCCTACCCCATAATCCACAAAGGACGTCTGGCGGGCGAATGCTCGCAGGGCGTTGGGGGCTGCAGCGACATCCAGTCCATTTTTGAGGGGATATCTTCGTGCCATTGACGATGTGACTGACGGTGTCGATATCTTGACGCGGCGAGAGTTCGACAGGCGCAGGCTGAAGCCGCACTAGTCTGAATGGGATGGTGACGTAAACCTCGGTAAACATTCCAAATCTGTCGAGTATCAATATCACGTCCTGAGACTCATGTTGGTTACTACGGGAGTACCGAGTCCTGATAAGTATGTTATCGACATACTCTGGACCGCAGGACACATCGCTCAGAAAAGCGCTCTCGCTTGAGCCGCATTCTTCAGTTTTCTGTTGACTTGTTCTCTGCTCTTGCTCGGCCTGACTCGGTACAGGTCTGGGAACTAGTATTCAGTGCCAAAGGATACCGATCATCAACTGCCGAAGAGAATATGTACCCGCAGCTAACAAACGCCTTGGTCGACGTCTGCTTTGCGGTCTTGCGGCGACCAGGCATGCAAACGTGACCAACTTGCCAAGATCGAAATTCTGAATCGCTGAAACTGCGGCAACTTGTCATGCAATACTAGACCGACTGGGAGATCATAAGTCTGCTTCTACCAAGGTTGAAGTTCTCTTGTTTATTTCAATCAATGACGCCTAGTCGTGTCATCCACTAGCCCTGATCGTCGTTCGCGTCCTACATTCCTCCCAGAAGCATCCTGTCCTTCGCCTTCCTTGTCTCTGCGCCGAGCATGGCAGGCCTCGAGACCTCACGGCGGCGAACATAATCCAAACGATTCCGACCCCGAAAGTGCAACTGCGCTCTTCGACGGAATGGAGTCACATATATCGTGGTGCAGAAGCTCCGCGGAAAGAGTATAGCAATCGCCTGGAAGTCTTTGTCAAATCCTCCTGCGCCAACGACTGTACATCCTCATAGCTGCGATCGATACCGGCGTTGGGAAAAGAGATGGCCAGCGTGGATGGAGGCACATTGTGCGATTGCAGGCAACGATGTGGAATACAGCGTTGTGGTCCAGTCAGCGATAGCGATGACTTCCATTGCTTCCTCCGGGGCGGTGTCGACAAAGCACCGCCGGAACTCCCAGAGATCGAGAAGACGATCAAGTTCCACAAGCAGGAATGGATTCCGCCTGTATTTAGTCATGAGACTTGAGTGGCTTGTGTATCCTGGTGCACGGGGACACTGTAGTCGGCATCTTTGATCGGGAAGCTGCTGGCTGGCGGCCACCGCACTGGAAGTACACAACTGCGCGTCAATCAATCCAGACCATCTATCTTGGGCTAGATACATCGAAACGCTCTCAGGCCCGTAGTTTGAAGCTCCAGGAATGGAGAAGACGAGGCCGCGGCAGTGGGGGGAATTCTCTGTAGTTGGCCTCTCAAGAACTTATCTCTTTGCGCTCCAGAAGGTCGTAGGTTGGAATCTTCTCCGGATAATACTGTGTAGAGAACCGTCCGGCGGCCTTCTTTTGGTTGCAGTACTCCATGGCGGCTTTCCGAGCAGTCTCCCACGCAATGACGCTTGTTCCGAGAGCAGCTTTGTCCTTGCCCACAAGCTCCAGAGCACCCTTCAGCCACGCCACGCAGTTCCAGTCCTTTACCCCGTCTTTCACAGGGGTTTGGCACAAGATCGCGTCAAGACAGGGCAGGTCGTTGATTTTACCGATCAAAACCCGCACTAATACCATATTAGTCGGTCGGAGAGGCACAGTTTCCTTCTCAAACTCCCAATGTATCCCGTCTTGGGTTATCTTTGTTTTTGCATGGTATCGTACGCCCTCCTTGTCCGGCTCTTCCACCTTGGGACCGACCATTAAAGCCCAATGATAGCTGTTTCGGCGGAAGTTGCTAAGCAATCTGCCGCCGGAGATGGAGTGCTCGAATCTCACTCACGTGTCTTCCAGATCACGCATATTTGGCTGTCCTCCTCTTGCATGGAGACAAACGTATAGGCGATCTTTGTTGGACATTTTCGTTGTGATATTCCAATTGAACCTCCTCTTCTATCCGCAGAATCACCGATATTCAGTAATGGACGAGGTACAGAGGCGGGGAGGAATCGGAGGTGGCGGCTCAGCAATCACTTTGAGGGAGGAGCTGCGGAGGGCATTTCTCGTAGACTCAATTCGGGTCAAGAGAGAACGACGGAGGCTGAGTTCGACATATCAACCAAGATCTGATTCAGAGGCTCAGGCAAGGACAATGCGTTGTGCTTTTTGCCGACGAGGAACAATGTCACGATCGATCGCAGGCAATGTTTTCGCGTGCCGCAAGGCTACGTCATTAACCTTGCCGCGTCTAGTGTCATAATTCTTATTATGGAACCTTAGCCGCGCATTACAGTGTCGGCAAACCTCCCTTGTTGACATCTCGCCGGTGATGTACCCTGCGGGCTGCGGGCGCAGTCGAGACAACGCAAGCAAGAAACCAACAGCGTTCCATGACATTCACAATGCGCTTCAAGAATACTTCTCTATTCTCCTCATACAGCAGCATATCTCGGCACTGCGAAAGTTTGCGACAGCCGCTTCGCGGTCTCGACTTCCGCGCCCTTCCTCCTCTCGACTTGCGGCCACTGTGTACCGACTTCAACTTACACCAGAATCGGATCTCGTTCCCTATGTAGAGAACGATATAGTCAACGGCCGCGTTCTGGTGTCAAGCGATAGTTTAGTGCACCCAAGAGTGTCCCAAAGAAGCCCAAGTCTGCATCGACGACGTGATTTACTCGCCACTTGCGCACTGACAGTTCTCCAGCGTTTGATGGGCCTCTGTTCGGGCCCAACACTCTCTTGATGCAGCATGTATGGAGAGATGCTTTTGATCAATACTGCGAAGAGGACGAGACTAGCAGGCCTGTACTTATCAGCATCAAAAAAAGTACTCTCCGATGATACTACGCGGAGACAAAACTGACATCGTTCTCTTGGGGCAATTCTTCCTTCACCTCTCCTCGCCTTCTACGACGATCCTCTACTATTTGCACTCCAATCTTTGCGTCCGATGAAGCTATACGGTTGACATTACCTTTGCCTACTCTCCATACACTATTAAATATTCCTACATAATTCAATACTGTCCTCAGCGAGTTTTATGCCTCCCATGCGACAATCTCTGATGCTGAAGAGTGGTTCGAAAAGAACGATTACAGTAGTGCTGCAGCAGATAGGGATTCGGATCGATGGCAAGCTTGATGAAGAGTGATTTACATTGGAGAACAACACGTTCACGTGTTTGTTTGCACCAAAGCTTCTCGATTTCCCTCGCGGATGTCCACAAGCGCTGAGCACAGCAGCGGTATCAAGGTTGATTTACAACCATATCCGACAATTGCAATGCGTCTCCGCGGTGTCGAGGGAAGAGTACCGCATTCCTCGAATGACCCAGGTTACGATGTTTCCGTCGCTGTGGGATATTTCTCCTGCCATTCCGCTCTCGTCATACTCTGAGCTTTGGTGGCAGGGAAACTTGATCTTTGCGTTGAGTTCTGCGAGCATTAGCCTCAGCCTACCACGGGAGGACGAAGGAGAAGCCTGTAAGGGTCATCTCTCGCGCTGGCTGCAACGGGTAATGATCATCCGAATCGTGGACAAGAACAATGTCATCTGGCAGTTGTGTATCTGGCCTTGGTTAGACCTCCTTAAGCTGGGATTTTAAGCTGGGATTTTAAGCTGGGATTTTAGACTGTGACGCAGCATACCTTTGGGGATGATGTAGACCATGATATCCCTGCCACTGTAATTCTTCAGGAGCCGTTGAAGACGAGTTTTGGGGCGCATCGAGGCACCATTGGGTACTTGGGCTCCTCAGTAACACAGCATACATCATGATGCTCCAGTCTCACCTTGAGAAGTCTCAGGATCTGTAAAGTCCTTCGGTTTGACCATCCCGGCTTCGGTCAATATATCGTAGCTGCCCTTTTTCTTAACAGTTCTGTCGCGAAGAGACACTGCTTTTCCAGTGCTCAGACGGAACAACTCCCTCGGGAATATCGTGAATCGATTTATATATTATATATATCAACGTTTTCCACAAAGTTCCCAAGCTCAGAGCCTAATCACCGTGTCGAATTAAGAGCAGAGGAAAGTGGAAGGGGTGGGTGGCATCGTGAAGCTTTTCAAAGGCAGTTGACTTTCGTTTGCATCCTGCATCCTGATGAAGACTGAAACAGTCAGGCTGTTTCCCTTGCGTTCTTGTGACTTTGTGTCAAGGCCGTCAATCAGCGATGGCGGTGTCCCAAGTGACTCAACAGCTGGGTGGTCAATAAACTGGAGTCACATCAATAGGACCTTCACCTTCCGTGTCGTAACTTCCACTCTGTTTGCGGACTGTGCCAGGGATGGAAGTGCCTCACTCCGGTTTGGTTATCAATACCTTCAGGCGTGTGCTGAGCATGCCTCTCTCAGTCTCCACGGAGTCTGAAATTCATGTAGCCCTGTAGCTGGCCTTATAGCACGGCCTTTGTGGCGTCACGCGGAGTGTTCAGCTTTTGCGATTACTCCCAATCTTTATTGCTGCATAGGTATGTATGAATACACACCATCAGCGACGAGGATGACGGGCTCGCATGCGCATATGAGACCTACGAGAAATTTTTTGAAATGCAATTGTTCGCTGTGGCGGCACTGGCATCAGTGGACCAGTGAGAAGTGGCCTTGACTCGCCTGAGAGAAGAAACTCGCAGCCTAGATCTTTGTGATGCCAAACCAGGAAGAGGGTCTTAAGGATGGACCAGATTGTCTAGTGGACAATTGGTCAACAAACGCCTAACACGGACTCCATTTCAAACCTGACTCGGCATGGGTGAATGGCGCCTGGTGTATGTATACCTCGGGGTGCACAGCTGATCCAACTTGAGCATGCGAACAGGCCAGCGAAAGCATGGTTGTCGAGAATGTGTCAAAGGAGGATAAAGGCGCACGCTCGATCTAGTGGTTCGCGGTGTGAAGACAATCGTCTCTGGTCACGTGATATGATGCCGCCGCGCGGCGCTAATGACGTCCCTTAGAATTCCTTCCCGTTGAGTGGCCCCAGAGGTTGAGCTTCATAAGTGACACACAGGGCTGCCGCTGGGCATCAGGGCGGGTCGGAAATATGTACGAGGTAGGTACAATTAAATAATTGATAGACTAGACAGTTGTTCAGCCAAGTGTCGATAATGTTCACGTACCTTGACAATCAAAAACACAGATGTTCACGGCGGTGTTCTGGCGAGTGGCTGAAGCCTGGGCCAGGCACACCGAGCTAAGGGTAGAGCCGGGTGGCGGGCGACGGGCGACGAGCGACGATCTTCTTCAGGACTGATACCCACCCACACCCTGCCTGCCTGCACACTGCCGAATGTCTTGTCTTGAATCATGTAGCCCCAACAGTCCGAATTACTATTCGTCCTTCCCTCTTCCACTAGAGGCCTTGGGTGTCAGACTTTGAAGCCCAATGGAAGCTTGGGGCCCACGGTGCTAAATAACATGCCCAACCAATTTTGCCGGTTTACCCGACCCGTGGGTCTGGGTGGTCTAGCGATAGTCTGGCTCCCCTTTCTTCACTTGGGGTGCCACAACCTTTCGTTAAATTGTAGTTAATGCTGACCACCCCATCACACCATTACAAACTTCACTTCGTCGCTGCACGATTTTTCAACCTCCTCTTCCCACTGTCATCGAGCCCAATCCATCAATTCGAGCGATGCAACTCTTCACCCATCTCATCTGTCCATGTGAACTCCTCAAGCAGACTGCAGAGCCGACTCACACATCACTCTGCTCCGTATTACTCATGAATCGGACTAGGCCTCCTCTCGTTCCTTGAAACAGACCTCTCCCCCCTGACCATCAGCCACACTTGCCCGAGTGGCTGGTCTCGCTTTGATGTTCTGGATTCCTTGGAGCTATGGGCAGTCGATCGAGCTCCAACGGAGTCCGCTCACCTTCTCAGACCCCGTCGTGGACGATTCCTTACCGCCGCGTGTTGGATTTCATGCGTATGTGATGACGGGATGCTGATGTTCATTCAAGTGAAAGCCTCTTTGGTCAGAAGACTCCCAAACCCTCCCCTGAATCCCCCTCCCTGATACAAAACTTCGATCCCGTTATCGGCTCTTCACGGCGCCTTGCATGCCTGCGACAGCAATGTCTCAATCACAATCGCTGCACATGCGTGATCCCGAGCAGGTTTGATCTTGACGAAGCGGAGACGCGCAGGGGAAGACACGAGGTATAACCCACAAGACGTTGACGGATATCTATTCAGTGATACCAGACCTGAAGACTTGGAGGATGTGGGAGTGGCACACATTCTTCCTCACTGCCTTCTGACATCGCTTTCCGCTGGTCTCTTGCTATCCGTCATGCCATTGCGCGGATTCTCTGTCGAAGCGGTATAGAAAGGCACATCGATCGTATCATTCAAGGAATGGAAGAGGTAGGTGTGGAAGAGAAGACGCATCGACCGAAGGCACGACCTTCCATGTCCACGTCGACTGTGACCATCACTACACTTCCCATTCACGTTTTAAGAGAACGAGAATCACTTTCGCTCTTACCTTGGGGGGCCTTGAGACGGTACGGGGTCGGTCCGAGCCAAGCATCCTCTACCTGGGACTGCTGCTTCTTTCAGAAATACATCATCCAGTGCGTGGGCGCTTTCCGAGACTCCGACCCGGTCTTGATCATGGGTCTTCGCCATCGAGAGCTTTTGGTGGATGCAAGGCCACAGTCGATATCAGGTTTGTGAAGGCGCTCTTGGTACACGTCATGAGATGGGCTCGCCTTTCTCCAGAAAGATCAGATCCTGCACCGCCTCAGCAAACCAGCCAGTGTGCTGCTCATGAATGCGAGTCTGGTGCAGCAGAAACCTTGTCTGATAATGCCCATCCATGTCACGACTTCGTTGCCGCCGCTCGCCACGTGACGGCGGTCCCCAACCCGGATCCGACGCCTCCGGCAATCCCGGCTTGCTCTGTTCTTACGAGTCCAAGTACTCGGAACCATGATCAGGTTTGTGCGAGGTGTTTGATTCACTGATACTTGCGAGACAGGATTATCTTGATGATTGCAGTCTGATACAGGTAGGTTGTGTGCGGGCACGTGACCAATATCTCTCGGCTTCAACTGTTGAGCGCCCAGCCCTGGTGCCAAGACACGCCTTTCCCAAACAGTCCAAGGGCAAAACGCAAAACACATCCCATCTCAACAACCGACCTCCCTACTGCAGGGCTACACCACGTCATTCTCGCTACCGGGGCACCCGCCTATCACGCAAGACACGATGGACAACATGTTGGCAGACGTCCGCTGGGTGAAAGAGCGGGTTGACAGGCTCGCGACGATGTTGGACATGGAGATGTCCGCGGGCAAGGCCACGTCGCACAAAACGAACTGGACCGAATACCGCTCCCTGATAGGAGAGCTAGTGGACGGCCTGCAGCATGTCGAGAGGCGGGCCGAAGGCTATTCTACCCGCGGGGAAGCTGGGGCTGCACCCGCTACCCCTCCGCCTCAAACACCGATGTCAGATTACGCCCCGGCTGAAAGTCCAGCTTCAAGCGAGAAGAGCCATTCCGAAGTCCTACCATCGACATCAGACGACGCCCCAGATGAAGGCCCATCTTCAAGCAAGACCCGCCCTGCTGAAGTCCTCCCGTCGACGTCAGACAACGCCTCAGACGAATGCCCTCCTTCAAGCGAGACTCGGCATGCTGAAACTCCGCCTTCGACGGCAGGTGAAAGGCCAAACCAGTGTCAAGAAGGCCACGGCGTCATAACAATACAGGAAAGACCCAGGAAGATTGCGACACGCACTCAAAAGACGTCTACGCCGAGAAGCCGAGCGCCTGATGCAGCAGCAACGATAGCTCCCCCTTATCAGCCCGATCAACCTCAGCCTGGAACCACGATTCCTCATCGGGAAGAGGACGGAGTTATCGTTCTTTTGCCCAGCCCCGAGCAGTGTAAGGATCTGCCGTTGCTTATCTCCCGGGCTAAGGAACTGGGCGCCTACGACACCGGAGTGTTCAAGTACGTCTTACCGGACGCTGTGGTGATAGGCTTGCGGCCTATCCTCAACCTCCCTCCGGGTGTGTCCAAATTCAAGTCCAGGCCTTACAACAAGCATTCCCGTTACATTGCACGGAGCGAACGAGAAGATGAGGTGTTGGATTTCGGCGAACTTGACTTCACACCCATACCGCATGACGAGTACGTCAAGACATTAGAGCGCCGTGTTACCAACCGTCAGGCTATGAATAAAATGCAGTACTTGACCGATCTTGCGGCTTGGACACCCGGAGACCGAGAAAATCTCGGTTTGCCAACAGTTTCGCCCATCTATCCCCTTCAACACAACGAACTGGATCGCACGAGAAGATTCCTCGCCGGGGTTCATGCTCCGTATGGGTATATATCGGGCGGTTACGGATCACTCTTCTCTTCGCACCGTGAAGACGGCTACCTGCTGTCTCTCAACGCGTTATATGAGGGCCTGAAGCTCTGGTATATAGTGGCTCGAATGTCCAGCCACCTCATCGAAGATGCTGTCAAGAACAGGAAATGTACGCAAAAGGTGCGGCATGCCTCTCTCTGGTTTTCGACATCACAGCTCAAAGCTATGGGTGTCTCGTTTGTCACCTTGGTACAGCGTCCAAACGAGGTCGTTGTGGTGTTTGGAGATATATACCACCACGGAGGTACCCTTGGCTATTCTCGTGCCGAGGCGGTAAACTATGCTCCCTCCGGTTGGAGCATTGACGGCTACTCTGAATGCAAACGCAACTGTCCTGGATTTCCTATTCCCAATGAGTACTTGGAGTTCCGCGCCCCAGGTGAGATACAGCTTGGATTGCCTCTTGCGGACGAAGAAGACGACCCTGAGTCAAACGAGGATGTCAGGTCTCCCCAAAAGAGGCGCAGAGGTCCAGCGTCTGCTGCAAGGTCAGACGGCAAAAGGAGATGTACTGCCGCTGCGTCAAATCTCACCGCTCAGAGAATAGCTGAGGCTACTCCAATCTTACAGATGGCAAAGTCCATCTGTAGTGCCGCGGCAGTCGAGCAGGTTTTCAAAGTCATTCGAAAGATGAAAGGCAGCAATGCTTAGTTTTACCAGAACGCTGCATAGATAGTTCGTTCCTTGTCGGATGAAAACGCCTACTCCAGATTTACTTTGCGACTATCCTAACTCCGTTTGGTTCAACATTCTGACTTGCAGAAGGACGGCCGTGGGAGACTTCGGAGTGGCCTCGTTTCAAAGCTGGCCAAGGAACTGGGGCTGGAACCACGCCAGTATCGTTATCACTAAAATCCAGCCAAAAATGGGAAGACTACTGTACGAGGTTTCACGGTATCTACTTTATCCTCTTTTACACTCAGCCGTTTGGTTTCTCTTCAACGGACTGGGAGTGTCTCAAAGATGACGAATTTGACTCTCTACAACGTCATCTGAACGCTGTGCACGTCGCCGTCACAAGATACTGCCTCGCATTCGGATATACGAGGGCAAGGGCCGAGGTCTGGACGTCGTCGCGGCAGAGTCCGGCGAGCTCGCATACCACAAGGGTGATTATATCGGCCGCATCTCTGGAGAACTGGTTCCCCTCGGCATCCATCTCAACGGATGGTGTCCGGCATTGACGAGAGATGGTCTCGTCGCCTGCGTTAAGATCGAGGTTGCCGTCATCAACCTCGAGAGGATTAGCAACATCTTCCGGCTGATGAATCATGACCTCAACCCAACAGTCAAGCTCGTTGGCAGGAGGGTTAGGGGGAAGTATAAGCTGGAAGTGCACGCCGCGAGGGACATCTATGATGGGGAGGAACTCACCCACAATCGCAACTGAGCATGCCCAAGCATGAGGATGAGGATGAGGATGAGGGGCAAGTGTTTCAACACAACTTGATGGCATTGTGTCACGTCGCGGGCACTTCCGATGTTTGGCCGCCAGAGTGAAGCACTCACCTTTGTCCTCCAGGAGGATATGCTGTTCAACGATTCCGCCAGGACATGCTGTGGGAGGACTCTTGACGGGCATGTTAAACGATGAATTGCTCTGCGGGTTCTATTCATGCTCATACTCATGCTCATGCTGATTTGCTGTCCGGCTGCTGTCCACTTTCAAAACTCCAAAGTCCATACATCGGTGTACACACGGTGGAAGTTGCTGTCATTACTGGAACTATTTGTCACAGGATCACTATGAAAGTCTAGATAACGGTTGTGAATCGGTGCTAATAGACCACTTTGATGAATGTATTACCTGAGATTCTCTGCCTTCCTCTTCCTCTTCTTCTCCCTCTTCCCTTTCCCCCTCGGTAGCTATATATGTACCTAAATACGTGAGGGGCATTCCGAATATCTGGATGTGTGTGTGGTGATCCCCTCGGGACGTCAATTATCATTATCGTGCATGTCTTTTGAAGCCTCCCTCGTCTTCTCGTCTTCTCGTCTTCTCGTCTTCTCAACATGTCCTGATTTTTTCAGTACCCGGTTAGTTGATAAGTCGTTGGCCTGGCCTCGAATTCATCCATCCATGTCATCCGTTTTGAAACTGATAAGGAACGGAAAGAATGTCCATCTGGCTGTTTTCCATCGCTTTCTTCGTCTTGTTGTGGATAAATAAACGTCCTTGCAAGACTCGCGTGGTCTGTAATGGTGGCCTTTTGGGTCCTTGCAGGCAAGTAAGATGCGCAAGGCATGATAATGCATCCCTGATAATGCATACCTACCTACAGTAGTAGAACTATGTAGCACCATGCACCTCCATCTAGCACCAGTGGCGGTACTATTCGTGGTGGGCTGGTAGTACTGTAACTGGATACATAGCCCGGCTACCTTCATATCGAACCCCCCTTTCCTATCAATGCATCACGATGATAGGTATCAAGGACCCCGAGGGTGCGCAGGATAGGCTGGACAGGTTGAGAAGTCTGTCGAGGAATTAGATACGCGATGTGATATATATATATACACATATGTATCGTTCAAGGCACCAAAAATACCTGACCGAACCGTGTCCATCGCCGATTCTGATTGGTTTCTTCTTCTTCTTCTTCTTCTTCTCCCCCGTTCCCCTCCCCTGTTCATGGGGACTCATTGCTAGGGCGTCATGTCAAGCCAAGGCAGATAAATGAATATCCCCTTAATCTATGGGATGGCGGTTTTGAAGCCCTATAGTCAACAGGGTTGAATGCTCTCTATGCCGATGACGAGCGTTTCTTGAGCGTCACTCTTCAGCGCTTCCAGCTCAATGCACTATCCACGCCAGCACCGGTCCGACAGAAAAGGTTCTCTGTGGCAGACCGTGTCCATACTTGTCGACATGAGTAACAGTATAGACTGGCCCAAATCTGCCAGTTTGAGCTGTCCATCGCTGACCAAGATGTTCCGGAGGGCAATGTCGTCCACCAAGACTCTTCGGGAATGGATGTAAGAGAATGCATCGATGATGGATAGAATCCAGTCGACCTTCAAGGGCCCCGGTGGCTCAGGCGCAGATTTGATGTAGTCTTCCAGGTCGCCCTGTTTCGCGAAAGCAACTCGATCCCATAATTTGACGTCTGGACGGACGATGTAACTCCCTCACACCGACCCAGCCGCCGGTAGATGGCGACCTCGTTCTCGAGTGTCTTGCGGTTGACCTCGTTTATACACTCCGTGTCATCAAAGGCCGGCGTTCCGACATGATGGTCCAGCGAGTATGTCTTTGCCACCTTGACGACTCGGTCCTCGTCGAGCCGGCGGACGTAGCCCGTCATCCCGTAGGCGGTCATTGGGGGGTCTGCGTAGGGATTCGGCTCGTAGATCAAGTGCAGCCATGGGTCGGGGGTTGTGGTAGTGGTGGCCACGGCGGCAGAGAAGGGTAGCAGTATGCTTTGCAAGAGAAGGGGGTGAGAGACGGTGTCGGCCGGTGTATCGGTGGACTTTACTGATGCAAGACTCGCAACGCAAACACGGGACTCGGACTAAGAGGGTGTGGACCATTGGTCATGGCACACATCGCGAACGGAGTCGAGGTTGGGGGGGTTGGGCGGAGCTTGATGTTTTGCGTGGGGGATAACAGACTTGGACGAAGTGTCAGTAAGCGTAGATAGAATATGAGAATTGCGAGCGGAACGGGAGCAGAGGGGATCTATATCAACCGTTGTTCTTCTGGGTAGGACGTGTCGCGCAGGAGGGGAGCCAGCTGGTAGTAAAAAATAAGTGGCAGTCTGACGAGAAATAGCAACTAGGAGCGATCCACTATTGTCTCGAGCGTAACCTCCTTCGGCATAATGGCATCTCTATGCTTATTAATAACATTAACTGTGGCTGATCTAGCGGCCGTCCCATCACTATTTGGTGGTGGGCTGAATTTCTGACAGGGCGTCTACTCTCTGTCTGACTGCGATTTTACTTCCTCCCCCAGCTGCTGCAATGCCCCCACCACCTGTTCCATCATCCGCCGTATCGAACTCGTCCAGCGCAAGCCGCACAAGGAAACAAAGTGATGCCGAAAGCGTACTTGGGTCTAGCACATCGTCAGCGTCACATTTCTCGAAGAGGACTAAGCAAAAGATTGTTGAGCGGAATGGAAACATGAAATGCTGGCATTGCGGTCGGGCAGCGCCAGATATTGCCCATGTGATAAGCAAGAAGGACAACTCGGTATGTCGTCGCAAGCAGGACAAGGGGATACTATCGCCTGGGTCACCAGTGATTCATCTAGTTGGCTGACTTTCAATCGTTCAGCGACTATGCTGCCTCCGGCCTCTTGACGTTTGATCGTCTCGGAGATGAGCAAAACGGTCTTCCTCTCTGTCCCTCGTGCCGCCGAACGTTTGACGACCTCAACAATCCAGGCCTGATCTTCATTCCTACCGAGCTAGAATATTTCATCGATTTTGAGCGCAAAGACTACCAGAGTCGAATCGATACTGCGCAACGGCAAGGGGACATTCCTCCACGAATGGTTCCCACACCACAGATGTATTCAGAATATCTCACGAGACAAGAGCTCGTGTCTTCTGACGCGGTCGGCGGCCTATACTGGCGGTATACCCTGCGAGATTTCCTCCCCGACTGTTGTGACAAGAGCTTCATCCCAGGGTTGGGTCCCTTCAAAGAGCCAGGGCTTCGGAATCCCAACTGGACCAGCTATGCGTCCGACGCTACGCAATCTCTACGCCCGAGAGATCACACGGACGAAGCTGCATGATTCTACACAACAAAGCGCAGAACAGATTGAAGGAGGACTGAAAGACAGCGGAACTCCCGCCAATTCCCAAACCGTCGCACCTGTGCATGCCAACTCAGGAATAGTTCCTCCAAGAGGTTACAAAAATGGGAATAACACTCCGATACCCGATGCTGGCGCGAGGGGCGCAAGGCAAAGTTAGCGAGATGTGAATCGACACAGGTTGGCGACACATACACAAGCCCTGGGCTTCTGAGATTTGGTCGTGGCGCTTCCACCGAGACTAACATCAGCAATACATGACCATGATAATACAAGGCTAGCAGCCACCACACCGATCGGATCGGTTATCATTGACATGGGTCGCCCCCGAACCCACAACTCTAACCTCCTCGAGGAGGCCGGTCTCCCCTACGTTGGCCACGGACGCCACACCCGGGCCGCTGCCCTCGCTCGGTGGGCGTTGGGTATTGTCAAGCGCCGGATGATTGTAAATCTGCCCATAGGGGCCAGAATTACGGAAGCTAAATGGGGGGATGGTCCGGGGGGGGGTGCCGGCCCGGTGAAGCCCAGGTCCGCCGCTGTCGGAGGGAAGTGTCGACTAGATCAGACATAAAGTTAGCATAGTGTAGTACGAGAGGGGATATGAGAGGATATGAGAGGATATGAGAGGATATCACGCACGGCCGTGGCCGCAATTAACGCCGCCCTACGAGGTGGGAAGTCATATACGCCGGCCGAAATAGAAGACAGAGCGACAGTTCTACAGCCATGTTGAATGGCTAGCTGTAAGGCGCATAGATACGCAGACCTGAGCTGCCGGCCACATTGCGTTGTGCCGTCGTACACTGGCCCAACTGCGTGTATCACCTTCCTGCCGGAACGATCCCTCGCACTAAGTAGGCCCGTTGCATTCCTTTCAGCCTTGACGCCCGCCGCCGACAAGTGGTCCGATTCTATCCCGGCGCCCGCTCAATATTGGGATTACCATGTTGGAGGCCGTCGATATTACGACCAGCACCCGCCAAACACAAGCCCATGCACATATCTCAACGTGTGATATTTATCGAGGCTCTGTGAATCCTTTCTCAGGGCCGAGGTATCGACTTGGAGTAACAGGTTGTTCGATACCGCAGTCTCAAGAATCCCACTACATGACTATGGCTTGGAGTGTCGACCACCCTACTTCGCAACTCCTGTCGCGGATCTTCAAGTGCTTGAAAGAAGGACGTCTACTGCTGGGTGCAATGTCGAATGATCGGAGGATCCGCGTCCTCGCAATCCCGGGTATTGCTTCATTCAGATCTGAACGTGCGGAATGTCTTCGTCGACGCTGACGACCACACCAAAGCCGCGTGCTTCATCAATTCGGGGCTCTGCCACGAGACCTGATTCTGCGACTCTACCTGATCAGCCCGATGAGCCGATATATGCTGATAGCATGGCATGCGCAAGAGCTTTCGATCGATACATGGAAACCTATCTCTTACACTTGGCTCGCGTGCAGTCCGTAGATGGACGCCTTCTCTGCCTGTTTCAATACTCGCTTCGAACATGGAACGATGGTGTTGTTGCGTTTCGACATGACCTGGTCAGGACTTCATACGAGTGCGAAGACTGGGGGGACGATGAAAAGTATACTATTGCGATACTGGACGCCAAATATCGATCCACTCATACAGATACTTCGTTTCTGACCACAGGCTATGTCAACAGGGGGACAGACTATCTCACCACCTCATCCGACGGCCAGATACACGCAGAGGCGTGGAGTGCGCTTCAATTGCAGCACAGGCGACTCGATTCCAGTGTGGCGCAAGCCATAATGAGCGCTCGGGACTCGGACTACGACGAACCGATCACGACCGAAAAGGCGTTACGGGCAATCTGGCCATTCGGTATATATAGCCAAATACAGGTTCAAGGTCCCAGCTATCACGTTGCTGTATTTACCGATCAACCTTCTTCGTCCTATCGCGAGTATACCCATCCAGGGCGGAGTACGAGAGGGGCCCGCCTCGCCTCGTTGAAGGGGCGATGCCGCTTTGAACGGACCCCCGCAGCCACAGTGGCTGTTCACGATGTTGCATCCGGAACGCCAATCAGAGAAATCGTGTCCGTGGCCGAGCTCAGGGCGGCATCAAACCCCTCATCCTAATTCGGGGCGAGGCGCAGGCGGTTCGTACACACGCCTCTTGGTGGTGTGCGTTGAGAACGAATACTCGACTGCCACGATCTCCTTTTATGTCGTCGACTTTGTTCAACCTACGATTTGCAAGACCACTGCTCCTCCAAAGACCTTGATGCATTCATTATGGGATATTTGCGTCCCCGGAATGCCTCAACGCTCTCCTCTCTATCCACCATCCACTGATCCACGACCTTGAAGAACAACGGGCTCCTGCTCCAGATTCGCAAACCAGAGCATCAGGTCACGGAGGGACGAAGAACATGTCTCGTCGAGACTGCCGAGACGCAGGTTTCGTGTGGGCAACTTTGGGGGAAATAGGCAATTTGGTCTGAAGGGGCCCCGAACCTTCGCAGGGAAGAACGCAGCTCTGGTGGCCCTTCGACATACTAAATACGAGATACGGGCCTTCACCTCTGCCTTGGAGACTTGGACTGATCCGCGAGTGAGCCAGTCCTTGACCGATGCTGCTGCTGCACGCAGTCGAATATCGGGGTCTGAGGAGGCGCCGTCTCCGTACTGATCGGATGAACCAGTCCTCGACCGCTGCCGCTCCTTCTCCTACTCCTACCCCCCTTCCTAGACGGACACCGAAGAACGAGAGGAGCAAGAGCAACAGGGACAAGAGTAACAAGAAAAAGGCCCGGATCCAGGCGCCATAACGCTGCTGAGCGGCAATACATCACACACCCGGATCTATCCAGCGAGTCAAGGCCCCCCGAAGAGTCGATGCCACCACCGCCCGCATCTCCTCGCATACCTCCCGCGAGTCGCTGAACCGCACGCTCTGGAGGTCGTACGCGAGGAGCACATTCCGCGGATCAAGGTCGAACGGGAGAACTGCTCTGCCGTGGATCGCAGTCAGGCTTTGGACGGCGGACAATCTCAGCCGGAGAGCCTCGTCTTGACAGGGAGAGGCTGCTCCTGATGGGGCTTGATATACCATCGATCTAGGGAGCCGAGCTATATCCTGCTCGCAGCTTGATCCCGCGCGGTGTCGCCTCGAGACATTCAACCACGCTTGGACAGCCTTGGAGGCGGCGATGTATCATCTTTTTGTTCTCGAGGTCCTCGTATGCCGGGTGGGACTCGATCATGGCTCGCGATAGGTGGTGGGGTTGGTGGTCTGTCTATCTGTCCATTCCTTCGTTTGCATTGCACTGTACTGCATTTTATTCAGTTCCAGACACTGATACTGATACTGAGATATATGGGACAAGAAAGAACAATGAGTGAGAGGTGAAGAGGGAAGAGGTTGATTAAAGGGATAACCTCGAGCAGGATCGCCAGCGGACGGGAACTTTGTGCCAGTATCCGTCGACATGGCTCGTGGCCGTCACGACCACCCATCCACCAGGGATCAAGGACGAGGACGGCTCGGGTAGGAATGGGTGTTGATCGGATATGCACAATACCAACGCACGCATCGGGACAGGAACCAGTCAACCTGACGGCATGCCTTGAGTACTCGTCTGTCAGGAATCTATGTGAAGCCAAATGAATAGATCCGGAATGACCTTCAGCACCAAGCAGGTTGCCTTTTGTCCGCTGACATTGCATGGCGCGCAGAAATGCGACGTTGTGAGATTAGTAGATGGTGTAATCGAATCCGCATACTATCACGCGAGTAGGTCACCGATATCGAATGTGTGCAGTGTAGGATAGACAAGTGCCAATGTGAGCGTACCGACCGAGTGACATCACAATAATTCGAAAAGGGACCGAGTGTTACCGTATGCGACTGTGTAGCTATCAGACGGAGGAAGAAAGAAAGAAAGAGAGAAAGGATCGACTCGGCACTGTGTGCGTATGTATAGCACAAGGTTTGATAGTATCGATCGAACACCATTGCGGAACACCCAGCCCGGCTGTAAGCCAGGGCCATAGTGAATTGAAGTAAAACACCGAAAAGTCTGAATCAACACAAGCGGGGACAGGCTTATCGCATGCACGAAATGCCCATCTTATCCATCATCATGTTGCTGTGCGATGACGTTCTGTGGAAAGTGTTGGGGCGCCGCCGAAGACTCTGTGAAAATCGAGATACTCGGCCTTGTTTGTAGCCTCGTCTTCTTCGGCCCAATCGTGTCTCCACGTTGCCCGGTTCGGCTTCCGTGTACCTCGCGAGTACTCCCAGCACAGTACGTGAGAGGTGTGGGGTTGTGACATTGCGACTGCCAGGAACGGCAACATCCATTTCAACGGAGTAAGTAGTTGATTTCTAACAGAAGGGTGACGGGTGCTGGGCGAGAACTAACGGATAGGCGATACGAAGATCTTGTTGTTGATCAAGGTTCGTCGTTTGGCACTCTGGTAGGCTCCCCCTTGAGCCACAGAGGCCGTTGGTGGTCTCTACTCGACCGCCCGCCTCCGCGGATGAGAGGGGAGCCCACCGGAGTGCCAAATGACTGTAATGACAATACGCTCACGGCAATTTGAGGAGGATTTAAAGCCTCCACCGTGGAAGAAAGAGAAACAGTGAAGAGCCCGCGGCGGAAAAGACAAGCGACAAGCTACACTGCCGTGCTCGGTCCGCAGCCAGACACGTGAACGACCTTGTGCGAAGAGTAAACGTGCGCTCGCACCGATAGCGCCTCAGGTATTTGGGCAGACCTTTGCGGATCAAGACCATCTGAACCATGGCAAGACTGCAGGTGAGGCGGGACACGTGTGGCTTAGCCACCTTTCCGCGAAAGACATGCATCCTGTAAATTAACAATACACCTATATATCTTCACTGACACCGAGAAATGAGCCATCCCGGAGAAAACATACTGAAAGATCTGGGCCATCAGAGTAGAGGAGATGATGGACCGATAACGCGCCATGCCAAGTCTTTGCTCTTGGCCACCCATGTACAGGGAAGAGCAATCGGAAAAACAATTGTTCCACAGTCAACGAACCGCCGCTCTCACTTTGGGGCCCACGAGGTGCCAAGCTCTCGGCCGGGTGCAGGCAGTACGAGGTACGAGGTACCTCTATTCAAATTTGACGGTAGTGGTTTAGCCACCCGGCCACGCTGAGACGCTGCTCTGCTCTGCTCTGATCGCATGCCCGAACGACCGAGCCAGCAGTATCTCCGAGGAGAAAAGCCGTCATGAGAAAGCGGTCAGCGACCAGCCTTCTCAGGACCATCATTTCAAATGCATGTGACGGAGAATGGCAACCTCGGTCGGCCAGGTTTCTGTCGCGCCATGACCCGGATCGACCAACCCCCCATGGTGCATGCGGGATCGCCAACAGAGGCTAAAATTGGCTGAATGGGATATCCATCGTGTAATCTTATCGTGACCGGCCCATTAGTGAGTCAATTTCAGTTCTAGGGGAAAAGGAAAACATTGACAACTGCAAAACCCCCAAGTAACACATCTGGCCATGTCGGGACCGATCGTAGAAAATAAACAAGGCGTCTTGGATAGCTGGCGGGGCCCAAGATGGCACTCGCGCTTGTGAGAGACAAGGTGGTAAGATGTGGAGAGGCGAGGGGAGCGGGGTGGGGGTTGGGTGATCTCAAGGGTTGAGTTCAACTCTCAAACAGACAAGCCTTTTCAACCCACGGCACTCACTTGTCATGTGTATCCCAGACCGGAACGACAACAGGTTTCCATCATTATTGATGCTGATATATGCTCGACGCTTTCAGCCGCTCCTTGATGCGAGCCGCCCATCACTTTTTGAATCTGTAATAGACACCCCAAATCATGTAGTGACAGAACCCAGATCATCCAGTATATTCCTGGGGGTAAGGTAAAATTATGCATTGCTAGGTGGGTAGCAATGAGCTTGAGCAACGTGCCGGTGGCGCTGGGGGGGGGGGGGGGGGGGGGACATACTTTGCTGACCATAGCCACTGAAGCCGGACACAGTGGGGAACAGACGCCGGCAAGGGGGAAAACGCAATGTTGTCCGGGGTCGTCACCCACATTTCGCTACAACACAATACTAGGACTGGGTTTGAGCGATGCTTCCCAACGAGTCCAAGCGTCAACGGTCAGAGAGTTCATAACATACCACTTTGTGAGAAAACGGAAGAGAAGTTCCGTGTGCCGATACCTATCCAGGCCATTTGGTCCGTGAGTTCAAACCCCCTTTCCAAGTCTCTGATCGGAGATGAGTGGACTGCACTCCGTGCTTTCCACAAGCAAGTGTGTCTCAGCTCTCTAAGTCAAATGCGGCATCATATATTGTAGAACCTTCACTCGCAAAAGAGGTTGTTGGTCTCCCAGCACTGTTGAGGGATCCTGGCGGTATGTCCCCTTCGAAGGAATGATTGACCTGAATCAAGGATAGTGTTTCCCGTGACTTTTGTGCCATGTAGGGTATTGGTAGAGACCACATGTTAAAGTTTGTCTGCTCCGAGGTCATGTGTATTCACCGCCGGGCAGCCACGCTCCAGTCAATGTTGAGCCAAAGTCAGTGGTGTTGGTGGTTTTGTTAGCGCCAGTTCCTGCTTGGGTAACGGGGCTTGGCAACGCCATATCTGGTTCAGCCAATGACAGACATGCCAAGCCTTCTAGTCTGCCCACATCCGTGTTGTGATTGGAGAAAGTGCCCTAGTTAGGTATGGAGGGCCGGAGGAGTTCCAAGACGGCGCTATCAGAGGGTGTTTGCGGCGAGGTGAGCGTTGCTGGCGAGGTCGACAGCGAGGTCGAGAACCTATTCTTGCCTTTGCTACAGTTGAGTAGAGCCGTTAACTACCTGAGACTTCTTGATATGCGGATTCAAATCGGTTTCACCGCCACGGCTGTGCCCCTGACGCCCTGAGCCTTGAAGGCTGTGGGACAAGTAGCCCGGCTGATGAGGATGACCGCGTTGCATCATCTTCGCACTTTCAATTCAATAGCTTGTTGTATGATCATTGCGGGTGCTCTGCCCTTCATGACTTCTGACCGTGAGCAAAGAACTGACTTCTCCGCCGAGTTCTGCGCGCGACAACAAGTCGCCTGCGGACCTTGCTAGAAGAACAAAGCAGAAGTATGACCACTCTTCCGCCTCTTGGTGGAAATGACCATTGACAGCTTTCCAGGCATGGTTTCCTGCCTCTGCGTTTAACCTCCGCGGCTTCATCCTCACCCTTCACACCGTCGACCTTGCCGCCGCCTGAGCCCTTCTCTTGTCTCGCGTGAAGATGACTTCTCCGTCCATCAGGCTTCGAGTTGGCTCCTCCTAGGTCTTGGAAATACTCAGGCTCAACGGTTCTGATTCCAGCACCTTCACGCGCTGTACTTTCAGAGTCCTAATGAACATTGTGAGGGCCATTCTGATCCAGATCGCCCGTAAGACCCTCGTCCCGGCGGATGTGCCTGCACGTGGAAGACCCGCCCTCTTTGAAACGACATTCGACATGTACACCGATTCGGAGTGATTTTCTCGTCGTGTGAGTCGACGCGAGATTTAAAGAAGGCATTTTGGAGAGACGGAGTCGGGTCCGGCGAATGTGGCAGAGCGCACGGAAAAGAACAGTCAGCTCAAAAGGGGAGAGATTCCGATCTGCGGCAAGTTAGCAGTCATCTTCAGAGTGTTTCATAGACAGGAGTGACCTGAAAGAGAGAATGACTGGTACTCGAAGCATCCACGCGCTTCCTGCGCCACAACAGTGAGGGACTTCAAGCAAGAGAAAGGGCGATGGCTGTACAGGTCAGCGATGAGGGAGTTTGGTTTCCTCGTAGAGCATTATGCAGTGATTTCCAGACAACTCAAGTGAATGCTTTGTCTTCATCTGAAAAGGGAAGCCATGCATTCCCGATAGAGACACGCGGCGGCAAGGAAAGGTCAGACGGCTCCCTTCCCGGATCTTCGATGCCGTGGTCTTGATTGACAACAAAGGACGAAGACGGATTCCGCAGGCATATCAAGCCATGAGACTGCAGGCTTATGTATTTGATCACAACAAGACCGAGCACTGAGACCTTGGATATCGAAGCCAGGGTAGCATTGCGTATTATGTGGAACGCCAGCCTACCTGGTAACTGTGAGGAAGTTGGCAGCTTGCTTGGCACTCCTGTTTCTGTTGTAGGTCAGGTCGGGGGCTGGCCTGTCAAGGTGGCAGACAGATCAATACCTGGACATCTTCCTCCTTTTCCTTCCTTTTTCCTCTTCCCACCGAGAAGAAGACCAATATCCTGCAATTTCCCAGGCGGACAGCTGGGTATATCTGCCTTTGAATATATTCCGCTCTCTTCCAGACTCTATCCCACCCTCCCTATCCTTCCCAGCCTCATCTCGCTACATTGGCTATCGGAAATGCCTGGCACCTGGAAGATTCACCGCTGTGGGAGAGCCTGCAAGCCCTGCAGAAAAAGCAGACAAAAAGTATGAACACTATTCGCCCCTTTGATGAGACGAGATGTTGATACTCTAACAGTGCAGCGGTGGCCATCCTTGTGAGAGTTGCGTGAGGAAGGAGATCATTGACACATGCGGCTATGAAGTTCCCGTGAGCTTAATACCTCAAAATCATGGGAGACGACGCGATTGACCATCATTGTAGTCTAGAACCAGCAAAGACAACGACCCGCTTGGAGACCCCAAGCTCAAGAGTCTCTATTCGAGGTATCGATTGGTGCGAGATACGGTCAGGTCCTCCGACTACGACGACATGATAAAGGCTTGGATTAGCCTTGGATCCCTTGTTCGCGAGGCGATGGCTCTAGAAAAAGGTGAGTGGATGGTCTAATGGATGAATACTATGGGGCTAAGAAGCGAAGACTACCAGGGATCCCCTCCCTTTCGCCAGATTTGGTGGGAGTTGGCCGGCGCCGAAGTCAAATTATGCCTGCTGTTGAATCTTCCATCATGTTTGCCTCGAGAACCAACCGTGACCCCCCCATCGACGCAGCAACTGCCGATCAACGCGCGTCAACTCTACAAGATTGAACTCGAAACAACTGCGACTCTCCTCAAGGCGTGTCATGTCCCATCCCCCTTCGACGAATATGATGATTGCTTGGAGAAGTTGGCAAGGAGTCTGGCAACCTTGGACCAAACTCAAGAGAATATCACACAAGTTCCTGAACACATCAGTCGCGTCAAAAACTTGAGACTGGAGGTGCTCTTGTTCTCATTGGTCTTACGGGGTAGAGTCTGGTTGAGAGGAGCCGCAAAAGCCCTTGAGATCGCCAGGGAAATCAAGACTATATGCGGAGACCAAGCATCAAGACAAGAGTGCTGGCCTCGCGGGATCGCCGTGGGCCTTGCAGCAGACACCTTGAGGAGGTCTGCACCATGGGTTCCAATGGCTCCTCCTTTTCCCACTCAGCCAACCGCGACTGGGTATTCGACTATTGCCCCGAATCTGGACTGCGGTGTCAACGATCCCAGATGGGACGCCATGCACAACGCCAATGGCGTCGTACTGGACCAAAGCTTGAGTGTTCAGCCTCTCCAACAACAATACGTCGACTTGGCTCAATCCGGTGCACCGAGCGATAACACGTCCTTCCGCCGAACAGACTACGTCCCATCATACTCGGCGGCCGCGGCGGATGACCATTATTCAGGTGTACCCTATTACGCACCTCCGATCACTCCAGAAGCGCAGCCTGTTGCATGGCCGGCATATACTGGCTCATATCATGATCCCGATGTTGGCTCATATACCGATCTCACTATTGGTTCGTTTATTGATCCAAATATTGGTTCATATCCTGGCTGGCCATGGCCAGCCGTGTCGGCAACAAACATGCTGGATGCAGTGAATGGTGATCAATTTCTAGATATATCTGAGTTCATGCTGCCCAGCACCGCCGATGCTGACCCTGTCTTCACTGAGTGAGAGATGGAGGCGCCGCATGCACAAACTGTCCGCCAAACAAATACCTGGATGTCCCGAGGAGATGGAGTGAAGATGTAAATGGTCGAGTAATGATATATGCGGGAAAAAGTTTTGTCATGTTTGTTTTTGTACCGTTGACATCGAGTCCTGTACATGATTTCAATCAATTGTTATATAGTCAAATTCCAGTCAAGACCATCGATAGCATATTCTGCATGATAAGAATAGAGCCGCTCTCCCGAACGGTGAGTTATTCCACTCTAATTAGCATTCATACTCAAGAGATGGGTATCAACATCGACTGGAAGCGGTCTGGAGGTACATCGGCTCAAGTCTAAGCGGAGACATGGAAAGAATCAACTGGCATATCGTTCATCATTGAAAGATTGGACTTGATTCCATCCTTTGATGTAGCAGAGTCCGAGCCACTCGGTACCCAAGACTAGCCAGCTGTCAAAGTATTTCGTAGCTTCTCTGCGCGCAGGTGACCAAGACAAGAGTCTGTCAGTCCCCATCCCCCCCAAATAAGGCTCTTTGTTCTCTGGTTCTCCCAACTCAGTCCCGCAGGCTAAAATCCCAGCGTCAACCTTTTGTTCAGAAAGATCACAATTCACCTTTACCTAAACACCATCGCTGATGCCACCGCACGACCCAGGAGAGTCATCTCAGTGACTTTGACATGTACGTCCACAAGGGGTTATCCATCGCTTTGTATTGCTCGTTGTTACTCACACCTTACTAGCCAGGACACTCCGCCTTCGTCACTTCCGGTCATCGCTCCGCCTCAAAATTCCTTCAACAGTTGCTCCCCTCTCTCCAGGTCTCCATCTCCCAGCCAAAAGTCGTCCGCTTCTCGATATATTCCTGAAAAAACTGACGAGATTCATAGGATCGAGAAAGCCCTTGGTCGGACCTGATTCCAACGCCTCCCTTACCCCCTTTACCTTCTTAAATGGAGAAAGATATGGACACGTCCATGCCTGGCATGGAGGTAGATGATCACAAGCTCAAATTGATGCGGTCCTTGCTCATCATGGGCACTCTGTCGTCACTGCTGGGCTCGCACAGTGAGTGCGGTGATACGCGAATGCTGGAGGATCTTCTCTCCAGAGAAGTGACGGCATGGCTTCCGCAAGTGGGAACAGAGGACTACGAGTCTCTTCAAGATCCACACACCGAACACGGTATCAGCTGGTGTGGGCTCACTTCGGAGTTTGTGGCGGCCTTTCCTCATGTTCTTCCAGAGGGCGCCGAGCGGCCAAAAGCCCTGGAGAGGCTACAAGACGAGCTGCGCAGCCAGCTCCGACATAACCTCGAGAGGATGAGCCAGATCACGGACTCGCCTCAAGTGCCTCCGGTGCAACCCATCCGGCAATTTGGCCGCGACGATTTCACTTGGGAGATGAACGTTTGGCTGGTTCTCTACAGTTCTGCCATCATCCCTTTCTGCGGACGGTCCGGTTCAGAACTGTGGAACCTGCAAAACCGCGACTTGGGACAGCTGGCAGACTTTCTCGGCACTGCGCACCTGTTCAGCAAACCTCTTACTGAGAAGACACTCACTGCGACGGGGCTTCAAGACTGGGTCGAGAAGTTAGAATTCGTATTTTGTGGTCCAGCAGAGGGGCTTCCCAGGTGAGTCTTGGTCAACGACAGGGGTTTGGGTTCAGTTGCTCACAACCACTAATCTCTAGCGCTCCGACCCCGGACTTGATATACGTGGTGGCAGTCTACAGGTCCAGGGAAAAGGACAAGGCTTACATCAAACATCTTCGAAGCCTGCCTTACCTCTCTACGCTTGGCAGGTCTCCAAGCCCTTACAATGGGCTATGGGACTACCGGGCTATCCTCGAAATTAGCCGATCATCGTTCAACGAAGACGATCTCCTCGTCCGCAAGCGGAGGCCCATCCACTTCCTCCCCTTATACCCTGGCGAAGAAGCCATCCGACGCTGGAAAAGCATTCTCGAAACGTCTGAAAAGCTAGTGGTGCATCGCTGCCCGAGGCCTCTCCTGCGCGACAGCAGCGAGTCCGACGGTCGAGACGCATTTAAGGAGGTGGAGCTCAACCAAGGCTCCACGACTGAAGGGAATTGATTGGGGCGCAGCCACCAGAAAGAGGTTGGGAGATGACAATAGTAGAGCGAGGACGAGAAGCACATTATAAATCTCAGGAAAGGCTGTCCATGTCGAGAGGATGGAATCCCTCCCTCGCCAGGAACTGCAGCCAACACTCTGCAACCAGCTAGAATGACGGTGGAGAAGGTGCATAGCTCGAGATTTGACATGCTTGATACAAGTTGATGCGCTCTTGGAGGATTTCATTGAACGTTTTCTCCCGTAGCGGGAGCCTGGATAATGAGAATACGAATAGCAAAAACTATCAGAACTGCCACCCAGTTTCATACTTGTTGTGCTCTCCCCGATACAGCCTGTACGCCACACCACAGGACGCGCCAACACTAGCCAAGGCGCTGTCGAGGGACTTTGGAACTTTGTCACTTCTCACTCTGCCGCATCATCCCGCCTGTATATCAAACCAGGACGAAGTTGGAAACCCATTGTGTGGAAAGATGTATGTACCCCCCGGGGGGTCATGGGGAGCGTAGCCCACGCGGATTTTTGGGATGGAGCCGGCCCACGAAAGCAAGCAAGCCATTGGGCGGTGCACGGGGCCGACGACACAACACAATACAACACAACGCACAACGCAGCGCACACAGCGAGCGACTGGTTGACTTGGCTTGGCTTGGCTTGGCTGTATCCGGTTAGATATTTTTTGTTTTCCCTTGGCCCGCCATGTGAAAATCCACTTTGGTCTCCAGTCAGTAAGAGGCAGGTCATTGGTCGTGTACGCCGTGGCCCAGACTTGTCCGGTTTCAGAACTAGACGGACGTTGGCGTCCACAGCTTACGGATTCTAATTGGCCATGAAAAGCCACTTATCTGCAGCAGGAAAAGTCCCGACTCTGACGATATCGTGATTGGTTCGAGAGCGACGAGGCTGCGCTAACAAGGACAACAACGAGGCTCGGAACCGAAAAGGAGCAGAAAGCAAGAGTGCAAAGCAGAGAGAGATAGAGAGAGAGACAGAGGGAGGATCTCGCCCAACGACCATGGATGCAGACACTTGAATACAGCAGATGCATAGTCAGCAGACTGCACTCTGCAAAGAACCTCAGTTAATGCAGCTGTTGAGACCCCCCCCTCAACATTGGTCTGTGGCCATTGTCCCCAACAAAGATCCTTCAACGCTCGTACCTGCGCCTCGAGCGTACCTTGCTGTCTTGACCTTTGTTCCTTTACTTGATTGCCATACCTCGCTGCTGCGGTCAGGCTCGATCCCTTCTCGGACCGCTTTAGTATCGACTTGAATTGAACCGACATCCACGCCGCCGACAGATTGCGAACCACGCAGTTCCTCACCTCACGTTCCCTTCCAGACGGCGAGAGATCATCTTCACCAAGTTCAGCCTGCATTCGATGCCGCCATTCTCCCCTCTCCTCCCCAGTCCTGCCGTGGTTGACATTTCTGTGTTACATTATCGTCGTGGTCCTCGAACTAACCCCGCTTACCACAGCGCAACACCATGTTTCGCCACGCATCCTCTGCTTGTGGAGAGTTCTCGCCAAACGCTTTTCCTCGACCTTGCCGACCGCTGCTCCTCGACCGAAAGATACCCTTGACTGCTTCGAGACGTCACCGTGAGCACCGATGCTTAACCCCTACGAACCGACGTACCTGCTCTCGGCCCTTGGAACAAAGAGGAGGAATTGTGACTATTGACACTGCCCGCTGAGCCGGTCTCGTGCTGGTGATATCTTGGAGCCAATTGGAAATTGGACTCTGATTCAAATCAGTTGGGTGAAAGAGATGAAGTGCATACGAGTGAGACAAGAGGAGGATTATAACATACCCACGATCCGCGCGGCTCCAACGCATCAGGCTAGACAAAGATCAGAAGACGCACGAAGATTGAAATCAAAGGGAGGACCTCTCGATGGACGCAATACCATGTCTGAAGCAAATGAGACGGCGAGGCATGCTTGTTGAAACCTCTGCTCAAGTCCCCGGTGTGGCCAGGTGCATTGCCCTTCACTCACGGCAAGACGCATGCATCGTTAAGCTTGTATCCTCTGTCCTTCACAGAGAGCCGACCCCGATCCATCCGAACTGCCAATGCACTTTCTGATGGCGTTGACCGAGGATGAGAGAATCCAAGACAAATACCTGCCTCCGGTCGCCTGCGCTCTCGGAACCGGACGAAAAGCCATTCGTGCCAGATTCGCGAGTAGGGCTGAGGCCACGGCTTCTATTAATGCCTAATGCCCTTTGTCAGCAGCCCCAGACACGATCGACATTCAGCCATGGACAAACCCCTCCATGCCGTTGACTGCAATCTCGTCGACGACGTCGCCGCCATGATGGACACCATGGAGTGGCCGCAGGGCAAGGATCGCGCTCTCTTCCGTCATCGCAGAGGCATTGACGGGCAGTCTTGCACAAATAAGGCCAGGCTTGAGAGGGTCACTGCCTTGCGTTAAAGGGAGCTGGTCGAATGCACAGACGCCGTCGAGCTCAATCAAAGGGTGGGCGCAGCCTGCACTCGACAGCTTCAACCGGTACTGGAGAAATGGCAGCTGCGGCGACGAAATATACACCTAGGGACAAATTTGAGCACTGAGGGTGAGAACAAAGAAGGTCAAGTAGCTCACGTGTGAGATCTGCTGGCTAAGTTCAAGGACTGATTCACCACTTGCGGAGACACCTTCCGCAGGATTACCTCCTTGTACAGAGAACATTGGCACCGGCTTCATCGTTCAGCGGCTCCGTGTGACGCTGAGTGCGTCAAACAGCAACAGCGAGAACAAAAAATGAACTGGCCAGCAAGCGTTGGTCTGTGGGCAATGTTGCCTGACTGCGCAGCCAGGAGATCAATCCGAAGAAAGAGACCTTTAGGCCTGGTTGGCATGGATCCGTCACGACATTCGTTCATGCAACACGGCAACAAATCAAGGATCGAGTCGGCATGAGGCCTCTCCAGAAGCTGAAGTTAACTGATTACACAAGATGAATCAATGGAACGACCACCAGAAAGAAATCAGGCCGCACGAAGCTTTTAGCATCTGGCAGGCGCGGAAGACCGGATTACCTGCGAACACTATAAATCCGACCCCCATGGCTCCTGGGAGACTGCTCGTTTGCCGAAGGAGGTACCAGGAATTGCTCCCATCGACAACGCGCCAGGAAATACGGCAATAACGTGTAGAGAGGATCAAGAGCGATTTATGGAGGCATTACAGACTTTCTTGTAATGTAGATACCACAGCAACATCCAAAGAATTCAATTCCGATAGAAAACACTTGAGAGGATGAGGTGGAATGTGTACTTGGAAGCCCCTCCACCATTGAATTCGCCTTGGATAGTATATCTACCCATCCGAATCCCCCAGTGGCCATAGCCGGTCCGTGTTCCTTGGCCTGAAAACCTTTCCTGAGCCAGTCCTGCCCTTAGCAGAGGGTAAGTTTAATCTGTTCGTGAGCGAACGAGTCGGCAGGCCAGTCAAGACAAGGTCGTTAATGAGGCGTCCTGCCCGAGTCACAGGAGGACTTGATCTCTGAGATTAATATCAAGGGCAGGCTATATAGATAGGCGACGGCGAGGTCCGAGATAGCAGGAATAGTAGGAATCAGTCAGGATTAGTCTCGCAACAAGGTGTGAATTTTGGTGGTGGTGGGTGGTGGTGATGGTGGTGGCGGT